TTCGCTCTCTCGATCCGCAGAAGAACAGGCCACCAACCGGGAGTTGAAACGTCTGCAGCACGAACTGCAGGCCATGCGAGAGCAGGTGCGATGTTAACTTCTTAGATGCAATTTATTTTACCGACGCACTTTCCTCCTCCTCCTCCTCCTCCTCCTCCTCCTCCTCCTCCTCCTCCTCCACTCCGTCTTCTTCCCTCCAATCCTCCGGTGCATTAACTTCCTTCTCTTTTTCCTGCCTCTTGTTTGTTTCCGTGTATAAATCCACTGCGACGATTGGTTTCCTCTCCGATCCTACCACCTTGGTCTCAACGGCGTGTGCCGTAGCCCCAGTTACTTTCTATCGAAGGCGTTAGAATTCCGAAAAGAAGTCATTAACAGTAACTTCCTCCCAGGATTTCCAGGGCTTGAGTATTTAGCAGTATATACTTGCAGTAACCCGGCCACTTTTTATAATGAGAAGAAAATTAAATTCATCCCTGACAAGGGCTTTTCTGTGATTTCTTCTGCAATTCTGAGGCTAAATACCACTAGCATTGGAACTTTAAGACGATGGGCATGCTCACTGCCCCACTGATCAGCAACCCTGCAAAGAAGTTCTCTTTCAGAGTTTGCGGGGCTAAATATTGTTACCGGGGTACTGATTACTCAAAAATTCTCCAAACTACGTTATCACGCAAACGTGGTAGCTCTGCCGCCCAGACGGAAAACAAGATGGCGGCCCGAGACGAAACTGCACCGTTTGCTCGTCGTGACCGTCGATGTCCACCGTGTGCTCCACTGCTGGCTGAGAGCAGGCGTAGTGACTCATGCATGAATTAGTTTATAGTGGTAGTAGGCTTGCACAGCAACTATCGCACTCTCCCCTCCCCACCTGCACCCGGTGCCAAGACATAGTCAAGAAGACCGAAGGTGGGAGAGAACGCAGATGGCTGGCACAGCCGGACCCGCACCTAGGCGTACCATCACACCCCCTGATCCTCTAGGGGCGGCAGAGATCCCAGTTGGTGCGACGTGAGTCGGCAGCTGGGCCTGCCACCACACTCCGAATGCTGGCATTTGTTATGGTCGCACATTACTGCTAACGCCCGCCAGACCCCGATATGGTCCCCGTGTTGGTTCAGTGCATCTGCCGCGTGGCCCTTTTTTGGGGCTCACTACGTATACACTGATCGACTGAATGAAGTCAGTGAAGCTCAAAAGGAGGCCCGTGATAAGTCAGCTTAGGAAATCCATCGTATAGTTGACTTTGTACAGCGTTCAGACAGTGAATCAAGCAATTTCAATCATCAAATTTTTCTAATAGTGAGACAAATCCGTCCTTAAAGTCTTAGCAATCAGTAACTCAGCTGTCGTAGATGCGGTCGACGCCTAAACACAGGTCCACATAATTCTGGTGCAGACAGTGCGCAGTACTACCGGTTGAGTAATTTTCCTTCCAAAAACTCTTCCTACGGACGAATTCTTCCTTATACATTAGGAGACTACTACTACTCAACTGGGAGAGAGTGCGGGCAAGAGAAGCACTCGCCGGGAGTAAAATAAGGTTGTTAACCAAAACAAGCTACAAATGGATAAACCACGTAGGTTGGACTACACGGCCATCTGTTAGGATTCAGTTACTAGAATGAAGATTCGCTCTTCAAAAAACACGCAGTATTGACGGAAAGAGCGAAGTTAAGATAGGAATTCTCAGGCACGCCCACGCGGCTTTAGTCACCATTCCGCTACGACTGACACAAATGTGTCGATCAGTTTACAGCCATGACGAATATTTAGACCTGGAGTGCCGGTGCTTAGGGAAAATGTAGGCGATATCTCTAAAACCAGGTATCCATGATATTTGGCTCTCCGAATCATTCCACTGTAATAGCAAACGGTATAAATGGATGAAAAAATTATAGTTTTCCATCTGACAGAGTGACTTAGAAGATCTGTCAAAGGGACGAACTGTCAGGCATACAATAGTCTGAATCCTCGACGAGCACACAAAGGAGAATTTTACGGGATAATTGTGCTGTTGAATTTCCGGGAGTGAAGATGTAAAAACGTCAACCTGTCTGACCTATCACCAATCTGCCTCGCGCGCATAATAGCTCTTCTGTAGAGCTTGTCTGCACTGTAGACCCTGGGAGCCATACACTGGATTTGGAGAGCGTTTCAACACTGCTGGGAAAACCCGACCAAATGGGAATGTTTGCAGCAATCGTTGAAAAAAGGCTGGTGGACACGGCCAAATACCCATTCTCGGAATGACAGAATGACTGCACTTCCGACTCGGCAAGATCGTCCGCAGAAAACAGCGTATCCATTTTGGAGACATTCTTTATGTTGACTACTTTTTTCCGACAAAAAAGCAAAGGATAGTGTCGCCCTTGCATATAAGATATAGGATGCGTTGCAGAAAAGTGCTCTTATATGGACTCGATTCTGACTCTGCAAGGAGACTTAAGGATGCGCATTCCGAAGCTGAAACATCACTTATGGTACAGGTGTCTAGAGAAAGGTCAAATTTACCCAACAAGATGATGCTTTGAGTAGAATTAAATTTGAGGGGAATTGATTCAGGCGAACAGGCTGAAAACTTGTAATTGTACTTGTACTGATGTGCCGAACCAACATGTGGGCTAGACCGGAGTCCGGCAGACAGTATCGGGAAGGCGCACTCATAACAAACGCCAAGATTCGGGGTGTGGCACGCCAGGCCCAGTTATAGTCGCACGCCGTGCCAATTGGATTCCGAACTGTCCCCCATATTTGTTGTTGTTTGAAATCCTGGTCAAGTGTCTGTTCTGGACCAAGAGGTGTGGTGGTACACCTAGATGCGGGCTTTGCCTTGTCAGCCACCTGCGTCCTCTCCCGCCTCTGGTCTTATTGACCATGTCTTGGCACCGGGCCCAGGTGGGGGAGGGGGAGAGAGTGCGGTAGGTGCTGCGCAAGCCTGCTATCACCATAAACTAATTTACGCGCAAGGCACCGGGCCTGCCACCAGCCTGCTGTGGAGCACACGGTGGACCTATCTGAAATCGACGGTCGAACTGTCGCTTCTCAGATAAGAAAATCGTACCCAATACAGCCTCACATGCGATAAATGTGCTCACTCATGAAGTGTTAACAAAAATTCTGAAATGCGTTTTTAATTCGAAAAGATTACTTTAGTAAGGTTGTGCTATTGTCGTATGGCATACCAGCAAGATATTTCAGTCACGTCAGAATCCCGACTTTCGAACGTGCCTTTTACCGACCGCCTGCGTAAACTACACTCCACGAAAATGACTACTAAGTAACATGAATTTTTCCCACTGACTTTCGATGCCCTTGTGATTTCAAATATATTTCATTAAAAGTGCACAAAATAGCTTTTTTGCTAATTTGCCGGCTAATTACGTTTTCTCCGCACTTTCCGCTTGAAAAACGGTATCTTTTGGTTTTAAGAAGTTTCTAATTATATGATTTTTTAAGACTGTCAAGTGTCCAATCGTACAGCATCGCAACAGCACATTTACTAACGTTGCTTATAAAGTGGGCAAAGTTGGTCACACGCATTAAAAAAGTTCATGAACCTTATATATCCTCCTCATAGCAGCATATAAAAATGTATGATTTTCCCTTCACGAAGACTCTGCAGCCTGTAGTTCGGAAACCCTGAGTGCAGGTGTGATGGAAGGTTGGGTTCAAAATTATTCAGGAATCGCGAACGTTTTTAAAAACCGAATTACGCTTTTTCCTAAAGTGCGAATTTTGAAGAAGGCGCAATTTGCTACTAAATGAATGGGAAGTAGAATATTATTGTGCGCGCTTTCTACCAAATATATTAGAATTTATAAGGATACCGAAAATCAGCGGTAAAAATTCATGCTACTTAAGTAGCCCTTCTTTACGGGATGTAGTTTTTGCAAGCCGTCGTAAAGAAGCACATTCATTAGCCAGCATCCTGACGTGACTGGAATATCTTAACATTATGCGGAATGATAATTACTATTGACAGTTCGACCGTCGTTGTCGACGATGTCCACCGTGTGTTCCACATCAAGGTAAGAGCAGGAACGGTGACTTGCGCGTGAATTAGTTTATAGTGAATGTGGACTTGCACAGCATCTGCCGAACTCTATCCTTCTCCCACATCTGGACCCGGTGTCAAGGCAGAGTCAAGAAGACCGGAGGTGGGGCGCGCAGGCGGATGGCTCGGTCGAGCCCACACCTTGGCGCTCCACTCCACACCCCCTGGGTGACAGCAAAGACCAGGTTTTTGACCAAAAACAGCAATAGGGGACGGTAGGAGTCCCAGTGTGTGCGACGTCTGCCGGCATCCGGTTCTGCCACCGCACCCCAAAAATGTTATAGTACGCAATCCGATAGCGCCTGCCAGAATCCGATATAGCCCCCGTGTTGGTCCAGCGCATCTGCCACGTTGCCCGTTTGGGGGGGGGTGAGGGGAGCACATAAATACTATTACAAATCTGATTAAGTAATCTTTTGGAATTGAAAGCACATTTGAGAATCTCAGTCAACATCTTATGAGATAGCATATTTGCTGTAGTTCCTTAGGATGAATGTCACATCTTTTTGTTTTCATGACTTGAATAAGTTTCCCCTATGAACGATGCCCATCAACTTTTTTGTTGTCTCGCTTCTACCCCAAAGACACGCTGTCCCATCTGCTTGGATCGGTCAAGGAACCTGGTCTTCATGTGTGGTCACGCAACTTGCCAGTGGTGTGGAGATCAGGTGGCAGTCTGTCCCATATGTCGCCGCGCCGTCACCGGTCGTATCGTCCTCTATTGAATTGTAACCCTCTTGCGCATTTCATCTCAATCGTTTCGACGGTCCGGTTTTTTTTATTCAACGGACCATTTTTCGAGTTCTCTCTCTCCCTGACCATGTCTTCGGAGACTCGTACTCTCTTTTTGGAAACTTTTAGCCGTCTTTTTGTGAATGTGTACTGCCTTCAGTTACCGTTTATTCAGTTGTCATTGTGAGAAAATTCAGATTGTTAATCCTAAATGTCCAAGTGCAATGCATGTGAACCCCCAACCCTCTTTCACGAGCTTGTTTTTGCTGTGTCGTTTATTGGCATTATTTGTCACCTATCGGGTAAATTCCCATTACGAACCACAATGCTTTCTCAGTGTGCTCGAACACTCCAGGGGTGTCGCCTTGTGTTTCGAAGCAGATCCTATGCGCTCTGTTTGTGCTGTCTGAGTTGCCCCAAGACGTTGACTACTCCGGCAGCCTAGACGTCCAGCAGGTTAGTCATCTTCCAACCGATTCTCCCTATAACGTTGTCACTATCGCAATCAAAAGTCCGAATAACTTGTGCGAGGCTATTGTTGCAGCCCAGAAGCGCTCAAGCTTCAGGTAACCCAGGACTTGAGTTTGGCTAAGGAGGGCTGACGATGACAAACGACAGAATGGCTTTACCAACAAAGACAAGGGAGACTGGAATGGCCATTTCTGGCTTATTAGCCGTCGTCAGCCAGTCATACCCAACTCCGAAGTGAGGAACACGCGAGGCTCGAACTCGCGACTTGTTTGTTAGAAGTCCACGCCTCTAACCACAGAGCCACGAGCCCATTGCCCTCGGGTGTGTCACACTTCGGGGTTGGGTATGACTGGCTGAGAACGGTTAATAAGCCGGAAATAGCCATTCCAGTCTCTCTTGTCTTTGTAAATAATGCCATTCTGCCTATATCATGCGCAGCTGTGCGGCTGATGGTTGGGCTCAAGAGAGTCCATAAGCCACAACGGAACGAATGAGTTTCGTAAGAACGATCGGTGAGCGCCCCCTACCATCGATGACAAATGAATTGCAGATGACCACTCCTGTCTCCCTCTATCTTCCTTGAAAACACACCCCTCTACGCATATGCATCGGACCGCTCAAATGAACAAATCGACGGGATGGCGGTCGACAATAAATGCTGCTCTATCCCATGAAACATATTCTACAAAAACGGCGTAGACGGTGAATATGTTCAGCACTGAACTGGAGGACAATTGCTCAATTTCTGGAGCAGCACGTTGGCTTTAGGCAACTTTACGCAATAATCGATATCCTAGCATAGATCAGAAGCGAAAACTGTTTTAGTCACGTCGGTATGTCCTTAAAGTCTTTCTATTATTTCCGGGGAGTTTTATACTCTACCAAGTGGTGTATCGGGCAAAGGGAAGGCTCTTTTTCTATTATATAACTTAAAGACACAAACCGGTTACCCTTTTTCATTCAGACAAGCAAACACACGGAGTATACATAGTTTTACAATGGTAGAGGGGCGTTCACCGATCGTTTTTGCGGGGCTTATTCGTCCCGTTGTGCCTTAGGGCTCTCTATCGAGCCCAACCAGCAGCTGCACAGTGGCGCATGATATAGGCAGGATAGCCTTACCGACAAAGACAAGGGAGACTGGAATGGCCACTTCTGGATTATTAGACTCAGAGGTTAGAGGCGTTGGAATTTTAACCAACAGGTTACGGGAGGGAGTCCCGGATGTTCCACACCTCTAGGTTGGGTATGGCTGACTGACGACGGCTAGTAATCCAGAAATGTCCATCCCAGTCCCCTTTGTCCTTGACGGTAATGCTACATAGGTTTGCTTTAGAAAGATGGTGGGGTCGCACTTTCTGACATCTATCCTTGCCCAGCTCAATCTGACTTTAATTTCATAGCAATGGTTGAGGGGGTTTAAAAACAAACCGAGTTGCTCAATCCCTAGTAAGAATTTCGTATGTGGCCACCAGCTAGGACAGGGGAATAGAGCCGATTCGTAATATAGGTGCCTTGACACTAAGCCCCGGGGAATAATTGTTGGGGTTAAACTCACCCTTAGGGTTAAGTTTAGGTGTGGATTTAAGGTTAGGGTCAGGTGTTGGATAAGAATTATGGTTAAGGTTAGTGTTTCGATTGTGGTTTGTTAGGGTTAAGACACGGGTATTTGTACCCTTCCTGGAATTTCGAACAAGACCAGCCATGGGGGGGGGCATATAAGATATCCTCCCCAGTTCATCGTAACCGGTTGGGACTACTGCGCCCCGAGTAATGGTGATTCGCGCGCGAATTTGATTCTGTTGAAAAGGACCCATGTTGGGTAGCTCTCTCCACCTGCTGAAAGTCTTCCTGTGTCAGGACTGTGTTCAGAAGACAAAAACTTTAGTTGATCGCAGTAGTCGGCCAGGCATTTCGCTGGTGGCTTACAGGTGTCCCAATCACAAGAACGGAGGCAAACATCATGTGTCTGCGCATCAAATCCGCAAGTTGTGCTAGAAAATTCACACTAGGTATGAGTTACCACAACCTGTCTCAATGAGTATACGATAATGGCAGACAGGAAACCCCTGCCAAGTGATTCATGGGCTTTTTAGTTCTTTAAATTAGAATCCGTTTGCTTGTGATGAAAGGATGACACTTACGATCACCTTCGTTCCCATAAACAAAGTTAAACCATGACGATTCTGGATTAAACCAACCTCAGGACGATATTTTCGTACAAAAGAAAGCTAAACTTCACCAGGACCGCCCAGGTACAATTTCTGGGTCCGCTGTAGGTCATGTTAGTACGGTAAACTTACGTTGAGGTAGGCGCCTAGAGCTGGTGTATAACCATGGGCTATTTGTCCACTATTTTTGACAGTGACCGTAGTCCCCATTATACACGGAATCTGGCCCTTGTATCGCATGCTGCTGTTGTTTTCACGATAGATTCGGAGGTTCTCAGTCATTTAGCATGGGCCACGTCCCTGCGTCAGACCTAAAATTGAGCCAAATATTTTAGTATTGAGCGAGTGCGGAATGAATTCTGGTTTTTGTTAGTTTTGGTGAAGGCATGTACGTAGCACACGAGGGGAGGGGGACACCTATTCGGCCACCGTGTTGAGGTCTGTCTCAACTCCTATTGACCTAGTCTTTGCACATGACCCCCGGTAGGAGGGACCGAAGATATGTACAGGTCATAATAACCCCTCTCAGTCATTATGTGATCAGTGAAAACTCCTGTACCCTGCAGAGACCGATTGCTTACGTTTCCAAAGGCAGCGTGTGTCAATGCTTCTACTTTTAGCGCTACAGATCAGTAAGTCGGCTGGGAGACTCGGCTTTTGCTTTGCTACTGAGACAGCGCTGGTCGGGCATGCAGTACTCACCCTCTCCAAGGAGAGTTTCCCCTACCCCATTTTTATGACGAACATGGCACATTTATTCCGTGTGATAGCTGACATCACTTGAACTACATTAAATGTACCAGATTAAACGTTCAATGACGTTAGATTTATTAGTAGTCATATCGGCACCGGTAGAGTGATACTTGCGAGGAAGGCATTTTTGACATGCTTGCCGATTAAAACAAACAGGTCAGTGAAATTGTTCACTTATGCAGACAGACCAAAAGGCTAACATATTCGGTTATTCAACTACCTACTACTTTCAACTCTATACCATCCAAAAATCCATTGAGTGAACACTTGATCGAGTCTCAGAAGCTTTTTGCTAACATGAACATTGTTTCATGGAGGACTATGCTGTGAAGGAAGATCACTTCTCACCGTCTGGCGTCGGCAAAAGAAGTCACATTAGCGCAGAAATCTCCTCATCAGTGTCTGTGCTGCATGAATGTTCGAAGCTTCAAGTCATCTGGGGTCGTAGGCAAGTCCGGGACAATTATCCAACTGGTCAGGTGAGATGAATAACAGTACGTTATGCGCTTACCTTAAACCTAAAGCAACCGGAGTTCGTCAGGGCTTTCGAACTCAAAGAAGTTAATAAAATAACTACGCAGGGGCCTTCGGTAACCTTATATACACTGTTGTGCGCCAACGACTAGATGCGAGGAAAAGAAGGCGGTTTGCAGTAACAACTTATTTTTTCGGTCAGCCTGTGTAACAGGATTTTAACTCGCTAAAACTTGCCTCTTCACTGAATTTCCGGGATTCTAAAACATTCTGGTTTGTGTCGTGCTGATCGTGTATTGTCGTTTCATCTCCAGATTCCCCTCGTGGCAATACTTCGAATGTCCGGCAGACCATTGATTTGGCTCCACGCTCGAGCAAAATCCTCAAGCGTGTTCGATGATGCAGCACGTTCTGTGTGGCTAGCTGATTTCACGAGTGTAATTCCTGGCACCTCTCACATAAATTGGCAGTGTTTCTTGGCTCATTTTCCGTGTGTAATTCGAGCCTGAGACGATTACGGTGTGCTAAGCGCCGTGGCTTGGAAGGTTGCCAACCGACGGCCCAACTCAGTCCTTGCAGTTATTCCAGTCGTACGTTTGTGTGTCGTGAGTCTGACCGGTGGAGTGAGAGACAGGATGCAATTGCCCCTTCCTAACGTGACCTCTGACACTTTCACGCATGCGAGATATATGCCGATAACCCCCTGTTAAGTGGAACCTGGTGTGCGCGCTTGGGAAGCTAGGTCCTGTACGTGGCACACGCAGACGAGGCAACTAGATATATTTGCCACTGCGCCCATCCCCCGCACCGGACGACTGACTGGCTCGGACAGTGGCTGGGACCTGGGAATTGGAGCAGAGAGTGGGACCGACGACATGGAGCATTTTCCTCACTATTAACAATCTAACGCACTTGAGACCATCACGGCGAGCTAAAAGTCGTGGCTTGAAAGGTTGTGAAGTGACGGAATAACTTTGACCTTGCAGTCAATCCAGTCTGTGTCTGTGCGGAGTGGCGGACTCGTGGACTGAGGGTCAGGCTGAAATGCCTCCTTCTTAATGGGATCTTCATGGCAATCCCATCTAGTGGGATCCGAGCCGAGTGTGGCGGCCCGCGTAGGGGCAGCTCCGGTCCCGCTGTTGCTGATTAAAACCCAGCCTAAGTGTTTGTTTTGGACCTGGAGATGTGGCGGTATGCTGAGGTGCGGGTCCGGCCGTGCCAGTCACCTGCGAGGTGTAAAACAAAATCCTACCTCTTTTCCTATGGTTAATATATACTACTCTAATGCGAAGCCGGAGCCTAATCATAACATCAAACGCTTGCCTCCCAATGCTAAGCTCAGGGCGGATGGCAAACTTACTGCTTACCCGCCAGCGATCTGCCAATAAACTCAAGATCTACCCTGAAACTTGATCCAATATTTCTAAGCCTAGCATTATCTGTCACTCAAATTTTAGCCACCAAGCCCCCTAATTAAAATCAGGAAGTTTAATTCGAACACCGTTTCATCATAAAACTGTGCCATAAGCCTACTCTAAGCCCTCACCGTCCACTGCGGAACGCAAGCCTTACAGCTGACTGCAGGCGTACACGTAAGACCTACCCGCAATCTGAACACTAAACCATAATTTATAAGAACTGACCAGCCATAACGCTATGCACAGACTGTTATCAGGAGTTCTCATTCCGTAATATCCTTCTGCCCATAGTGACATGAAAAGGCGTTTTCTTCTAATCCGCCAAAAATACGACCTGTAAAGACTGACACACAACTCCCAAGAATAACTTTTTCATCAAGCTGCATTCTTGTAGACGTTTTTTTTCTTTTAATTCTGCTCGTGTGCATATTTATCCCTCAGATCCAAGTACAGAGCGGTTTATTTATTATAGGCCTGCGTTACTAGCCGTTCTGCGACCGCCCGTAGGGCTCTGGATCGCACTCCAAACCACAACGAGACGAGTATATCCGGTATGCCGATCGGCGAACGTACCTCCATCATTTCAGGGTTATTTTCGAGGCCTTTCACTGGTGGGAAAACATAAACATCCGTCGGTATGGAATTTAATGATTTGACGCCATAAGAAAGACGTCCGCTCACCCAGACTTTTCGGTAGGAAATGAAGTCCTTATGCGTAACCTTGTAGATTGGTTGCGGTTGCAATTTGATAGTCGCCAAAGGCAAAACCGCAGTCTCGTCAGTTTACAATGTGAAATCCTTATAAAGATCTACGCGCACTTACTTACATCTCAAGGGGAAAACATTCAAGCCTGATGGACAGCTTGCATAATACAAAAACACTGACCCTGACCACCATTGTTTAATTTTCTTGTAACATTTTCGGGTACATTCGGTATAACATTATCAGAGATCTCCAAGCCCTAATTGCGCACTCTAAATACGCCCTCGGAAATGCCCCAAGGATCTTAAAAAAGAAATCTTCACGAAGACTGAGAAGGCTCTCTCGGGGATGTAAGGCACGTACAATAGACTTTTCCCACGTCGAGCAAAGCATCGACGACTTTAAGGAACTCGATATCGTCTCACTGGGAAAACAATCATTTTTATCGGCGAAGTCGGCAGCGTTAAATAGACGCGATATGGCAAATTTACCGATGTTGATTAACACGCATGTGAACATGAGCGGTTATAGGCGGAGCACCCGCATACGGTGTGACTTCGCTCAGTAACCCTTTGTCGATAAGTTCCATGAGTCCACTTCTGAGCGGGGGATGCGTAATCAGGGAACTAGTGATTTACTTAGTTCCCTCCTTCTTATTTCTCACAATTACATCACTCAAGCTTATTCCGTAAGGCAAAGTTTCATTTCTGACGTTAATACAAGAATGTGTTCTAATATGATGTTGGCAGTCCAGAATTTGGCTCCATTTAAATAATATACCGAAGATACATTCTCCAATGGCGTTGCCTGCTCCTAATTAGAAATGCTCCCTCTTTCACTAACGTTCAGGTATGCCAGGAACAAAATGTGTCTCAGAACTGGATTATTGAAGGCTGCAGTCTCGTCAGCTGCATGTATAGATCCTCATTTTTGTGTAAGATCCTGGGAACGGCCAGTAGAGTCGTTGCTTGTCCTTGTCAGGAAGTTCCCTTGCTTCCTGTTATTTGAACTTTGTACAGCAGTCGCCAATTTTATATAGAATCGGGGTTCTTTAAAAGCCCGACCAAGTTCATGTGGACCACGGGCCTACCCGCTAACGCCTGGGTTTAACTCTGGAGCGGTTGCAGCAGCTTGTTCGTGTATCCACTTCCCCTGAAATCTATGTTGGCAGTTTGATAGTAGTTTGTTTATCACTAGAAAGTATATTAATTTGCTCTTTATAATCTTTCTCTTAAACTCGCAACGAATGTACGCCAAGCCCATGGATCTGTAGTATTCTATCGTGATCTGCTGCGGTTTTTACAAGGCAAGCATGTATGCGTCGACCTTCATTTGAAAAGAAGTGTCCCAGCAACGTGTGGACCTTAGGTAATAGTTGACACAGATATAGAAGGTTTGTCGGCAGTTTATTTGAAAAGTCGAGGTGGTAGTTCGTCTAAATCGCCGATTTCGAGTCCTTCAGTGCTTACGATTGTCTTCTGGTAGGATTTTCTGTAAAACGGATATTCATTGTGACTGGACTCAACAGGCCTTTCGTGGTTGAAAGAAAAGGTTCCCTTCGCTTGTGCAAACAGATTGCAAAATATTTTGAACTAACCCTCCTCTCTCAGTAAGTTAAACGCTGTTGCCAATGTCAGTCAAGAGGATTAACTCTTTGTTCCCTATGCTTATTTGGTGTTATCCGTTGCATCGCTTGGGATGCTGAGTTGCCCCTCTTAGGAAATAACATTACAAGTCCTCACACATTTTTATGCTCAAGCCTCAAAGTCCGTTTGGCTGAGTCTTATATTGGCTAAAATATTCGACTTACTTAGTTAATAGCCTTTTCTCCGTGGTCTATGTTTTCCGATACTTTTTTCTAGCTGGCCATCCAGGTGTCTCGTTTTGCTTTGTATTTGCCAATTGGCAGCAACCATTGATGCTTTGCATAATGACGTGCACCAAATACAAATACAACAAATCAAAATTTTGGTGGACGTCATCCGTAAAACTGACACCCCCATTGGAGATAGGTCAAACTCCGTTCGGTTGGAGTCGCCTTTCGGTTGGGGTCACTTTGTCAAGCATTAAGTCCTCTTGATCTGTTATGTGCAGAGCTGAAAAGGACGAGCAATTCCACGTAAGCATCATATGGTCACTTCAGTCAAGTGGAGTTAGACAAATATCGTTGCTTTTTGTAATAACTGAGTACCGGAAGTTAATCCCTTGCATTTTACGTAACCTGGACAGAAACGCAACAAATTATAAGAGAGGCGTATCCGGTCATCCATGTGGACGACGGTAGACGAGGGTCGATTTTATATCATATGTGCTCGCTACTCTTGTGTAATGCACACGGTACTTCCTTGTGTTCTGTAGTTGCCCATAATCACAAATTAGGTCAATGGAGAATTACTAACAACCGCTGTGATATGTACTAATCAGCGACCTTGCCTGTTCATTGTTGGTCGGTAGAAAACAAGAGCACTTGTATGCTGTGAACCAGTCACTTTGACGGTTAGCCAACTACCCTCCGTTCTACAGCAAACCCGGTCTGCTCTCTTGACATGCACAGGACTTTCTTCACACACAGGATAACTCCGCCCCACTGGCGGTTCTCTCGGTCTCTCGCAAATATTTGGTACAAAGTCAATGCTATTTCGTTATGACGGATTTTCGTGGGCAGTCGGCTTTCGGTTACTAATATCTTGAACGCAAATAATTTGTTGAGGCCAAAATTTAGTTGGTTAAGTTTGGCTGGCAGAAGTTCGGTATTTGTATACAAGAACCTGAAGTCCGCGTCATCCGCAAATAAGGTTGCGTTAATAGCTAGCATAGGATTTACCGCATCCCCTCGAAAGTCATTTTTATTGGCCAGCCTAGTTCCTGTCTCCGTCGCAGCAGACCTTATAACAAATAAGGAGTTCGAATATGCGAAACTACATTTCTCTAAAATAAAATGGACTCTTCAATTCTTCCGGAGGTTTGCCTTATTCTAAGGACTCATAGAATATAATACCCAGTAGCTCACGTAGTTCGTTGGGAAGTTTCCCAAATTATATTGCAGGTGCTCCGTCTGGACCAGGCGACTTAGCGATCTCAGTCGGAATGATTACGAACTAACTGGTGTCGACGAAGTGTACAGTTCTCCTATGGAGAAAGCCGACAGGTAGACGAGTTAAACGAGTGGAAAGAAAGCAAAATGGATAGATCCGCGAGTGAACAACGACTACAACGAATTAGAAGGAATGGATGTTTTACCTTGATCATCTGCTTTCAGTGTTCCGCCAACACACTTTGGGGTAGAAACTGGACCCTGGCATCTTGAAGTGTTCCCTATGAAGCCAAATTAGTTTTTTGGATGTTTCAGAAACTTATTGCGAAACCTAGTAGTCTCGCTTTGATAGATGTTACGTTAATGCTTATGTCCCCTGTATTGCTATGCAGTGCCAGTTGGCCTACAACAACTCAAAAGCAATTTCTTTTTTAAGATGACCGTACTTCCAATTTCAACCGCTTCAGGGGGAGGTGTTTGTGACTGCCTTTGCTCTAGGAGGACACCTGAGGTCCATATCCTTCCTTGATAACGAAATGAAAGTCCTCCAGTGGTCACTTATTCGACCATAAAATTCAATTTTCCATGGCACTTCTGAGTTTTCTTTTGGCGCAGATGGGTAGTCTTATTTTAAAATGCCTGTCTCCACCTATCAGGTAAATTTTATTTAGAAAGCACAGGGAACACGAAATGCAGCGCAGCATAATCGCTGGAAAGGAACTAAGATCAAGACAGTCTGGCTGTCATCCTACTCCAGTCCTGGGTTTGAAGGTGAAGTTCTGAAGGAAAAGCCTGTTCGTTATCCACCATATCAACTTGTAGTTAATTTTGACTGATAGGCCATGTGCAGTTTACGGTTGCCAATCAATAGCAGGACCACTAAACTTTTTGACAAAATAATAACATCTTTCTTCTCAATGTTTTTGTACAGATTTGTTAAAGGAATGCGACCATGGTGAGGTGACGGATTAGGCGAACGGCACGCCACCACTAGTGTTAGCGACCGTGCATTATACGTGAGACGTTGATGTTTAGCAGTTCCACCTCCTTTGCCGGATGACGTACTTGAGCAATGACACGTAGTTTGCCAGGGGCATAAAGTATGACTCCGTCGGACCTGTGTGATCTATCCTCCTGAAGTGCTGATATTTCCTGACTGATATTTGAGATTCCCCACTAGTTTTAGAAGGCTAAGTTGTCTGGTTCGACTTCGTCTATTAAGTTTCTAGGTTTATCCAGTTTGTTGAACTGACCATGTACATCTGCGGAGATAGCCTGTAATGAGCGTCTCGTCTGGGAGTTGCAGCCTTCGCTGGGACAGGTTCCCACCGCAGGATTGACCCCCCGATCAGTATTATTCGACCGCCCTTGCTTTTGCTAATTTTGCCCCATATCCATCCTCTCCCTCCAATCCACCCTCAGTATTCCCATTTCCAGTGCTTTTCTCTGGTCGTGGTCTGACTGAGAAACGCTTCATTTTGCGAATTCTGTAAGGTCATCCTTTATTTTAACAGAGGCGCTAGCTGCACTTCATTTTCCAGGGCGATTTTAAGGGTCCCGAGAATTATTGTAAGTCGTGCCTCTCACCGTTTGCCCTACTTTTAAGATTTTTGGCATCTTAAATTGAAGGATGTGTCGAAAGCAATGTTCGGTATTGTCGCCGCGAATTTCGGATTTTTTGCACATGAAGATTTTTTTTACCTCTTTCGGAACTTTAGCCTACAGAACGCTGATACACCTCGAAGGCATTAAAGATTGAACATGGACCGACGGTACATTCTCCCCCACGAATTTCAATGGAGGCCTCCGACGAAATAACCAACCTCGATGAACTGTCTTTCCGCCTCTAGTTCTCCCACACCTTCCGGGTTTAAAAATAGCTGTGTTTTGACTTACAGTTTCTTCAAAATAGGCGTTCCTTTGGAATAATTCTTAATTAAACCTTGGCAGAAACTTAAATTATCGCATTTCAAGTAAAATTACGCAAGCGCCTTAGCTCGGAAAACATTAGGTCGTTGTTATCCTTTTCCTTTCCGAACGCACAAATTCTTGACTTTCTAAGGAATTCTCCTGGAATTAAAGGGCAGATATGACTTGCTTCGCTTGTCTGGCTGGAAACTCTCATTTAAATATGCACGACCTGAGTACCAAGTCCACTGATATCATTCCCTGCTGGGATGATCTTCGCGGCTTTTAACGTTCCACCGTCTTTTCGACCCCAAGCTATTTGTTAATAATCACGGCGGTTTCCCCCTGATGCCACTTGGTTAGTGGTTTGTCCTATGGACAAAGAGGTGTCATGGTGGCATTTACCCGCACTTTGATAATCCTCGTGGTCTTTTAATGTGTCCTGTTCGCTTCTATTCTAAGCAGACTGTGGGCGATCGCGGTGGGCCCTTCCTATCTCCCCACTTTGACGGCTGTTTCTGCAGTCATTTGAGATACAATGCGATCACATCTACGGCAAGTAGCCCCATCCGGTTTAGAAATTTCTCCTCGATGACGAACTTCTTAAGGCCTAATATATTCTCATCAGCAGGCCAGCTCTGTCCTTCCTAATGAGATATCCTCTTTCAGGTACCTTCAGTTTATTCAGTTTATTTGGTAAGGAGAATAGGCAAAGCCTTTGAAAACCCTATTGATTACATGTCAGCTCGTTAGAAATAACTGTACACGAACAAAAAATGTTCACTATTAAAACAGTACTTGATTCATTTGAGTTGCACTGTCTCAGAGAAAATATTTGTCTGGACCAGGGGTATTAATTCAGATTCAGACTATCGAGGGAGAACAGGGGACACAAATAATCATCCAAGCGTTTCTTGAAGAGTTGCAGGGACGTAGCCTCCACGACTGACTGAGGGAGATCGTTCCATTTCTCCACTACCCTCTGCGTGAAAAATTCAGAACGAAGATTCAGCCTGGACATAGTTGCCCGTAACTTCATCGAGTGACCACGAAGATTGGGTGAAAGGTGCCACTGAAACATGTCCTCAAATTTAAGTTCATACTCAAGGCCATGTATTATCTTGTAGACGAGGATAAGATCACCTCTTTGCTGCCAGATGCGCCGCGGCTTCCGACTTATGTCTTCTCGCACATCGGCTTTTCGAGCTTCTGTATTGCCATTCCCGGCGCACTATCATAAGTGTGAAGAGACAGAAATACATAAGCTAAGACTTGAACTGCCCCCGTAATAATCGTTCCTTTTGTGTTAAACTTTTTGGATATGGAATAATCTATTAAAGCGTCTACTGCCCATAGTGAATGGAGCAAAATTTTTGCTGAAAATTTTGAATTTAGGATTTCAAAATAAAGCTGATTTCTCTCTCCCCCTCTCTCTCTGTCCCATTCGCATGTTGTCCTTCGCTTGAGTGACAATTATGTCTCCTTAAGAACTAACAAATCAAATTCATTTTTGTCTTTTTCAATTAATCTTCGGGAAGTTTAGTCGTCACCCGCCCATTTTTTCATATCCGGCTGGCTATTGTAACACAAATTAAACAATGTACAGGTTTGCTTTTTCATCCCCGTATTCAATTCTGAACGTATTTTGCTGTATTGTTTTTTACTTATAGAGACAGCAACCTCATGGGAGCTAAATAAACTGATAAATAAGTAATGCACTAATAAATAATAAATAGACAAAACGTTTGCACGTCATTTCTAGGTAAGGCATATTAAAACGTCCGCGGTTTGTGGGCTCCAAGCCTGGACACCGTGGTGACCTTTTAGCGGTCATAGCCAACCTATAACACGATTCCACACTTGTATGAAGTCCAGAAAGGCCAGGCGAAACGACCATGCCAAAACGGTTTTAATTGTCAACACTGCCCGTGAAAACAAAGGCAGTGAGTGAAAAGTCAGTTAGTGAAACCGAAACTCACACCCGTTGGAGTATCCGCGTAACCGTTACGCAGACACCAATTTAAACAGGGGTGAATGAATGCGAGCTTAGGAAATGTCTAACGAGCAGACTGACTATAAAAAGTAGTGTATTAAAAGAATATGACAAAGAGCTGCAACAATACATCCACCTAGGCCGGCGGCCGGCGTAAAAACGACGCCGACGGCAAATGCAATGTTAATACACTTGAGTGATAAGGTGGTCGGGAAAATGGATCGACGGCCGTTGCGAGTGGTGCAAATGCCAATGACATTGGAAGAGTTAGGGTGGGGGTTGGTGGGTGGAAGTGGGGTAGGAGAGGTTTGGAAAGATGGAGGGTCACGGGGGTAGGGGGACAGCACAGTCTTTTATTTGAGGCAGGTCCGGAGGCTTCTCTTCGACATTAGCTTAGCCCGACTGACACTGAACACGTCCTCCTTGTCCCCGCGAATGATCTAGCAGGTCTTTCAATGCATGATAGTACGCTGAACGGTCCTTCGAAGGGTGTCTCCAGCGGCTTGCGGACACGGTCACATCGAACAAACACATGGGTGGAATTCACCAGGCCTTCTTCGAAATATGACTCAGTCGGTGGAGTTCGAGGTGGAACTCGGGAAAGTGTGTGCATTAACTGTCGCAAACGATGAACAAAGTTGATGTGACTCTCATCGACAGCACGAGAGGTTGGGGTGACCAGCTCTCCTGACAGTCGGAGGGTAGGACCAAACACCAATTCGTCAGCGCTGCCATCCAGGCTCGACTTCAGTGTCGAGCCAAAGTCAGGGAGCACAAGGGGCAGGTCGTCAAACTAACTGGCTGGGTCTTCCAAGGCACGCAGGACGGTCTTCAGCTGGTGGTGGAGACGTTCGACCACGCCGTTGGCAGCTGGATGGTATGCCGTCGTCCGAATGCGCGTACAGCCAAGAAAGTTGAGGGGGGCTTGGAAAAGGGTAGACTCGAAATTGGCTCCTTGGTCAGTCGTAAATGTGGATGCGGCATTGAGACCGGTGGTCCAACGACTGACAAAAGCCTGCACACTCGACAAAGGAATGGTTTTAGCCGAGCGAGTGTACCGATCACCGGGGGCAGGAAGGTGAGTATGGCCATTGGATGGAGGCGAGGAGGTTGCGACATCCAGGTGCACACGACTGAATCGCGCGTCGGCGATGGAGAAAGTGCCAGGCGGGGAATTGCTATGGCGCCGCGCCTTGTTCTGCCGACATCTCAGACACGATCGGACCCAAGCTTCGGCGTCGTTGTTCATGTCAGTCCAGACGAACCTTTCCGCGAGTAGCTTTTGAGAGGCTCGGATCCCCGGGTGAGAGAGTCCATGCAGAGCTTGAAATACAACTGGACGCATCGGGACGGACACAAAATGGTGATAAAAGAGAGTCGAGATGGCATGAAATATAGTACTAGTACCGGTGGTCAGAGGAACGTTTTTGAGTTGGGCACCACTTACGGACTCGTCATCATGAAAACCGACTCGTTGCTCAGCCGTCATGGCGCTAAGGTCAATCCCGTGTGAGAGTTGGAGGTAAAATAGTGACGGTCTGGACAGCATGTCAGCCACCTCACTCCTAAGGCTATCAATGTGGCACATATCGATGGTGAACTGGGAGATGCAGTCCACGTGTGCGATCTCTCTCGGATTGTACTTGTCGGAATGGGAACGAGAAGCAAAGGTCAGTAGCCTGTGGTCGTGAAAACAATGAAGTCCCGACCCACTGGGAAATACTGGAAATGATTCACAGCCAGGTAAATGACAAATACTTCACGACCAAAGGTATCGTAGAGGGTCTCAGACGACAAGAGCTTTTTGAGACAAAGGTCAGTGGTCGAGTAGAACCAGCGAGGTGTTCCTGAAGGTCTGCACCTACGACCACGGCCGAAGAAGCTACCATCAGGGACAGGTGAGCTTGGGGAGCGGTATGCGTGAGCAAGGTGACGTTGGAAAGAGAACTCTTGATTTTCTCAAAAGCCGCCAATGCTTCACCAGTCAATTCGAGGGGGGTTTTGGGACCAGAAGGCATGTTGGCGATTCGCAGCATAAGGTCAACACATTTCGGAAGAAACCGGCGGAAAAAGTTGGCCATTCTGAGGAATCGCTTCAAATGACGCTTGGAGGTTGGTGGAGGGAAACCGCGAATTGCTTCAACCTTGGAGGAGGGGGGACCTTAAACCTCCAGAGTATATATGATGATCGAGGATTTCGAGCAATTGCACACCCAGAACTCACCTGGAGGGGTTGGTGATAACGCCAAACTTGTCGAGGCGGTCAAACACTAAGGCGAGGTGTTCTTTGTGTTCTTCGGCATTCGGGCTGGCCACCAAGACGACATCAGTACAGGCGTGCACAAACGTTAGGCCGCGTAAGACATGGTTAATGAACCTCTGGAACATTTGGGCGACATTACGAAGACCGAAGGACATGCGGATAAGTTCAAAGAGACCGGAAGGTGGGGTGATGGCGGCTTTGGTGATATTCTCAGGGACCACAGGGATCTGATGAAAGGCACACAACAGGTCAATTTTCAAGGAAAGTGCTTCGCTAAAAGTACTCTGGCGAAATCCTGAAGATGTGGCACAAAGTATCGACCGGGAATTTTGGCATTGTTGAGGACACGATAATCACCGCAGGGTCTCCAGTTGCCCGATGTCGCCTTGGACACCATGTGCAGATGGGACGCCCAAGGGCTTTCGGCTTTCCGACGGTCGGATGATGCCGAGTTGCAGCACGTGCTCAAACTCTGTCTTTGCGGCCCGCAGGCGGGTAGACACCAGTCGTCTAGATCTAGATAAGACAAAAGAACTTGATGTGCCGATGTGATGAACAAACTCAGGCTGAACCTCGCTACTGCGAAAATGGGGGGTGGTAATCTTCAGGTGTTGAAGCTGCAGCTCCCGATAGCCACAAGCAATACATGTACCCAGAACAGATCGGTTGCAGAGAGTTACAAAGGGAGTTAATTCACGAACAGACAGACCAATTGTGCGGTCGAGGGGACGCGAAAATTGGCGGTCAACAAGGAGATCGAACTCGGTAAGAAAGTCTGAGTCGAGGATTGCATGAGGGACATCAGCAATCCCGAGGATTCGGGAGGACGACCGACGAAGCTCAGTGTCTACGGTGAGGTACAGGATGCCAAAAGTGAGAATGGGGGAGCAGTTAGGAGCTTGGAGATGAAGGTCAGAGCTTAGAAAACGACACTCGGATGCAGTGGAAGGGACGACACTGATTTGGGCTACCGTGCCACTAGGAAACGTTTCCGTGTCACGCTGTCGCAGACAACTAAGTATACTGTTCCAGTAAGATGTTTCTTCAAGTAGATATTCGGAAAGAATTCGATGCTAGCAACACCTATGTTGTTGAAAAACAAACCACTAAAACCTACGGGAAGCATCCGAAATTATTTATTGTAGATGGCGTAAATAGTTTGTCGAGTGGAAACGTCAAGCAGAACAAAATAATTCCTAATTCCATCAGCAAACCAGGCCACGTACATCTCGATAAAAAGCACAATATTTGTCCACTCTGCGTATAAAGAACAAAGGAGTCTAACGTGAACTCAGTCTGTCCCGAGAGTATTCAGAAGGCGTCCTTCAGTTTGTGAGTATACACGGAGCTTTTGGGCAAAAAAGCGCATATATCGTCTAAGTTATCATTACTGTGGCTTTCTATATTCATCCTTAAAAGAGAAATCATGACATCGCGAGTCCTGAAGGGTAGAATGATTCTTTGGAATTTACACAAGGAAGTGCATTTTCCTCGGGTTATTGACTAGTGAGAGACACAAAATGAACTATCTCGGGACGAGGCTCCGGAAGAAAACAGAATAGGGAGGAAGGTAGTTAAAATAAGGAGTACGAAAGTACTACAGGGAAAAGAGCGTTTCATTGACAGACACTGTTAATAAACACGCAAGGATCTTATTTGGAAGACGGGCGTTGAGGTTAATGTATTTATGCATATAGAACCTGTTCGAAAACTGCATAAGCTGAAAATGTTAGTCCACGAACAAACAGTGGGTGTCATCATTTTAACGGTACAGTACCTGTGCTAACTCATGAAATGCCGAGGTCAAAATTATAGTGGAAAATGTAGCGTATTTTTGGTGTCGTTATTTGTGTTTATTTAGTTGAAATAAGTACGAAAAGACCGTTTGCTGAAGGAAAGTTTGATACGGATCTGTATATTAAATAGAAAACGGGCCGGATTTAGGCGAAATCGGAGGATTCCTGATATTCAAGCAGTTTCCTACGCTATTAAAGCTTTCGGATCGAAATTCTTCGTGTTACCTTATTAATCTGTTTAAGGAGATTAATAAAGGGACGAAATTTTTCAATGTACTTTCGAACAAAAAGAAAAAATTAAATTTCAATATCAAGAAAATCAGGGAAATGCAGATAAATTATTTCTTAAGTTGTTCAGGAAATAACGTGCGATTCTCCATCTAAAAATTCTTTTTACAAATGCGTAAAGTTTTATGTTTCAAAATACCGAAATAAAAAAGTTTATCAGTGTGATTGTTTTACCAGACTGAAAATGCGTGTCGTAAACGAATATATATTGAGTTCGCGCGACATGCCGTCACTTTTCTCTACCTCGCCAAACGATACCTATGTCTAAACAATACTTATCCGAAGTTGACTTCCAGCGCATTCGAAAATTAGCGGCGGAGGGAATCCCGCGTGAGTCGTTAGCTAGTATTTTCAATATTATTTATTTTTATCTCAGTAAATAATATTTTCTTAACCGACCTTTGCTTTGTTTCTTTGACACATCGTTTATTTTCCGCTATCAGACTTTGGGAGCCGTAGTGTTTACCGATTCTGCGTTAAAGTCGTTAACCTGTGTTAATTCGTGACATTTCATGAGTTAGCACAGGTACTGTAATATAGCTTAATTGGGGTAGAGAAGAACACAAGTTATCTATAAGACTAAATCAAAACATCAGAAGAGATAGGAGGAGCCGAGAAGGAGGAGTCGTTTTCCAGTTTAATTATCATAACACTTCGGTCTAAGAGCAGTATATTACGATACTGGGATTAGATTTTTCACCTTTAAATATTTCCTCCAATTACATCTGGACATTGCCATTTGCGGTTGTCTACTGCTCTTTTAACCAGACTGTCGAAGGCAGTGTTCAACTCCTTACCGGAATTAGGCCAAACATGCTCAAACAATGATGTCCTTAGCTTTGGACATTGCGAGGCTCGCAATGTAGAATGGCAGGCTTGGACTCTACCGAATCATGTGGAAGTATTCAGTCATCAGTTATCGCTAACGACAGCAGAAAGGTACTCTATCACGATATAACACTTGATACAAACGTTAGATATGAAAAAAACTTTCAAACAATTTTTAAAGACACAGCATCCCATCCTCCGAGGCGCTATCGGAAATCCCATAGTTGATGCCCAGTTAACCGATGAGAACTTCAATGATTTCTTGTCCAAAGACTCGACCACTCCGCTTCCGACCATCCAGGCATTGACCGGGCAGTTCTAGAAACTATAACTTTCACTCTGTGGGACGTGACTGTTGCGATTCGGCGTTTTCGTCAATCTTATATTCCAGGCTCTGATGGTGTCCCAATAAGCATTTTAAAAGCCGATGCAAATATGATTTTCCATTCCCTATTATGCGAGATATTTAATCTCGCTCTTATAAGTGAAACTTATCCTACCGTCTGGGAGGAATCACACATTTACCCATTCCTAAGCACGGCAACTCTACATAATTTGATGACTTTCGGCCAATAAACACCCTCCCCGCAGTTTCGAAGATCTTAGAGATCTTGGATGATTGTCACTTGAAACTGTCCTCTTTCGGAATAGGTGGCAAACTTATAAATTTTATATCCTCTCACCTGGGCACTCGTAAACAACGAGTTAAGATTTCAAATACTTCCTCCACCCCCACACGTGTGAGGAGTTGAGTCACTCATGGTAGTATACTCGGCCCGCTTTTATTTTGCCTTTTCTTTAATGATGTACCCGATTTATTTCAGAATAGCAAGCCCTTCATGTCTGCCGATGATCTTAAAGTTGCATACCGATATAAGCCGGCAGATCGTTAAATCGCGCTTGAGCTCCTAAAGATCGACCTACAGACATTCGCCCAGTGGTGCCGCACATGGCGCCTTTCTCTTTCTTGGCATAAGTGCTCAGTCATGGTGGTTGGCGACGACCGCCAACCTCAACTAAGTATTGAAGGTCACGCCATAAATGTGCCTGGGGTTATTAAGGATCTGGGCGTATCATACTCCAAGAGTTTCAATCTCTCGGAGCACTGTGCCTTGATAGTCTCCAAAACACGTAGAACGACCGGCTTTATCCTCCGAAACTTTAAAACTAGCGAAATAAGTATGCGTCTTTATAACATGTACGTTAGACCTGGCCTGGAATATGTTTCGTTTTTATTTAGCCTCATGCGTGCTGCTGAGCGAAAGAAAATATAATCCGTTCAACGTTTTTTTTACCAAGAGTGTCTTAACCCTGGAACACCGACACTTGTCTTTCCAAGAACGTTGCCGGCTTACAGGCCTTGATCCGTTATGGTTCGTAGATTGCAAAAGGGACTATTTTTGCTATTTAAGTCAGTTTATTAAGGGAATGAGGCTTTCGCCCTTGAGCTCCCCATTCATATCGAGAAACAAAAATAAAGTCATCAATTACATCAGCAAATGCGGAAGGTTCAAAAGTTAGCGGTAAGTGTGAGCCAGGCGCAAACTGCCGCCGCTAAAACAATCGTGATTATATGTACAGTAGTTCCTCAACAAATGAGCATCTAGTCTACACATCAAGGATTCGACACTTTCGGAAGAACCACCGCACTAGGGAGTCCGTTCCCTGTCCCAATGACCCTGTGAGAAAAGGCGTTCCGTCGGACGTCCGAATGAGCCAGCTTCCTCTGCAGTTTGAAGGGATGACCACGCAGACGGTCAGTCCCGGCAAATTCGAAGAATTCTTCAAAGTCTAGAGCACACTCACGGCCTCTGACAATCCTGTAAGTTTAAATGAGATCGCTGCTCAGTTGCCTGTAATTGGAAAGAAACAGATTTATTTCGGTCAGCATGGTTTCCTAAAGCAGATGATGAAGATTCATGACCATCTTCGTACCCATCGTCTGTACTCTTTCCAGTCGTTGATAATCTTTCTTTAACTACGGCCGCCAGGCCTGGACTGCATACTCTAAGTGAGACTGGACGAATGCCCCATAGGTTTTTCCGAACAGATCTTTATCGATCTGCACAAATCCTTGCCTCAGCGCAAATAACACCCTTATTGCACTTCTGGCTGCCCTTTGGCACTGTGCTGATGGTTTCAGCGAGGAGGTCATTAGGACACCAAATTCTTTCTGTTACAAAACATTTGAAAGGGACTGCCACCCAGGATGTATTGAAAGGAATCGTGCTCCTTACTGGTCTTTTTGGTGCGGATAATTTGGGATTCATACTCCTTCCGTGCCTGACGGATACATTTTTTGACTGCATTTCGTTGGCGACGAAATTCTTTGAAATGCGCTGGTGACGCAGTTTACTTGAATATTTTCCATCTTTTGATTTTCTTCCGTAGCTGCCTATTTAGATCCCTAGTTAACCAAGCTGGTTGACTAGTTGTTTTTTGTACTTTAGTTGAACAACAGCGCCTAATCAGATCGAGTGAAATCGTCTTAAAAGATCTCCAGTCGTCCTCCGGATCTCCCCTGAGTAATTGGTCTCAATTCACGGACAGCAATTCGTTCTTCATCGTATTAAAACCTGCTCTTATACAATCGCATCTTGAACCCACTCAGTTCTTTAAGACATCATGTTCACCCCCGACGTAACAGTAACCGTGAGGTGTTTTTAGTTCTTACTCTGACACGTTCTGTTAAATATTGTCGGTTTTTTCTGTAAATGCAATTGCTATTTGGAATAAACTACACAGGAATGTAAAAAACCGGCAAAATTATCCTTTGTTCAAGAGAACCATTACTCGATTTTTGCATTCAGAAAAGCTCTCACCAATTTTGGATGCTGAATCCAATGATCGACTCTACCGTAGCGATGGTGATTGTGGTCTCCGAACAATATGGCCGGCCTACCCAGGAAAAATTTCTTTGGCCAGCAGCTACAGCTGTTCTTCGGCGCCTCTATTTTGGCTATCCCCAAATTCATGAAAGGGATTGGCGACTGGTAATATCCGATACCGTGCAACCTCCTCCCCCCTTCTTGACAGTCGAGAGTTTGTGAAAAGCTCCCACAAATTTTTCAGCATATTTGGTAAGGAGAATAGGCAAAGCCTTTGAAAACCCTATTGATTACATGTCAGCTCGTTAGAAATAACTGTACACGAACAAAAAATCTTCGCTTTTAGAACAGCACTTAATTCATATGAGTAGCATTGTCTCGGAGAAAATATTTGTGGGGACGTGGGGTCTTACTTCAGATTCAGACTGTCGAGGGAGAACAGGGGACACAAATAATCATCCAAGCGTTTCTTGAAGAGTTGCAGGGACGTAGCCTCCACGACTGACTGAGGGAGATCGTTCCATTTCTCCACTACCCTCTGCGTGAAAAAATTCAGAACGAAGATTCAGCCTGGACATAGTTGCCCGTAACTTCATCGAGTGACCACGAAGATTGGGTGAAAGGTGCCAATGAAACATGTCTTCACAGCTAAGTCCTTGCTCAAGGCCATGTATTATCTTGTAGACGAGGATAAGGTCACCTCTTTGCTGCCTGTAACACAGAGGGAATAAGTTAAGGAAATTCAGTCTGTCTGTGTAGGATCGGCTTTTTAGACCGTTAACCAGCTTTGTTGCACGATGTTATGCCCGTTCGAGGCATGCTTAGTCCTTTGCTAGCCATGGCCGCCATGCTTGTATGCCATATTCTAAGTGGGGCCGAACAAAAGTGCCGTAAACTCTCCTAAAAAGGTCTTGGTCAAAGTTTACGAAAGTCCTTTTGATCGCATGCAGCACTCCCATGGCGTTTTTTGCAGCCTTGTGGCACTGCAGTGTTGGTTTCAGGTTGTTCTGTATCCAAACCCCGCGATCCTTCTGTGAAGATTCTGCGGGGAGTCTAATATCTTTCAGGTGATATGTCCTCAGGCTCTCATTTGAATGAGAGTTGGTTGGGCGCAGATGAAGTACGGCACACTTCTCCACATTGAAATCTAGAAGCCATTTCTTCGACCACGCTTGCAGTCGGTGCAGATTATCTTGAAGGGATCTCGGATCATTTGGACCCTTAATGACTTGCCAGAGCTTAACGTCGTCGGCAAACATTATTTTGCCGCAGTCCAGTTCCTGAAGGCTGTCATTAACATAAAGGACGAGGAGCAATGGTCCCAGAACTGAGCCTTGAGACACACCACTGGTCACGTTCACCCATTCTGACATATCATCTCCGATACAGACACGTTGTTTCCGACCAAATAGAGACGTCCTTATCCAGTTCAGAAGATCTCCCCGGATGCCGATGACGCTCAATTTGTGAAGAAGACGTTGGTGAGGGACAGTGTCAAAAGCTTTGCGGAAATCGATGTACACGACATCGACCTCAAAACCCTCTTCTAGAGCCCTGGTTCAGATCTCCAGACAAGCTAGCAGATTTGGGAGGGAGGAACGTCCTCTCCGGAAGCCATGTTGAAAATCCTGCAAGATAGTATTTTCTTCACAAAACTGCTGTATAGCGCTCTTTACTATAGCTTCCATAGTTTTGCAAGGGAGGCAAGTTAAGCTAATAGGCCTAAAGCTGCTTGCTATCATCCTGCTACCTCCCTTATGTAAGGGAAGGAGGTTAGCTGTCTTCCACTGTGATGGCAACCTTCCTGTTCTCATTGGCAGCTCAAAGAGAGTCGAAAGGGGCTTTGACAGCTCCGTTGATAGCTCCTTAAGTATCAGCCCGGGAATTACGTCGGGTCCAGGAGACTTATCAGGTTTTATTCGACTGAGGAGGCGTCTTACTTCTTCGAAAGAAAAGACAATGGTTTCAATGACGGCAGTATCTTGACGCATTTGAAGCTCCCGGCTGTCTCGTTCCATTTCAAACTGCTGATTGTCTTCTGAGGACTCCTCCGTAAAATCCGATTGAAAAAACTGAGACAGTAATTGCACTCTCTGAGGCTCTTCAACTAATAAGTTTCCGAGGATATCCTTAAGACACGCAATTTCGTCCCTATGTTTTCTCCTACTGCGGATGTACCCGTAAAACTTCTTGGGACATGTAATGGATTCTGCCATCAGTCGGCGCTCGAAAGAAGTTCTAGCAACCCGTATTTGTTTGCGGCATTTATTGCGCTGATCCTTATATTCGGAGAATGACCTTGGATCTCGAAGTTGCAAATACTTTTTCCATAGTCTCTGTTTCTTCTTCATGGTCTTTTTTGTCGTCGGATTGACCCACGGCGGTCGCGCCCATTGTCTTGTTATTTTTATTGGACAATGGGTATCAATTAAACGCTATATAATCCCGCGAAAGTAATGCCAAAATTCGTCTGAATCTCCCACGTTGACCAACCAGGTTTCCTTTAAAAGAGGACGTCTCATTGTGTTAAAGTCACCCTTCCAAATATTTCTGCACCTCTTGATTTTTGGTTGTTGGTTGGATAGGAGAGAGCACACGCAGGTAAAAGCAATATTATCGCTTAAACCGACTGGAGGTTGTGGATTCACTCCCCTTATGAGTCCTTCTTCTTTACTGAAAACGAGATCTAAACAGTTAGATCGTTGTCCTTCTCTCATTCTTGTCCCGAATTTTATGTGCTGGATGAGGTATTCATTCAGGGAGAGTTGTAGTAGCTTGTGGTCAAATGACGTGGACGGGGCGTTTGTTAGGGGAATGTTCCTGTCTATTCCTGGAGCGTTGAAGTCACCCAGAAGTAGTAAGTTCTCCTGCTTACATAACAACTCCAGTGCACCAAGTAATTTCATATCGGCGCTTTCATTCGAGCTAGGAGGCCGATAGACAACACACAGGTTCAATGTCGGTAATTGTTTGATAAATATCTTGCATGAAATTATTTCAAAATTTCGGGGCGCACCATCGGATATTTCTCGTTGACAGCACGCAATTTCATTTGACACATAAATAGCTGTGCCTCCTCCTCTACGCTGAAAACTGTCACAACGGAACAGTTGGTAGCCTTCATTACTGACTTCGCTACTACTTATTTCCTCAGTCAACCATGTCTCTGTTAGGACAATTATGTGTGGCTTCTGTTCAGAGACTAATAATCTGAGTCCATCTAGCTTGTTTAGAAGACTCTTACAGTTAGTGTAATAGATTTCTAGACAGCGGACACTGGTGCGAGCAGCCTCAGGAGTTGGCAGCTTTGCATCGGTTAGGCTGTCAGAATGACTGGCATCGGCCACAGAAATGTCCTTTTGACCTGAATTATTTGTCCGTTTTTGATTTCTAGATGTGTTTCGCCGCTGCTTCTCCGCTTTTAGAGGCTGAATCCACTGATCGCCTCTACCGTAACGATGGCGTTTTTGATCTCTGAGCACAATGGCCGTCCCACCAGGGACAATTTCTTTGGCCAACAGCGACAGCTGTTCTTCGGCGCTTCTGTTTGCACTAATCCCAACTGCATGAAAGAACTTGGCGACTGATAATATCGGATACCGTGCAACCCCTCCCTTGCTGACGGTCGAAAGTTTACCGCCAGCAGTTTTTTTCTCTGAACCCTCCAATCCATAAAACACCCATCAATTATATTTTTATTCCTTTTCCGCAGTAGTTTTTTCACTGCTGGCGGCTTTGTGTTTAACGCTTCCCTGACAATGCCTGTAAACTGGCATTAAATAAAATTATTATTGTTATTATCCTCGAGGAGCAGAAGGTATGTGATCCACACTTTTGCTGGCAAATAGGTTCTGTTGATCGGATTATAACTATTTTCGGATACTACGTGCTCTCTCAGTCTAAAACCACGGAACAGTGGAGCATAAACATTTGGATAGGTGAGTTCGCTAAAATGCGAAGGAGGTTCCAGCGTTATCGTGAACTACCATGAAGCGGGGAGCAGTTAGATGCTTTTCAGGCTCCATTCAGTCCCTCGGCGAAAAGCATGATTGGCTCTAACCGCGCACTCAGTCGGAGGAGAACGAATAACTGTCAGAAGTTGATAAACCAAGAGGTTCAGGTCACACCTAAAGAAAGAGAAGGTGCTGAAAATGACTTCACCTTACGGTGAGTAACGAACACCCGTGAAAGCACAGACTGCAACGTGATAGCGGTAAAAACGAAACTGATGGACGTCAGTTAAACGTACTACTGAATTGACTGCAACAGCCCAGAGTTCTCCGCGGCTACTTAAGTAAATACGAAATAAATCGCACCCAGTCCCAGAGCCTAACAAAAGCCCTACTTCGCTTTATTTTCTCTTCATCAGCATTCACTCATGGACAAATCCCCCTCCCCCTCCGCCTCCGCCTCCTCCTCCCCTCTTTCTCCTCTTCCCCCTTCTCCTCCTCCTCCTCCTCCTCCCCCTCTCCCTCTCCCTCCTCCCCCCTCATCCTCACCCTTCCCCTCAACCTAATCACGAATGATAATAAAATACGGCGCCGGTTGCGTCAGAAGACAAACTGTAATCCCCATGGCATCGACGAGGATAGAATCGTTTTGAATGAAACCGTTCAAGTCAACCGGTTCAGGTGGAATTTACCAATATGCACGTCGGGAACTAGTTGACGTGCTGGGAAAACCAGTACTGATGATAGCCCCAAGATTCATGTATGAATGTAAACTACTGGATGAGTGAGAAACTACCTTTCTCTCCCCCGTCTAAAAGTGACCGTTTAGACTGCAGTCAGAAAACTCTACCCTATTATTAAACCTTTAATTTCGTGTAAACTCATGGGACGACTTATAAAGAGACCTTTACTGACGCACCTGGAGTAGACGAGCCAATGGTAGGTCAACCAACAAGCTTTTGCAGAGGTCACGCGGGTCTCATACGTGTTCTTTGTTTGCAGGAACAACAACCAAAAGTTACTGACTACAGCTACCGAATTTATCCAATTTCCTTTGACTTAGAGAAGACCTTCTACCACTGTCTCCAATGAAATATGTGACAGAACGAGTTGTATAGGATAACTTTCAAGTGATAAGACTTCGTACCACCCAGACTGAAAAGTGTAATTTCTGGTCAAATGGCATCCGAAATGGCACCAGTATAAAGGGCAGACCTGCTGGTTTGGGTATTGAGTCTATTACTCTTTCTCGGTGAAATCAGCGACTACACCAACTATCATAACTGTGAAGTCGTAATGTCTGCTGACTATATAGGAATCTTAAAGCAGTCATATTTGGGGAATGCGTACAGAAACTTCGAGGAAGCGTTGACAAACTGTCTATTTAGCCCGGTAACGAGTTCCTAAACTTAAATATATGCAAATGTTTAGTCCGGTCGTAGACGCTTTCTAATATAACAGTATTACATAAACGGAATTTCATCAAAGGAACTGAACGCACAAAAACATTCAAACATTTGAGTGAGTAAAACTTGATGTCATCAGGACACCGTGCATAATCGCATATAACTGGTAAAGGTTCTAACGAAATCTCCATAGAAATATAAGAGAACACTATTAAGGATAGGGAATTGTGCGAAATACATGAAAAGGGAGCATTAGTTGGAATATGAAAAATTGTCAAGTATAAAGGAATCGCTCAGAGAGGCGGACTCACGAACATCTTTCAGATGACTGACAATAATGTACCGCCAACAACAAGCACGGAGTAGGATCGGAGACGAAGTGATAACTGTAGAGAATGAGCTTTGCGGGTTGGTAGTTGTGGATTGTCAGTTTTCGAGGGGAGGGGGGGAACACCGGCTATCCGCAAGGACACGATATCATACCGATTCATTCTATATCGAAGTGGAAGGGAGGCCAAACAATGACTTTTTGACACACGTAAACAACTCTTTTTCGGTTGAGGTTGAGTCATTACACTTGAAACTTGGAGAGCTCGAGAAATTTTGGCCATATCTCCATCTCCTATGTAGAGTGACTTTCTTCATAATCGCAGCACAAAAAGGCCGTCTTCATACAGATAAACTGACGATAAGTTGGCCAGGAAGGATGACAATCATGATCACTTGACTACTTCCGGAAAAACTGTTCAATAATACCAGATAGAATAGCGACTACAAAGGACTGCCAAAATTGATCTGAGGTCGTAGTAACCACGTTTTGATTGGTTTTGCGGTGGCGCGGGCCCGGTTGAATTTCTGGTTCTTCGGTGGTCGTTCAGTTCAGTTCAGTTCTTTGTTAGTTCAACTTATTTTCCTTTTCATCGACTTCTTTTTTAAGAGCAACCTTTCGTTATGTGTGGGCGAATTTTTGCGTCACTTGGTTTCTTTTCAAGCCGTCCGATGGAGAGGCTACTTGGTATACACCTGTTAGAACAGCTGTTATTGTTCTGGAACAATCTTTGTTATGTCTCAGAAGTGTCAATATTAGAATACTTTAGTACTAGTCTCCAAATTGTCGAAACGGCCAACCGGAGAATTTGCGTGTGCTCGTGCCTTTGACGGCGTTCGCAATGGCTCATTTAGCTGGCGTCATCTTGGATGATCGCCCCCAACTGGATTCGGCAGAACAAAAACTTTAGTCAGTAGGTACTCCAGGCGAGCCTATCGTAGGTCATTGGACGGAACGTGCTCGCGGGATAAGCCCTACTCGCATCCACCCACTCTTTTGTGACTCGAACGTCTTTAAACAGGACGGAGCCATCGCTGTCCGAGTTCGGCGACTTGCCGATTAGGCTTGTCTTATGCTGAATGTATGCGAAGGCGGTTCCAAACCGCATAAAAATAATAGTGACCGGCTGGATCTCCAGGTCTGTAATGTTATATAAAATTACCTTTTGTATGGGTATGTTTTGACTATCAGCAGACTACTTCAGAGCTTTTTAAGACATCACAAAACCACGATGGTTTCCCATAATCTGTCTACATCTCATTTTTCTGCTTAAATTTTAAAGTACTCTGCATCTGAGACTTAAGCATGGAACCGTTAACGGATGGCAAGCTTGCCTATGAGGATTTGCAAGAGATAAGATGCTCGACGACTTACGGTTTATGTGGTTCTCTAGACTCTGACTAAGTTTATTTTACTAGATCAGACTGGGTGGACCTCACGTCTCGCTGCGGACAGAAATATAAAAAAGACGAACATCCTACTAATGCAAGAGCAGCGCAGCCTTTTAGCTGTCATAAAAAAGTTTATTTTTTGTCAGGATAAGGACCTCTTCAATCTGCACCAACTATCACAATTTCTGGCAGCACTGTAATACTTTTGACACTGAAGACTAGATTTTATATCACCCACGTCCTGCCCATGCTCCTGTATCAGTCAGAGTGAGTCTTAGTAGACTGAAGTCATAATCAAGCTTAAGACCATCAGCCACTGTTGCCTGAGGAAAAAAGCAGGTTTAGCTAACCAATGTAGAGATGCCTGTCCCACACATATCAGTGTGCACAGTCATCAAAGCATGTTGTCAGTCTGCATCCTCGCCACTGGCTCGGTTACATTTAGTTTTTATCGTTATACTTACCAAATTGTATGCTGTTTGCACTAACAGCCCCGGGGCAAAAGTCAGAGGCGAGCTGCGGATCCGTGGCACTTACAACGCATCCAAACTGTTGCATCACAACCTAGTTCGTTTAGTCGAAGTAAACTTATCGAATGAGAAAACGGATACCTCCCATTTTACCGGGTTTTACATGCTACTACAGCCATTGACACGTTTCTTCTACTCTCTGTCGGGGCCGAGCAGCAGCCAGAGTTGAGTAACCTAGCATCAAGTCCTTAGTTGACTATTATGCCTCAGGAAGCCATCCGGTAGTAAACTTGCAGACAATTTGTGGTAGTGTACTGTTTTCTGGCCATTTGGGCAAACCATGAGTTTTCATTGCGCCCACAGCTAAGTGCGGATTTAGTTCAACGCCGGCTCACTTTTCGCAAAATTTGCAACTGCCAATCCCTGCTTGCTGAATAAAAAGTGGATGACGAGCTAAAACATCACAGCATATTTAGCTTCTAGCTGCAGTAACGATATTGCGTAATCCACTAGAGGCGAAATATGCGACCTACGCGACGGCGACGACAACAATACATAGTTAAGTCGCGCAGTTGTTTTCCAGATATTTTGGAGCTTTATCGGGACAAAAATCGCAGAATAATGTCACTTGTGCATGTGCTGCCCAGCTTCTACAAGTCCTGAGCCTTTTCTTAAGGGATGCAGCGGGCTTTTTAGACTACACTCACGCGTTCTAGTCGTCATACACACACTTTATAGTTTGGTGCAGTCAGGGGATTACTGATACCGGGCAAGTTTCACTTACTGATACTTAATATGGTCTTGATAACGCCTAGTCTAGCCGGCGTCAGTGATGTTGTGAACAATGCCTACCAGTGGCACTCAGATTTTCAGTTTACCTCCCGCCCCCGGTTAGCCAACAGCCAAAGGGCAGGGAACGAAGGACGCGCTCGAACTATTTCGTTTGTCTTTTGCGGATGACCCTTGATACCCATGCGATGTTCGAACGAGTTCGGACTTTGTCATTTTAGAGGACGTCGTATTTTCACTTCGGGGTGTTTGACAAACGGCGGCAGCCTAAAACTTTCAAGTACACTGCCTAGCTTTCACAGCAATGTGGGAGGACTGACCGGACGGATCCCGCCACATGTGTGTTTGTGGCGACTGATAGATGTCGATGGGCCAGTAAACACTCTTGAATGTTTACAGAATGCCTCCGAGAAGCGTTGAATCGGGGAACGATGTCTCTGGTACTGCATTCACTTGACATAAACTTGACCCTTAGATATTGTCGACCGACCACTTCAGAATTAATAAGGAGCACCTCGACTCGGTACCACAAATTCACCTCGTAGTCTCATTCTACCACGATATCGTCTTAGCTGCCCGCCACGACTTCGTCAACTGTCTTTCCGCAGATCTCTAGGTTTAGAAAGATTAGATCATTCTCGATACCGACCGGAAGTTTCTCGCAAGAGGCTATCCTGTAAGCATTTTTCGCGATTAAACTTGTCGATCTGATGACCTTCCGGCAGATAACTGACTCTTTAAGAAAATGTAGACCTAACCCCAACAGGATCTTTGAAAGACCGCGGATTGTCGCTTTGCAGTCCACTGGCTGCCTTTTCCTTTCTAGGTTCAGAGCTATTCTTTGGGCAAGTTATGTCGGGTGCACCATAAAGTTGGGCCATTAAGAGCGACGTGCCTAAACGGTATTTTGAACGCCAATCTGGAAGAGGGGTGCGTGTCTTTTATTTATTTTTCAGTTTTTGCCAGTAACAGTGTCCGTTAGGGGTGTCATGCACTCAGACTTAATTTTGTTAACGCTGTCCTGAGAGGCTCGGTTTATAGTTCGACCGATAATGTGGTAGGATTTGCACAGATAAAGTTAGCCACATTGTCGTCCGATAATAAAACTTTTTGAGTAATGGTAGTTTGCCTATCGAAAATGACGGCATCCACCGCTACCCCACGAAGTGGGCGCAGGAGTTACTTGTGCGTGGATTTGTTTGTACTGAGGCAGACTTGTTCTGCATCTACCCCATTCTCCGGTGCTCCGACGGCAGGACAAGCGGAGACGGACATGAGTGCAGTGGCCTGCAAAGCTAAACAGTCCATCAACGCTCGTCTCACACGACTTAGTCCCCACCACACATGCATCGGACTACATTTAAGAAGGATCTCGGATCTCACGTAAGTGAGAGTGCTACAAAGGTTATAGTAAGAAGTAGCTGTTGCAGCCCGGCTCTTAATCATGTTAAGAACCGATTTATCACGTCAGTTGAAAACATTCCTAGCAAGTCATAACTGATAGCGCGTCTTGATAGATTTAAGTGCGTCATATCTACTTTAGCGAGGAATTCGCTGGTGTGCCTCGAGGATGGAGTCGCAATATTGGCCTCACTCTCTCTTTCCTCTCACATGCACCATTGACCTGTCCACGTTAGGCTGACCGGGAATGAGATTGCGCGTAGCAGTCGACAGAGCCGAGTGGTCCGTCTGCGCGTTTCACACACGATCTAGTCCCTACAGCACTTGTACCAGGCGGCCTCAAATGACGCACTCGTGGTGTAAGTGGGATTTCCACATCTTTACATGCGACTTTTCGCCTGTCATATGGGTTCTGGAAAACTCCATCGCATGCGTTTTGCTGTTCTGTGAGATATGCTGTTAATAGCAGTAATGCATACCCGTGTGATCATGTGCAATCGAATTGAGTTTCTGTATGCACATAAGACAGTGTTGTCAGTGGGTCTGTATTAAGTCTTGTTACCAGAGATCTTCGTACGTGCGCGTATGCCAGAAGGGGTCTACGCGATGTCTTAGTGGTCCGAGGCAGAATGTGCAGGTAGGCCTGTGTAACAAGTGTATATTGGGGCTCCAGACACTGGTTCACCGGCCTCGGTACGATTGATTCACAAGTGACTGACCAGGCCGATCCTTTTTAGAAAGTGCGGTCGCAATGAGAACGGGTTGGGAGTGAGCCAACATTGCTGGTGGAGGGGGTAACGGCAGTGATAGGGGGCAGAATAAGGGTGTCTTCACCTGTGATACTAGCAGTAGTGTTTTGCAGGAGTGGGAAGCGTGTCGGTCGTGTTGGTTTTGTACTGGGGCTGGAGATACCTATTGGGGCCACCCCGCGCCCTGAATACCCGTTTCTTATGTGGACACGGTGGCGCAGGCAACGAGCCCCTCTTTTTATCATGGCCTCTGCCACTCGGTCGACTTCAGGTATGCCTGGCCTGCTTTTCGCAGCAGCGCGCCACCCCTAGCTTTCCTCTGCAAATCTCCCCAGGACTCAGGGTTGATTTGCAGGTGCTTTATGGGAGTCTTCAGGATGTCCTTATATCGTAGCCCTGTAAATCTTCGATTTTGTATTCAGGCGGATGCTGCGACGATTCCAGGCGAAGTGTTGCAGCCTGCCGAAAACCGGACTGGCTTTGGCGATCTCGTTTTTGTGGAGATGGTGTCTGCAAGGTAATATGTATGCCGAGCTGCATTAGGGCTGATCATAGGTTCTTCGTAGTCAGCATTTAGCATCTGTTAAGGCGTGGGTACCGTCTTCTCTGCACCGAATGTCATTCCGGAGCACAGAGGTCCAAGCTTCGCTGAATGCCCTCGCATCGTGGTGTTCAGTGCGCAATTGTCCGCGAACAAGAAGTCGTGGACACCGACCTTGGAGATTCAAATATGCCTTTTTTCGGGGGTCTTAGCAGTCGTCCACAGGTTCGGTAGTCGATGTCCGTCCTCGAGCACTCTTCATGATAGGCGTCTACTAGCATGGCGGAAGAATGAGGCTTAAGAGGCTAAGAGTGAGCATACAACTCTGCTTTATTACATCTGTCACAGTGGAGACTTCCAAGACTGACCTATTGTCCGTGACACGTACCATCGCTCTGTTGTGTAGTTGTTTCGCCAATTGAATGAGTCGTTTCGAACACCCGAAGTTCAGCATGATTTTCTCGAGTCCATCAGAACTTGATATTTCAAAGGCTTTTGCCAGATCCACAAAGGTTTTGTAGATTTTGGTCGGAATTTATCGTCTCTTTTATTTGGGAGGTCGCGAAGATCATGTCCGTGGCTCCACGGTGTTTCCGGAATCCGCATTATGATACCAAAAGGAGTCCCTGTTCCAGTTGCATGTTCGGACGATTGAGGCACGCAGGCAAACATCTTACCATCATTGCTGATGAAGGGGTTTCTCTGATAGTTGCCGGGGACTTGATGATTCCTTTACGTTTGTACGTATGGACAGTAGTTTCATCTTCGAAGTCTTGTAAAATTATTCCTTGTCATCACGTCTGGAACAGTAAAATAACTTCGTCCGCAAGTTAGGAGCTACCATATTAATTTCGGATGGAATTGAGTCGACACCCCAAGCTTCTCCACTGAATTGGTGTTGCGCTGCCATGATCGTCTCCTGTGCTGAAGGAAGGCGATCGAGGCCGAAATTTATGTCCTCATCATCTATGGTTTACACGCAAACTAAACGGCTGTCTGGGAACACTTGAAGTGCACGGCCCAGTGATGCAGAACTTGTGACTTCTTTGACATTAGGGTCGGGCCGTCCTGGCTTTGGGACCGTAGACGGTTTTTATGGTCGCAGATAAATTCTTCACTTCTCCAGCCGTCCGAGCTAGCCGCTCGTCTCAACCTCTGCGGCAGTAGGCTCAAGCATCGGCTTAATGCGGTTTTATTGGCGTCGGTCCTATTGTTGACACAGATCGTGCGAGCAGGTATCGAATTTTGTTGTAGTTATCTCACTACTCCTAGTGCTGTCGGTGGCGCGGCCGATGATTTTCAGAGCAGTGGAGTGGATAGCGTTCTGCGGTTTCGTCCGTTGGGTCCAGTCGACGTTCAATGCGGCAGTGCACTATTTTCCGCGTCTTTGCCTACCTTGCGGGGTCTGTAGAGTGGGCGCTCCACCTGGTAAGGCAGTAGTCCGTCCAGTAATTTGCACTACACACCGTCTTACTCGCTGGCACCTCACATTGGCCACGCCTCCGGATGAGGACATAGTTCAGCAGTTGCCAATACCGCGAGTGAGGGTGCATCTCGGGAAGGAAGAAAAAAAGCGGAAGAGTGTGTTGGTAAGAATACTATTCTCTGTGTAGGCCAGCAGAAGAAGGCCATTGATGTTCTAGCTGTTGATTCCGCAGGCGCCCAACATTCCCTCCCAGGTAGCGCTTTCTGTGCCGGCGTAGTCATTCAAGCCACTAAAGACGATCAATTTGTCGTCCTCGGCACAGTTGTCAGGAAGACGCGCAGGTTCTCGTCGAATTTGCTCCCTTCATCAAACCTAGTCTTTGGTGAGACGTCGACATTAGTGAGGGTGACGAATTTGTTCCGGCTAACAGAACTATCCTCCATCCCAGTCGGTTCCCCATTGGATTATCGCAAAACATATCCATAGATAAGGCCGTTCCGTCATCCCAGGTGATTGCTAAAATCCGTGGCATGCCACGGCGTTACAGTGGAAAGACAGTTCTGACTACCTTGGGCATACATTGTTACATGCCGCCCTCTCCGTAGGACGCTTTATTTGGAGGTAGAGAGGAAAGGCGAGGATAAGTCAGAAGACTGCCGCGTGTGGACACAGACGCTGGACACCACCATCGGGTTTAGCCCGTTGGTCAAAGACGGTTACCGGCGTGTGGCCGCCGTGTCAGGCACAGCTTCGTGGAGTCAAAGATAAGAGCTGGGTGTCAGGGCAGACTATCTACTTGGTTCACGGACACGTTTGGCGGGACCGTCAGTGTATTGCTTGTAAGCACTTGCTGCCACCATAGTCATGCCCGCGCCAACAGACCTAGACGGAGTTGCCAGTGCTAAATCTTCGTGTGTGGCGATTGCCGGCAGTGTATCTGCAGTAGGGTACCTCCCACAAGGCATTGTCATGCAGCGGGCATCGATTTCATTAATGAACCGATAGTGACCGTACAGCCGCAACGATACGCCGTACATCCCACATTCTATCTTCCAAGGTGACGTGCCTTTTCACGCATTGATAATGATTGCCAAAGCATTCAACTAGTGTATGACCCTCATCTAGTGGCGCTATCATCTAGCGATTGAATGCGCGTCTCAGAAGAATCTTCAGGTGAGAGGGACTCCTGCATTGCATAGACTGATATAAGGCTGACCTCATGCTTACGTTTTTTACCATGTCCAACTGGGACATAATGTATGTGAACGTCCTTAAAGAAAATCCTTCGAACGTCTGGCTTGCAGTTTATTGTCATTGCGCCAGCCGCGGGCAAAGGAGCTCGACATCTTAAGATGAAATACATACAAAGCTTTACTTTCCCCAAACTTATGCGTTTAGCTCGCGAGGTAACATGAGTAATTAGGTGATTTTTATATGAATAACTCCATGACGGCGGTTTTCTCATGTGTTTGAATGATTTAACTCTTGAGTCTCACCCTATGGTTTTGCGATCGGAATCACGATGCCTCCGAGTCAAGCAATTATCTTAACTTTGCGCGAGCTAACATTAATTTCCTTCCTTTGAAGGCCTTACCTTTCTACAGAAGCAGCCATGCAGCCGTACGAATACACGGACGAGGAACTTGTCCACATGACTACAGTGCAACTGCGAAATCTTCTCGAGCAGCACATAATCAGTCCTGAGCAACATCATGAATTTCGTAGTCGTCGACGTCGCCTTCAGAATCGCAAATATGCCAGACGATGTGCGAAGAAAAAGCAAACAGAAGTTGCCGAGCTAACATATGCAACTCAAAATGAGTCATCAGCTATAAAGGTGAGTCGTGTCATTTGAGGCTCTCCGTGCTTCTTCCGGCTGAAACTCCACAAACCTTACTTTCTAGAAACCTTATTTCTTTCCAATAAAGCTTAATTATCTGCCGTCGGGATATTTTCCTACGGTTGTTAGGTTCAGTTCAGTTCTATTAAAGGAAATATAGGCGAGCGCCTTTGAATTTCCTGTTGGTTACAAAACATTTAGAAATTACAAATCATAGCTAAGTTACTTTTGCCCCTCGTACTCGTTACGACTTTCGAAGTTGTCCCAACGTCAGGTTGGAGTAGAATCCACCGATCTAACCGGATGAATTGCAAGACGGAAAATGGACGTTTCAGTGTTGCCGAGGGCGTTTGTGTCCAGAGCGCTCGCATACGGTTGCACAACGACAAGCGCTTATTAACTAATAAGTGGTACTGAAAAGGACAAGAGGGCTTGAAAAATCCATTTTTATTTTACCGGCCGTTCTCAGCCGGTCATACCTCAAGCCCAGACGGCCACTTGAAATTTGAACTCGAGTCAGTTGGTCCTCAAGCATTTCTAGGCCAAGTGATCTACCACTTGAACTACGGACCCACCCCTTGTCACTCGACGTCGGGAATATCCAAGCGCACATTGGGGACGACATTCATTGGTCTGTCATGCCTGTAGGGAAGATGGCTTCTCGTGTTGTGTTTGGGCTATGAATCCAGTCCTTGCAGGACTACTCAAGAATGCCCGATGAGCGGCCAGCTCTGGTCGAAATCCCGGTTTTCGCTTTTTGGTGTGGTTGGCTGATTAGGGTAAATACCCCAAAAACGGTCTAACCCGTCCATTCGTTTTTATCAGTATCATTTGTTCATAGTATCTGTGTGGTTATGTTTTCCTTTGGCAATTTTCATTGTGACTATATCGGCCGGTTCTGGAGTTGTTAACCCGTGCAAATTTTAGCCACTTGTTTTTCTAGCCCTTAAACCATGAACCGCAGCACCTGCGCGTCTAGCTTTTACCACAGCCCTTGTCCATGCAGTTGAAAGTCGTTGCCAGCGAAGATCCACTTCTCTTGAAATGGCGTTTCCGACAGCCTAAATTGTAGGCTAATACGGCCATTTGAGACGAAGGGCACAATTGAGCTGGCGAACCAGTGCCTGGAGTACCAACACACTCGTCGCATCCGCCTCAACTGCCCTTGCACATTCAGCCACCACATGGGCCTACTAAGTCATATGCGCATTCACGAGAATCTGCGGTAGACAGCCGCCAGCTACACCACATCATCACGCCATCTCCCACCCAGCACCTGCACCACACAACATCACCCATCACTACACAAAGCAAGCGCTCAATTGACAATACTCACTTAGGTGGGAAGTGTGCCTCTCCACTCCTTCTCCACGTGGCTACTCTGCTGCATGTGTGATTCGAGTCTGAGACTATCACAGTGCGTCAAGCGCCGTGGCTTGGAAAGCTACCGACCGACGCCTCAACTCAGACCATGTAGTCAGCCGAGCTGTGTGTGTTTGTCTGGAGAGATGGACTGATGGGCTGAAAGTCAGGCTGCAACGACTCCTTTTTAACGTGACCTCTGGCGTCCACATGCATGTGTATTTGGGTAGTGCCTCCCAGTCGATGACTAACCGGTTACCCCACCTTTGAAGGATAATGGCCCAGGCTAGATGCAGGGCTACGTCTCACATCTCTGTGCCTTACGGGTGGAGGGCGTCTGCTGTGCCATGATTCAGTAAACCATGGCCGTCGCAGCCTGGCGTGCGCTGGCAGTTCTCTTGCAGTTGACGCGCTTGCGCTCTCGCTGGGTATGCAGGTGTGCATGGTTACCCAGTTGTTAATTAAAGTCCTGGTTAAGTGTTTGCTGTGGGCCAGGGGGTGTGGTGGTACGCCTAGGTGCTAGTCCGGTCATTCCAATCACCTGCACCCCTTCCTGCCTCCGGTCTTCTTGCCTATGTCTTGACACTGGGTCTAGGTGGGGGAGGAGAGAGTGCGGTAGGTGCTGCGAAACTCTACCCTCACTACAAACTAATTCACGTTCAAGTCACTGCGCCTGTCTCACCTTGCTGCGGAGCACACGGTGGACATCGTCGGCGACGGCGGTCGGACAGTCTTATATACCCGATCTTGACCGACAGAACGTGCCCGTGGCTTCAGTGGTTAGGACTTCTAACCAACAGGTCGCGGGATCGAGCCTCAGGTGTTGCACATTCCGGGATTGGGTGTGCCTGGATGACGACGGCTAATAAGCCAGAAATGGTCACTCCAGTCTTCCTTGTCTTTGTCGGCAGTGCTACCCCAACTCAGTACTCTTTTGCAGTCTGTCTGAAATGATCCATTCTTTTGTGTCCTTTATGACACTCACGTGCATCGTGACCGGAGCTTGTCGCGCACGAAGCCAGGCGTCAGGTCGCGTGTGGCACGCGTAAACGAACTGTTTAGCCTTATTACCCACTGCACCGTTCGCTTTAATTTTGCCAAAAAAACACGATAGATGTAAGAAGTGTAGTAGGTGCTACGAAAGTCACCGGTGTTCACAGTGTATTCTTTGTTCTCTTTGCACGCATTGGACGAGCTATCATAGCACATGGTCAACTCGGATTCATATTATTTCAAGATCATTATCTACCGTAGGTAATTTTGAATCCCATCTGCAATGTTTCCGGCTGTCACAGGTGCTTAAGTACAGTCGGCTAAAAGATTCCGAGGATTTTGCTTGTATTTCGGGTGTTCCATTTTTACGTATGTGGTTTTGCCCCCCTAGCTTCTGCAAAGTTAGGACGGTACTACAACTTCTTCTGGCCCCAAATACCAAGCAAATTGATGTTGCCCACTAGAGCATTTACTAGGTGTCGCATAGTTTACAATCGACTAGATCCATCCCTTAGCTTGATTTGCATCTGATTTTTCAGTCCGATTTGACCACTCACGTAGCACGCCGACGCCTTACTCCCGAAAACTTTTCTGAATCAGCCTTCCTCTTTTACAGCTGCTGAGACAACAGCTGCTCAGCCTGAACATGTCGATCGACAGGATTGAACGTCAAATCCAGCACCTTACCAAGATAAAAAACGAGGAGAGCCTCGCCTCCTCACCGCACTCTCTCCGGATGCTGTCCGCCGATGGGGCGGAACTCGGTTACGCACTTGTCGTCGGGAATCGCTCAGCAGAGGTGGATCCCAGGGAGACAGGATCAGCTTCCGTAGTCGGGCTCACTCGAACCGCCTTACTGCCGACACACAGTATAGTCAAACCGGAGGGCTCAGATTTCACCGACAACACAAACACTCCCACGAACAGTCCGAATCAGCTAGGCCGCCCGATGACCCCGCCGAAGAACACGACCCACTTAAGACGGGCCCCACCACAACAGTCCGCGGGCGCGTGCTTCAGCCTATCGACAGGACGTCAGGCAACGGATATTAGGCGAACGGCGCCCGCCCTTAGCATGCTCAGACAACCTCCACTGCTTGTGTCGCCGGCCGGCGGCGGGCTCACACGTAGTGGAAGAAGCCTCGCTGATTAGCGTGTCTACGTGCGCCTGCGTAGTCTTTTTTGTGCGCGTGTGACCCAGGCTGCCTTTTAGGCTGGGTCACGTACGCGCGTCATTGCCTTGACATCTTTTACCTTATTCACGGACCACTTTTACGGAATGTTAACCGTTTTTTCCCCAAGTTCACCTGTTTCTGTAATTTCTGCCTTTGTTTCTTTGAGAAACGATTGTGATAACTGAACTATCGCATTTGTCCATTTGTATTTTGTGCATAGAGACTTCCTATCTGCCGCGGCTGGCTGGACCATATGCTTCGCCCAGAGCCCTCTTTGCAACAGCCATGCCCACCGAGGCCAGTTCCGCGTGAGACACAAGACTGTTTACCGGGACATAACAAGTTCGTGCCACCCATATAATTCCACCTGTTCCCACTGGCGCTGATGGTACGACCAACAATGGTCGACCCGGGACTCTGGCCATAAATCTGACAAAGATCTTGAGGGAAGCTCTTTGGACGGGTATGACGACCAGCGAAAATAAAAGGGTATTAGATGCGGGCTGACGTACCTTTTGCCCTGCTCCGTCGTGCACCTGCTTGGAATCTACTTCCACCTCGATGCTTTACTAAAGCATCGAGTATAGTCATAACCTATAACTTTCTGCCTCGTACATAGAATGACCCCACCAAATTAACACCTAGGCGCCGTTTTACATTTCAGATATCTATTTGTCAGACCTGGTTAACTGGGGCCGTACCAGAGTCCAAAATTGTATGTCTAATAGTTTACACAACATTTTCGAGGATATTTCTCCGGGCCCACGCAAAACTTCTGGCAAGTAGCCGTGAAAGTAGACGCACCTCGTCCTGAAAACTAATGGTGGCCTTAGCAAGTTTCTCCTCGCAACAAGAGGGGTCCTCGATTGCAACTGTTTTGTTTTGAAGCACTCTTTTGTTGTAGAGGAGGATTGGACAATAATTTCGCGCGGCTCAACTGTAAATAATCCCGGCACGACCGAGAAGAGACTGACAAATGACGTGTTTTTTCGAAATATCCAGTGTCAGATGTTGCGAAGATATCCAAACAAGATCGACACAGAGTAGACAAAAATACAAAATATGAGGATGGGAAAGACGCCAGATACAAAACATCTACTTGTGCAGTTGAAGCAGCGCAGTAGGTGGGATGTCGTGCAGACGCAGTCACTTGGATTCCTTGGCTTCCCACGCTCTATAGACGCGCTTGTTTTCCCAAGCGTCTAAGTCACGAGATTTGACCGTTTTCACGTAGAAACTGTACAACTCGGCGTCGTTAGGATCTTCTACGACGGACGGACTCCCTTTTTTCCGATAGGCATAGTCCCTACTGTAGGCCAGACAGTACGCTGCAAGCAGAAGTGATCCAACGAGGGGTACAGTACGGAGGAGGTAGTCGCTCAGGTTTGACATGTGAAAAATTCCTGCGGACGTCCGAGATAGTCGAAATCCCTACGGGACTATTGCTGAATATTTTTCCCTTAATTGGGAAGGTTTGGTGATAGTCTGTTGATGGCAACCTTAAAGAAACATCAAACAAGTTTGTGGTTGCCGCCGAATAGACTAAAAGGATAGGACACCGAACAGTACTTCCAATATTAGTTAAATAAAAGAAACTCGAGCCCTACCTGATGAAAAGCACACTTTTATTATAAAGACCCTGGCGAATGGAGGCCAGACGTGTTTTGAGCGCGTTTTACTATTTGAACGAGATTGGAGGGCGTGAGTTCTCACCAAGCCGAACGTTGAGCATGTCCAGGCCGGATTCCCACAGGTTAGTAGTTTTTATGCGGTGAACTGTGAAATCCGACAACCTTACGGCTAAACCTGCGATCGTCCACAGAAGAAAGTCTTGGCGTGCATTAGAGAAGGCAACTCACCCATTTGTCCGCATAGAAATAAATATTCATAGGTATGGGGCGTTCAAATCAAGGGGACTGATTTTCAGTGGTCTCAGGGCACAGGGTAATCTGAGCACTAACAGGCTCGTTGGTGACGGGGGGCCACCCACCATGCTCAGCCCAACCCACACTCCGTCGCCCAGCGCGCCCACCAGCTCCACCATCTTCATCAACGAAGCTGATACCTGATACCGCCGACTTCTCGTGTCCGCACTTTCCGCGTACATTCACCTCACGCGTCGGCCTGGTCGGTCACTTGCAAATCCATCGCACAGAGACTGGCGAACCAGTGCCTGGAGCGCCAACCTACACTAACCGCATCCGCCTCCACTGTCCACATTCCACTCGCACATTCATTCACCGTATGGGTCTTTTAGACCACATGCGCGTCCACGAAAACTTGTAGTAGACAACTGCCGGCTGCACCACACCACCACGTCCTCCCTCACCAGCATCTCACCGTACATCAACATCACCCGCCGCCCACGCAAGTGGGAAGTGTGCGTCTTAACTCCTCCATGCGGCTCCCCTGTCGCATGTGTGATCCGAGTCTGAGACGAAGACGGTGCGTGGATCGCAGTGGCCCGGAAGGCAGCCGACTGACACCCCAACTCAGTCCATGCAGTCTGCCCAATTGTGTGTTATGTGGAGTGGCGGAGTGGTGGGCTGAGGGCCAGGCTGTTACGGCCACTTATCAAGCGATCTGTGGCATACACGCATGTGAGGCGAGTGTTTGTGTGTGAGCTTTATGGGTAGTGCCTCTCAGTTGACAACTTTTTGGTTGCCCAACCTTGAGGGGTGGCGGCCCAGGCTAAATGCAAGGTTACGTGTCGCCCTTCTAGGTTAAAGGGTGGCAGTTCCCGGACACCTGGCTCCCTGCCGGTAAATGCGCTTGCGCTCCCGCTGGGTATAGAGGTGGTGGGCATGGCTGCCCAGTCATCATCCTCGTCCTTCTGACTCTTGTTGGGTTGTGAGTGTTGTTGGTGAAAAAACTGGTCTTTTGCTGCGTGGACCAAGGATGTGGAGTGGAACGCCAAGGTACGGGCTCGATCGTGCCATCCACCTGCGCCCTTCCCTGTCTCCGGTCTTCTTGACTCTGTCTTGACACCGGGTCCAGGTGGGGGAGGAGAGGAATGCGGTCGATGCTGTGCAAGTGTACATCTACTATAAGCTAAATCCTGCACAAGTCATCGTTCCAGCTATTACCCTGCTGCGGAGCACACGGTAGACACCGTCGGCAACGACGGTCGAACTGTCGTGTGGGTGCGTGTGTGCTTCTGTGTGACAGCAACGCATTACAAGGCGCCACAAGGATACTTAAGCTGATATGACACCTCCTGAAGTGGCGATTTGAGCTCTGCTAGCCCATCGTGCGTCAGGATGGCAACTGTGCAACCGCTGCAACAGACTAACACAGTCATCGTCAACATTTAGGTCGTTTGCCAAGATGCCCGCCTACGTTGTGTCTGATGTATTGGTGAAGGGTTCCACAAATGCCGAAGGATGGAGGGTTGGCATTTCGACTACCTTGTGAGACACCGCAAGGCACGACAGCGACCAGTAACTGAAATTAAATAACTCCGATAGACACTGGCTGCTTGCAGCTGTTTCTGAGCCAAAGCGCTAGAGACAACTTGAAACAATCCAGGTGCCTATTTGGATTTTTCCCGGACTCAGATGTCACAAGAAATCATTATGACCTACGCTACGGCGTTCAAGGAAACTGACGCACCCCACAAGCCTGGTGCAGTGGTTCAGGAGACAAGTATATGAGCTACCTAAGTACTGTGACGTCCTGAAGAAGTCGCGGACGTGTTACTGAGAGCGTATCACAAAAAGTCCCGGAAAGACGTGATTCCCACTGAACTCTAAAAGTCCCATGTCGACACGGACGCCCTAAATTCACGGGACGATTGTGTAAGGGTAGGAAGATGGGGTCGTTGTCAATGACTGGCTCGAGCATTCCTGGGTCCTTTTTCAGAAGGAATGACAAAAAGGTGTGAGGACTACTAAGACAGGAGTCACGTCCAGATTTCTATTGTCATTTTCAGGCGGTTTCAGTGCGTGACTAAGGCGAGAAACAACGAGGCCGCATAGGACGTGAATGTACCCAACAAGTATTCGTAACGCCGCACATTCCTGAATCCTGTCGTTGCTATCAACAAACGATGTTCGGCTGATTTCTTGACTTCGCCGTATCGTTAGGATTCGTTGGTCGGCAACTGTGGCGGATGATAGAGTTAGTATATCGCAAAAATTCTTGCTGAGATCAAGGATTGTCGTTTCATCCCTGCGCTAATCTTGGCCTACAACAATCTCCTTCAGCTATCCGAAAATCTTGCAGTCTGTCCTCTATCCTGTCCAACTACACAACTGACCGATTTCTAGGTGTCGGGTATGTACCAGAATACCGGCTGGTCGTCTGCGAACGGGGTCGCTAAGTCAGTCGACTTATCGAACAATGCTGGGAAGGCCAGTGTTGGAATAATATGTTCGACAATAAGAAAGTACCATCATGCAAACTTATTGCTTCGACCAAATTCCATCCCATTAACGGTTGTTTTATCTCGCATTTTATTTTTGATATGCCAACTGTCCACCGTGTGTCTCGGAGCATGGCGGGTGCAGGGACGATGACTTACGCGTGGTAATGGTAGTGAACTTGTGCTGCGTCTACCGCACTCTCTCCCTCGCTCAGCGTCAAGATAGAGTCAAGAAGACTGGAGGATGGATATGAGCGCATTGGCCAATGAGGCAGCACAGCCCGTCTGTGCGTGCCACAAACGCTTGGTCTGCACACGACGGACCAGGTTTTCTTACAGGCAAAAACTGGGCGGCTCGGACCCCATGTGAGTGAGGGTAGCACAGCACATTCAATGGCCATTGCAGTCTGGCTATTTGTCCTAAGAGGATCGGGTTGGACTACGACACCTCATGGGTGTCATGGTTGCCAGTTTGAAGAAGCGGGTAGTTTTAAATATTTTGAGGCGAGGTTTCTGTCAAGCGGACTGAGTAAGGACTGTGGTATTTCCTGAATCCATGCCACCCGTAGGGTTTTTGCAATCCTTGGGTGTCTACGGACTTGACGCTATATGCCCTTCACCGAAAAAATCAGATTGTTCCGGGACATCTATTTGGTCGGCCATTTTGACAATTGTGAATGATGGGCTGTGTGACTGAATATGAGCCGAAAACGGGGGTTAAGCTACGGCTGCCTGGGAAACATAATTTTAATGAAGTGCACCAAAAGTGTTTTGAATGAGACTATTGGCATTAACTACGACGCAGTGAAAATATCTCAAGCTATCCAAGAAAGACGGCTGAGGTGGCCTGGAAAAGTTCAGCGCAGTCCACCCGACGAGCTCAGCGTTACTGACTTTTAACTGGAAGCCAGTACGCGTTTGGAGACGTGGAACAGATCAGCTCAAAATCTTGTTCAGCAAAGTTCGTCGACACATAGAGTTGACTCGGTACTCGGTTTGTCGCTTGAGCGGGGAGTAGATCGAACTCCCCAGGTGCGCTGCCGCGGATCAAAACGTGAAGTGGTGGGATTCTCGATATCTCTGAGGCCAGCTAAACTACACATGACCATCGCCGAGCCAAATAGCTATGTTGAAAAAGCAAAACTAGTTTTCCCTACGAATTCCAGGCGATAAAAGTACAGAAATCCCTCCCCTACGGACGTGGCAACGCGGCAACCTATTGTGTCCTCCAATGGTCGCTTGTGATAATGCTGCAAAACGACTTAAAAACCACTAACTCGCATCGTTTGCACGCTCTTATACGGACTTTAGTGAGATGTTGAAAACATGGTGGGTCAGCAGTCGAAGTGACCCGCCTGTGATCGGCCGTAGATACTAAGCGCCAGTGACACGGCGTCACCTTTGAAAGGTTTAACAGTGTTCGAATGCCTTGGAGGCTGTGATCTTCGAAGGACAAACCAAGGCGCCCCTGAATCATGGCAGAGGCGTTTGATCTCGTACGGTCAGAAGGAACGACTATCATATTTGCTCTGCCACTAAGTTATCGATGTCATTCAGACAACGCAAATGAAGTACTTCAGAGACGAATATATTCGTCTATATAGTCTTTCATTTATAACAAATGATAGGCCCATCGTGCTAGTCACCGAACCCAGCGCACGCGAATACGTCAGAAGAGAAATAGATCTAGTTCTGCATTATTCCATTTTCCAATAAATGCAGATCGAAAAATGCAATAACTTCGACTCAATTCTATTCTAGAGGACGTGTGATTTACGAGATGACCAATCTAGGGGATTCTTTAGGTGATGTTGGGACGGGAGGGTAGTGCTGTGGCGGCCCAGGACGTCAAGGGCGGCACACACCAAAGCAAGAGAACGCTGACAGAAGATCCTGATGGAGATGGATCTGAACAGAACCGTTAACACCTCTTGATACGCATCCACACACGGCAGAAGAAGGCACGTCGGGTAAGGGACAGTGTAATATAACGAGATGGGCATGGGAAATGCGTATAATAAGTGTCACACCACTCAAACAACCCTGTTCAGATCAAGGGACGTTACAGTGCCGCGCGTACGTAGTAAATACATACTTTATTAAACCACGCATAATTACGGTGACGCTTTAAAGAAACCCTAAATACACGAAAACACCATGCGCATATGGTATCTGGGCAGATATGTGACACCAAATTCTTTGTGCAATGATTTACCGCACTAACAACACAGGTATTAGCTAAAAGCCCAGACACGCGTGTTTCGCCGATCTTATGCCGCTGCCTGAGGCAGCTGCCTTAAGCAAGGCCTTCTGGTGTATATAACTACAATACTTCTAGCCAGGACTTACCGTAGAGCCTACTAATTATGTTGCGTGGGCTGGTTACGATTGGCTATTTGGGGATGAACAGACTGGCCTAATCGCAGGAGAAATCTTATAGGGTCGCCAGAACCCACGCGTTCACTGTTGGTTACCAAAGCCTGTTCGGTTATTGGTTAGATTTTTCCGCGAGTGTCTAGAGGCCGAAGATAACCTGGTGTAACAGTCGGAGTGTAACAGCCAAGATAGAGCATAGGGGTCTAACCTTGTTTTGCTAATCAAGTGAATACTGATCTTGTAGAAAACCCCGGGCCAAGCTCACCACGTGGACGCGATCAAGGCCGCTGATCGGTGTACCCGATAAGTCCCGCCCTTGTTTATTACACGTTTGTTCTTTTGTTGATTATTGTTACCTTTTGTTTTGCACCCTTTGTCTTTTCCCGGGTTAACCTTTTTCTCTGATGTATGTACATACCTCCGTGATGTCATCTATCTTGTTGGTTCCTATGTTCAATTCGTTATCCACTTTCTACTGACGTTACCCACGTTTATATACTCTGTTACAATAAACCTTACCTTCGGCACCTACCTACACTCTTTCCACCTCCTAACGCCTAACCCTGATGTGCTTGAGTCTGCCTGTGAAGAATGTAGGACGTTTCATGCTCAGATCCTCAACTTAATCCTCCGGTCGTAAAGAAGAGGAAGCTATCCCAATCCAATATCGCTTCGTCCCCTACTGGCCAGTCTGGAACGGACGTTACAGGGATCTGACCTTGAGTGTTTTAATGTACTGGGACACTAAGGACACGCTTCTTCCGTTTGCCTTGCAGGATCTACGCTCCCGAATCCACGTGCGGACGAATAACTGTCAATCCCTCCCGATAAGTCGTTCCATTGTATTTTTCGTTCTTCCGTAGTCTCTTTTATTAGTACTTTCCCATTTTTGCATATTCGAATAAACTTATATCTTTTTAGCATCTGTGCTGTCTATAATATGTCCTGTAGGCCTGTCCAATCTGAAGTGTAAGGCCTTTTAGACTGAATTTTCCAATCGACTGGACCATCTGAGTTCAAGCTACCATCATCCCCTTCTTTCATTCCTCGTGATTCGACATCCGCTACTTGCTCGGTCGCTACACTGGAGTTCTAGATATAGCTATTGACTGATGCTGATCTGAAGAGAGTTGCTAAACGAGTAATCGATCTCATCCAACGTAGGAGTAGAAACAGTCAAATGAAACAAAAATATTTACCAAGGACAGTGAAATTAGCACATCAAAAAAATCAGAAGAAGAGGTGGCGAGCATACGTATTTTCGGTAAATTCTCGTCGGGCCAGTACAGTTATGTAGGAACGGGGTAGAAGTCAAACAGGTCAACGATAAGAGAAATCGATAAAAGTTCTCTGTAAAACACAGGCGGGGTGTGGGAATGTGGGGGAGGGGGGTAGGGGGGGTAATAGTACTTATTATCAGAGGTGGGGTGAGAGCGGAAGTGCGCGGGCGGAGTTGCACCGTTAGTCAACCTTCGATCACTGTAGGCGCGGAGCCTGAATGTGGGTCTTCTGTGCACATACGGTTGGCTTTCGTAACCTAATGGTGGCCGCTTCCGCTGTCGCTAACAGGCGCTGACCTAGTAGCTTAGGGTAGCTCGATGGGACCTTATAAATCACACGAAAAGCTTCGTTGGGGTCCACACGATGTCCGGAGTCGACAACATGCACGAGATTGGCGCTGGCATATAGCCTGTGTGGGACACTGTCAAAGGCCTTCTTGAAGTCAAAAAATATGACATCTACTGGAAAACCCTTATCGGTAGCTCGTGTCCATTTCTCGTGCGAGTAAAAAATAATCGTTAGGCAGGACCGCCCTGGACAAAAGCCATGTTGGGCATCACACAATATTTTGTTCTGTTCCAGGTATTTCATCAAGTGTCTTTTGATAATGTGTTCCATTATTTTACACGCGATGCAAGTAAGACTGACGGGACGATAATTTCCGCAGTCAAGTCTTGAACCTCTTTCATGGATCGGAGTAATGAGGGCGCACTTCCATTCTTCCGGGAGCTCGCCGTCTTCAAATGACTTTTGAAATATTGCGGATAAGGGCTCGCACAATTCATTAGCAAGTTCACGAACTGCTAGTGCAGGAATTCTGTCTGGTCCAGGCGATTTGGCAGGTTTCAGCCGGAGTAGCTCGCTCCTAACTATGGTCGATGAGAAGAGTGGTTCCTCGATTAAGGAGGGTAGGGAGGGAATAGGAGGGGGAAGGCTACTATGAGGAGAGGTTGGTTGGCGAATGGATGGATGGGCAAATATAGAAGTACGTTCTCGGGTGAAGACGGACTGAAAGAAGTCGGAAAGTAGGGACGCTTTAACCTGGTCATCAGTCTCCACTTTCCCATCTGCAGACCTAACAGCAGGGATCAGCTCCTGAGTCCTTTTAGTACTTCGTATATAACCATATAGAATTTTCGGATGCTCCAACGAATTTCGGAGAATGTTCAGTTCAAACTTCTTTCGCAGCTTTGAGGCCTCACTTTTAGAAACGCTTCGTTGCCGCTTATATTCCTGTAAGTGTTCTTCGGAGTCAGTTTGTCAGTAACGCCTCCACAGACGATTCCTTTTTCTGAAAGAGGCCTTCAAGTCCGGGTTTATCCATTTTGGGCGGTTTGTGATTGTATTTCTTCTGAGAGGACAATTGGAATAAACAATCTCTTTCAGTAAGGAACTGAAAGTATTCCAATTGTCGTTTGCTCGACCATGCAGTTCGGTCTCCCGTGATATAGCTGCCGCTTCCCTCCTCATGAGAGAATAGTCCCCTTTCCAGAGGTCTGGAAAACAGTGAGCACTCGAAGTAGAGCGTGATGTGGTCGCTTGACCCTAATGGCTGTCGGTCCTGCAGGTCTAACACATTTTCCTCCTCTCGGGTAAAAATAAGATCAAGGCAGTTCGACTGCTGTCCTTCCCTGACCCGTGTTCCAAAGGTAACATTCTGGCAGAGAAGTTTATCCGTTGCCCATTGTAGTAGCTTGTGATTAAAGCTGTCTTGCGGCCCTTGTGCAGTCCACGTTAGCCAATCAATGCCAGGCGCGTTAAAATCCCCAAGGATAAGGACATCTTTCTTCTCGCTAGCTTTGTACAGTTCGGATATGAGCATGAGATCTTGGCCAGAAGTATGGATAGGTGAACGGTACACCACCGAAAGCGTCAGTTATCGGACATTCTTAGTAGATATGTTAACGCTTAGCAGTTCCACATCCCGTACCGGTCTATGTACATCAGCCACAGCGTTCAGCTTGCAAGTGACATAAATCATGACTCCTCCTCCTCGGCTTAGTCTATCTCTCCTGAATTGCTGATATCCTCTGAGTGATATTTCTGAATCTGCGATATCTTCAGTAAGCCACGTTTCTGTTAATGTCATAGTGTCTGGCCTTATTTCATCAACTAAGTCTCTTAGTTCGTCTAGTTTGTTGAAGAGACTTTGAACATTTGCGGATATAACCCTCAATGACTGATTCGTTGGAGAAGCCCGGCCTTCATTGTGACGGGTTCTGACCACAGGAGAGACCCCTTTGTCTGGATTATTTGTCCATTTTTGATCTTCAGCCCTTTCTCTCCTCTCCCAATTCTCTCCTTCAATTCTGATCTCACTCTCCTTCAATTCTGATGTCAAATGATACAAAGTGGAATGTGATTTACAGCAGAAGGGATGGTATGTCTGTGTGAGGAGGCGATTCCAACATACCAGCTAAACAACCGGTGTGGAATGCAGCGCTGTCCGCAAAGGGGGTGTGGAGTCGTGGAAAGTGCCGATGTGAAGCTGAAATAAGGAATTGCAACTGCGATAACGGCGGGTATGTAAAGACAGAAGACCAGTTATATTCGCTGACGCGCGGTCACACCATAGCAGTCGCCGATGACGTCGAGGTTCACACACACACACACACACACACACACACACACACACACACTCACAAATGATAATTCGACCATCGATTTCGATGATGTCCACCGCGTGCCCCACAGCTGCTGTAGCGGTGGGAGTAGTGACAGTGACTTGCGCAGGGGTTTATGGTGTTGGTAGACTTGCGCTGCATCTACCTACACTCTCCCCTCCTTCATCGCCCGCGCCCGGTGTCAAGACAGAGTCAAGAAGACCGGAGACGATGGAGGCCGCAGGTGGATGGCTCGGACGGATCTTCACCTTCGTGTTCCACCACACCCTCTGGTACACACAACGAATGACCAGGATTTTGACCAACACAAACGAGATTGGAGGCTGACATGGCCGAAGCCGCACCTAAGCGTGCCGCCAACGCCTGTCTCGGATCCAAACGGGGATTGAACGGCGTGTATCTCATTTGCGCGAGAGGGCCGTGGTAGGTGCTGTTTCAGCCCGCCCTCATCCCACCAGTCCGCCACTTCACTCAACACACACACACACACACACACACACACAACGCAACGAACTGCGTGCACCGAGTGCGGGCGTCAATCAGCAGCCTTCCTATCCACGACACTTGACGTGTCGGGATAGTCTCAGATTCAAGTCACCCGTGCAGCTGAGGCCGCATGGGGACCGAGTCGAGATGCACACTTCCCATTTGCGTGGGAGGTGGCAGTTGAGTGCTTGCGGTGGGTGAGTGTCGATGAGTAGTGGGGTGGTGGTGGTGGTGGAGGCATGCAGGGAGGGTGTTATGGCGTGCGTGATTTAGCCGGCGGTTGTCTACCGCAGGTCGTTGTTGATGCGCATGTGGCCGAATAGGCCCATGCGATGCGTGAAAGTGCGAGGGCAGTGTAGGCAGTGGAGGCGAGCTTGGCGGGCATAGGTTGGTGCTGCAGGCACCGGTTCGCCAGTCTCCGTGCGATGGATTCGCAAGTGACCAACCAGGCCGATGCGAGAGGTGAATGTGTGTGGACAGTCTCAGCAGGTAAAGTCGGTGTTGTCGGTGTCACTTGCGATAACGAATATGGGCGCAAAGGGTGATGAACTGGGGATGTGGTTTGGCGTGGTGGGCGAGTCGGAAGGACGGTCAATTCCGCTCTCGTGAATGCGCATGTGGCCGAATAGGCCCATGCAATGCGTGAAGGTGTGACGGCAGTGTGGGCAGCGGAGGCGAGTGCGATGGGTGTAGGTAGGTGCTCCTGGCACTGGCTTGCCAGTCTCTGTGCGATGGATTCGCAAGTGGCCGAGCAGGCCGATGTGTGAGGTGAAGGTGCGGTCGCAGTGAGGGCAGGTGTAGTCCTGGTCCTCACCCCGGGAGTGGGAGGCTGGAGGGATGGTGTCTGTTGTTGTGTCATGGATGTGTGTGATGCTGGTGTTAGTGACGGCCACCAGAGCGGCCGCGGTTGGTGCAGTTGGGCAGGAGGAAGAGGAAGGGGAGGAAGAAGAAGAAGAAGAAGAAGAAGAAGAAGAAAAAGAGGAGGAGGAGGAGGAGGAGGAGGGGAGGAGGAGGAGGATGGAAGTGATGGTTCAAAAGAATAGGCAGAATTAGTTGGCGGCGGAAAGGACGAAAAAGAGGCGGGCGGAGGGACGGCAGTGGGTGCGGTATGGGAGGTGCAGTTGTTCCGAAGGTGTCCAATGAGTCCGATTCGTGTCCGGAATATCCGTTGACACCGAGGGCACGTTGGAAGCGGTTGTACGTCGGAATTGCGGTTTGGACGTACCTGTGATTTGCGTGCTTCGCGTTTGACTTTGGCAGCGGCGATTCGGTTGGCCTTATAGATCGCAGCGCCTGTGTTCACTTTCCTTCTCCAGTTCAGTCGGCCGACAACAAGCTCTTCCCAGTTGGTCGGGTTAATTTGCAGACGCTTCAGGGAAAACTTCAGAGTATCCTTGTATCGACGAATTTGGCCCCCTTGGCGGCGATAACCCGTGGCGACGTCTCCGTAGAAGAGTCGCTTGGGTAGTCGCTCGTCGTCCATGCGCACCAGGTGGCCGCTCCAGCGCAGTTGCATTTGTCTCAGCATGATATAGATACTGAGGATTCCCGTCCGTTCCACCACGTCAGTGTCGGGAATTCGATCCTGCCAGTTCAGCCTCAGGATGCGACGGAGACAATTGAGGTTAAAGTGGTTCAGTCGACGTGCCTGCGTTGCGTACACTGTCCAAGTCTCCGCTCCATACAGCTGCGTCGGCAGGATGACGGCCTTTTACATCTTCAGCTTCGTGCTCCTTTGGAGATCGTGACGATTCCAAACTGTGCTTTGGAGGCGGCCGAATGCTGGACTGGCTTTCGAGATCCTGCGAGTGACTTCGTCATCGATTTTGGTGTTAAGGGATAGGGTGATGCCCAGGTACGGGAATTACTCCACCACTTGCAGTTGGGTTCCGTTTACACTGATTTGCGGCCTCTTGGGAGGAGTGGCTGCGTGTTGATGACCATACCGAAGTTCTCGCAGGCGGCGGAGAACAGTTCCATGCTGCGTTGCATTTCCTCTTCCGAGGTGGTGTTCAGGGCGCAGTCGTCGGCGAAGCGAAGTTCGTGAGCGGTGGTTGTGGATACGCGTGATTTGAAGTGCATCCGACGTTGCTTAAGAAGGTGACCTACAGTCCTGTAGGCAATGCGGATCCTGGGGCGTTCGTCGCGATAGGCGTCCGTCAGCATAGCATAAAAAATAATACTGAAGAGTGTGGGCGCCAGCACGCATCCCTGCTTCACTTCGTTGAACACTGCGAATGCCTCTGAGACAGCTCCGTTGTCTGTGACTGGCGCCATTATACCGTCGTGCAGCTGACGCATCACCTGAATGAATCGCTCCGGACAGACGAATTTCTGCATGTCCTTCCACAGTCCTTCACGGTTCACCGTGCCGAAGGCTTTCGTCAGGTTCAGTTTATTCATTTTATTTGGTAAGGATAATAGGCAAAGCCTTTGAAAACCCTATTGATTACATGTCAGCTCGTTATAAATAACTGTACATGAACAAGGAAAATATTCGCTACTGAAACAGTACTTGATTTATTTGAGTAGCATGGTCTCAGAGAAAATATTTGCTGGATCGCGGGGTAGTTAGTTCATATTCAGACTGTCGAGGGAAAACAGGGGACACAAATAATTATCCAAGCGTTTCTTGGAGAGTGGCAGAGACGTAGCCTCCACGACTGACTGAGGGAGATCGTTCCATTTCTCCATTACCCTCTGCGTGAAAAATTCAGAACGAAGGTTCAGCCTGGACATTGTTGTCCGTAATTTCATCGAGTGACAACGAAGATGGGGTGAAAGGTGCCACTGAAACATGTCTTCACAGCTAAGTCCTTGCTCAAGGCCATGTATTATCTTGTAGACGAGGATAAGGTCACCTCTTTGCTGCCTGTAACACAGAGGGAATAAGTTAAGGAAATTCAGTCTGTCTGTGTAGGATCGGCTTTTTAGACCGTTTACCTACTTTGTTGCACGATGTTATGCCCGTTCGAGGCATGCTTAGTCCTTTGTTAGCCATGGCCGCCATGCTTGTAGGCCATATTCCAAGTGGCGCCGAACAGAGGTGCCGTAAACGTTCCCAAAAAGGTCTTGGTCAAAGGTTACGAAGGCCCTTTTGATTGCATGGAGCACTCACGTGATGTTTTTTGCAGCCTTGTGGTACTAAAGTGTTCGTTTCAGGTTAATAATAGTAATTTTGTTTAATGCCAGTTTACAGGCACTGTCAGGGAAGCGTTAAACACAAATCCGGCCAGCAGTGAAAAAAACTCATGTGGAAAAGGAATAAAAATATAGTTGATGCGGGTTTTATGGATTGGAGGGTTCAGGAGAAAAAAACTGCTGACGACAAGCATTCGACCGTCAAGAAGGGAGGAGATATTATCAGTCGCCAATTAATTTCATGAAGTTAGGGTTAGTCCCACCAGAAACGCCGAAGAACAGCTGTCGCTGTTGGCCAAAGAAATTGTCCCTGGTGAGACCGGCCATAGTAGTCAGAGACCACAAACGCCATCGCTACGATAGAGTCGATCAATGGATTCAGCACCCAAAATGTGTGGGAGCTTTTCACAAGCTCACGACCGTCAGGAAAGGGGAAGGGGTGCACGGTATCGGATATTATCAGTTGCCAATTTTTTTCCTGAAGTTGGGGCAAGTCCAAACAGACGCGTCAAAGAACAGCTGTCGCTGTAGGTCAATGAAATTGTCCGTGGTGAGACCGGCCATAGTGCTCAGACACCACAAACGCCATCGTTACGGTAGAGTCGATCAGTGGATTCAGCATCCAAAATTTATGGGAGCTTTTCTGAATGCAAAAATCGAGTAATATTTCTCTTGAATAAGGGATAATTTTGCAGAGTTTTTACATTCCTGTGTAGTTTATTCCAAATAGCAATTGCATTTACAGAAAAGAACCGACGATATTTTATAGTACGTGCCAGAGGAAGAAATAAAAAGACCTCACGGTTACTGTTACGTCGGGGGTACACATGATGTCTTAAAGAAGTGAGTGGATTAAATGTGTGATTATATAAGAGTTTAAATAGCAAAAACAGCCCCTTTTGTAATCTACGGAACCATAAAGGATGAAGACCCGTAAGCCGGCAACGTTCTGGGTAAGAGAAATGTCGGTGTTCCAGGGCTAAGATTCTCTTGGTAAAAAAAATGTTAAACGGATTCTATTTTCATCCGCTCAGTAGCACGCATGAGGCTAAATAAAATTGAACAGTTCTGTATCCAAACCCCAAGATCCTTCTGTGAAGATTCGGCGGGGAGTCTAATATCTTTCAGGTGATATGTCCTCAGGCTCTCATTTGAATGAGAGTTGGTTGGGCGCAGATGAAGGACGGCACACTTCTCCACATTGAAATCTAGAAGCCATTTCTTCGACCACGCTTGCAGTCGATGCAGATTATCTTGAAGGGATCTCGGATCATTTGGACCCTTAATGACTTGCCAGAGCTTAACGTCGTCGGCAAACATTATTTTGCCGCAGTCGAGTTCCTGAAAGCTGTCATTAACATAAAGGACGAGGAGCAATGGTCCCAGAACTGAGCCTTGAGACACACCACTGGTCACGTTCACCCATTCTGACATATCATCTCCGATACAGACACGTTGTTTCCGACCAAATAGAGACGTCCTTATCCAGTTCACAAATTTGTGAAGAAGACGTTGGTGCGGAACAGTATCGAAAGCTTTGCGAAAATCGATATACACGTAATTGACCTCAAAACCCTCTTCTAGAGCCCTGGTTCAGATCTCCAGACAAGCTAACAGATTTGAGAGGCAGGAACGTCCTCTCCGGAAGCCATGTTGAAAATCCTGCAAGATAGTATTTTCTTCACAAAATTGCTGTATAGCCGTCTTTACTAGAGCCTCCATCGTTTTGCATGGGAGGCAAGTTAAGCTAATAAGCATGAAGCTGCTTGCTGTCATCCTGCTACCTCCCTTATGCAAGGGAAGGAGATTAGCTGTCTTCCACTGTGAGGGCAGCCTTCCTGTTCTCATTGACAGCTCAAACAGAGTCAAAAGAGTCTTCGATAGCTCCGTTGATAGCTCCTTAAGTATCAGTCCGGGAATTCCGTCGGGTCCAGGAGACTTATCAGGTTTTACTTGACTGAGGACGCGTCTTACTTCTTCGACAGAAACGGCAACGGTTTCAAAGACGGCAGTATCTTGACGCATTTGAAGCTCCCGGCTGTCTCGTTCCATTTCAAACTGCTAAGTGTCTTCTAAGGACTCCTCCGTAAAATCCGATTGAAAAAAATGAGACAGTAATTACACTCTCTGTGGCCCTTCAACTAATCAGTTTTTTCCCTTTGCTTCCTCCTACTGCGGATGTACCCGTAAAACTTCTTGGGACATGTAATGGATTCTGCCATCAGTCGGCGCTCGAAAGAAGCTCTCTAAACCCGTATTTGTTTGCGGCATTTATTGCGCTGATCCTCATATTCGGCGAATGACCATGGATCTCGAAGTTGCAAATACTTTTTCCACAGTCTCTGTTTCTTCTTCAGGGTCTTTTTGTGGTCGGATTGACCCACGGCTGTCGCGCCCATGGTCTTGTTATTTTCATTGTACAATGGGAGTCAATTAAACGTTATAAAATCCCGCGAAATTACTGCCAGAATTCTTCTGAACCTTCCATGCTGACTAACCAGGTTTCCTTCAAAAGAGTACGTCTCACTGCGTTAAAGCTTCCCTTCCAAATATTTCTGAGCCTCTTGATTTTTGGTTGTTGGTTCTATAGGAGAGAGAACACGCAGGTAAAAGCAATATGATCGTTTAAACCGAAGGTAGAGTACAGGTGGGTCTGCACCTCCTGACACTTCTCCTGAAGTTGACGGGCGACGAAGATCATATCCGTGGTCCCACGATGACGACGGAAGCCGCACTGGCTTTCCGGCAGATGGGCCTGTTCCAGTTGGTTATTGAGGCGGTTCAGAAGGATGCGAGCGAATATCTTTCCGGCGATGTTCAGCAAGGAGATGCTGCGGTGATTGTCGCAGACTTGGCGTTTCCCTTTTCGCTTGTAGAGATGCACAATAGATGCATCTTTGAAATCTTGCGGAAATTCACGTTGACGCCACATCTCCTAAAAGAGCGCAGTCAGGTGATCCATCAGTTGGGGATCGTCGTGCTTGTAGACCTCAGCAGGGTTCGCGACCGATCGGGGTGCTTTCCCGCTGGAGAGCTGCTGCACGGCCCTGATGGTTTCCTGGAGAGATGGCGGGAGGTCGAGGTTCACGCTGGTCTCCACTTGCGGCAAATGGTCAATGGTGGCGTCGGAGATGGCGGAGGGGCGGTTGAGGACGCCTCGGAAATGCTCGGCCAATCGCTGTAGAATTTATCTTCTCAGCCAGGAGGGTACTTCCGTCGACGTTGAGGAGAGGAGCAGTGCACTTCGTCGACGGACCGTAGACAGCTTTGATTGCAGAGAAGAAGTTCTTCTACTCGTCGCGGTCCGCGTATCCTTGGATCTCCTCAGCTTTGCGAGCAGTCCAGACGTCCTGCATCTCGTGCAGTCTTTGTCGAAGGTGGCGGCGACTGCGGTAGAAAGCAGCTCTGTTGGCATCAGTTGATTTGTCTACGTAGGCTTCGTGTAGGCGGTTCTTCGCGGCGAGCAGATTTCTGATGGCGGCATCGTGGTCGTCGAACCAGTCCTGGTGTTGGCGGCGTGCGCGACCAAGAACGGTTAGCGCCGTCGACTGGATCGTGTCTCGCAGTTGACACCAGCGGTTATCCACGGAGGCGTTCTCGGCAGCGGCGTCGACGGCGTCGGTAGCGATGGGAAGGTTGTCTAGTCGTTGAGTTAGCGTGTTGCTAAAATGAAGATGGTGAGCGGGCAAAGACAACGAGGCAGTATTCAGCCTACCTGGCGGTCGCTTACCTTGTCGCCTCCTGCGAGGCTATAGGCGAATACGCATCTTCGAGATGACGAGGCGATGGTCGGTCCACCCGTCAGCACCCGCAATCGCCTTTATCATCAGCACGTCCCCTGGTCTCGCCTCAGGACAAGGACATAGTCCAGCAGATGCCACTGACGCGACCAAGGATGCCTGTAGGTGGCATTCTCTCGCTCGGGCAGACAGAAGAACGTGTTTGTCAGGACAAGGCATTGTTCTGCGCAGATGCGGAGGAGCAACATATCATTGTCGCTGGGACCGCGGAGACCATGGGGACCCAGCACTCCTCTCCAGGCAGCATGGTCTGTGCCGACGCGGGCGTTGAAGTCACCAGTTTTAATCAACTTGTCCGCCTTCGACACAGTCGCCAAGAGGGCGTGCAGGTCCTCGTAGAATTTGTCTCTTGCGGCGGCGTCGGGACTGGTAATTGGCGGAGCGTAGGCCCTGATTATGGTGGCGAATTTGCCTCCCCAGAGAGGCAGGCGGAGGCTCATCAAGCGATCGTTGATGCCCTGCGGCAAACGGTGCAGTCGTCCACGATGTCGTTCCGAATGGCGAAGGCGACGCCCGCGTCTCGTCACTCTGGCCTGTGGAGACCGCTCAAGAAGGTATAGCCAGCACCCCCTCCTCCAGTTGACCTTGTTCGGAGAATCGAGTCTCGCTGAGTGCGGCGATGTCCACCTTGTAGCGCGCCAGTTCCCGGGCCACTAGCGCTGTCCTCCGTTCCGGTCGTTTGCTCCTCGGATTGTTTAAAAGGCAACGAACATTCCAGGCTGCCAGAGTGAGCGGACTCACCCTAAAAGTCTGGCGATTGCAGTGGCGAATAGGAAAAGGAGAAAAAGAGGTGTAGGCAGGAGGGTAAAGAGAGAGTTGGGTGTTGTTTCGGTTTGACTGTTTCGGTCGTGTGTTTCTTGTCTGCGACCACGGTCAGCCTACAGACAGTGTTTTTTCCACAAAATTTGGGGCAGCTTTTCTAGCCCCTTCCCCCTTGCGGGGGCAGACAGCGCACCCGCTGAATAGGGCTCTCCGTTGCAGGACTTACAGTTAGAATGAACAAGCAGACATAGCAACAGTCAGGGAGGGGATTAAGCAAGGTAGCATACGATGTCCAGCACACTAACCCCTAGGTACTAGTGGAGAGATCCGGAGACAAACGGAGACAGAGAATGCTACAAGAGCAACAGACAGCGTGGGACCCTAGCAGGCAAGTAAGGAAACAGAGTAACGTTCAACTACCTGAGACTTCACTTACCTGTTGGCCTCTTGCGGTGGTCCAGGTAGAGCCTCGTCTCGACGATGCCGACGAAATGCTTCATCCGACCGCCGAAGTCCACACTACCGTGCGCGCAGCTGCACACACGAATACTCTGACGTGGTTTAGCCCGACGGTTGGGGCGGTTACTGGGATGTAGCCGCTGGGCAGAGCCCAGCTTCGGAGAGTCACAAGAGAGAGTTTGACACCAGCAAATGGACGCTAGACGTAGTCTGCATCTAATAATAATTTGTTTTCAAGACCCGCGGGGATCCGTTCATAGAAAGTATGAATTTTAGAATTTTAGAACAGGTATACAGAATATATATATAATACTTAATTCATGGCAAGTTAATAAGCAGCATGTTACGAGGAATGATGGGTGAGTTGTGAAAAAAACCTCCAGCATATAAACAACATGAGTATGACTGAATTAACACTAAAGGAGAAAAAACTCTCGCTCCACGATGTATGAAAGGCAGACATGACCGGCCTGTATGGGGCAGTGTATAACGGATTTCATGAAGAAGTAAGTGGGCGGGTCAGGCAGGACTGGCCTGTATGTGGTATTGAGTAAAAAGTTCGAAAGGGACATCATTTAGGCAAAATTCATATGCCGGGTGAGGCCATTCATGTCAAAGTGGCGAATAGAAAACCAGTCTCGAGGCTATAGGAGCCCAGATGGGATCGGTTACAGTCAGCTGATTCCAGTCGAGGAGAGGGCAAAGGAGATGCGACCAGATTGCTAGTATATGGCGAATACAGAGGGCTTCGCCAAGAGCAGCGATGGACCGTATTCTGTGAGGGCAAGATGCATGAACTGAAAAATTGGAAAAATTAACATTTCTGGTGAGGAATCTGAGGAAACGGACTTCTCACAAAGGAAGGAAATGTGAACAGATACGGAAATTTAATGGCGGCATACTAAGTTCCCGGTGGCCCTTTCTTAGTGTCATAAAAAAGTTGTCTGGGAAGGAGGAGGAAAATAAGTTTAATCGAGTCAGTATTCATATAAAGGCGTAACCTTCTCTTAAAGGTGTGTAGATTATCTGAAGGTCTTATATTTATTGAAAGGTTATTTCAGGGGAAAATATATCTGGAAGCGAAAAAGAGAGCGCTAAGAGGTGGTGGAAGCACGAGGAGGGATGGTCAGGGAAGGGTTGCGAAGATTGTATGGGCGTCTACTAGGGGTAAGTGCTGAAATTCGAGAAAGATTTTAACATTTATTAATGCGAAAGAGGAGACAGAAGCCTGCTTCTTGTCTTAAATACAAATGTTAGGTTAGTTAGCTGGCGTCCATATGAGTAGGAGATATTTTGATGTTCCACGCATTTACGTTTCCTAGTAAAACTTCTTTGAACATTTTCTATTTTTGAACGACTACCTTCGTTCATCCAACCAAAGAATGGGCAACAGTACTCGAGAATGGGAAGTACAACCACACGAGAATGTCTTAATTTAGTTTCGAGAAGATAGAAATAGCAAGAAATAAAGCTACAAATCTGGGCAGATTTGGCTTTAATTTATCAGCGTGTGGCGAGAGATCAAGATTATTAGTGTAGCCTAAACCTAAATCCTTGATAGTTGTACATTCAGTCGTAGGTGTGCCTTGAAAGATCACTGGTTGAGGTAACCTCTCAGGTCAAAAACACATATGGCGACATTTAGACGGAGAGAATTCCACTAGTCATTTTGAACTCCAAGCTGAGAGAGCAAGCAAGTCAGCATGGATTTGCTGCAGGCAATGAAGGCTCATAGATTTGTTGAAAGAATATACACCTTTGAGATCATCAGCATAAATGAATGATTGTGAATGTTTAACTGCCGCCGGGATATCATTTATGTAAAGCAGGAACAAAGGACGACCTAAAACGGTGCCTTGTATGACACCACTTACAATTGGACTTTCCCTGGAAAGTGAAGATCCCACTTAAACCTTTTGTTTACGATTAGACAGGTATAACTTGACAAAGTCTGTTAAAGGACTGCGAATTCCCAGCGCTTCTAATTTAACCGAACTAAATCTGTTTCCTCTAAATTACAGACAACTGCGCGGCGATCTCACTCAAACCTACAGGATTGTCAGAGGTCGTGAGTGTTAGGACGGCCCAGAACACGACGCACCGTTTCTGTCGTCCGGGGGTCGCGCCTGACAAAGAACCGCAAACTCGCCGGACAGCCTCGCCTAGGAAGCCCGCATGCGAGCCAGACATTAGCACGCCGCTGAGTCATGCGCGACCTCCAGGGGACAGCAACACGCGAAGGCCTGCCCATGCGGGCGCTCAGGACTGGACCAGTAGGAACACGCAAACCAGACAAGGGCTGAACCCTTAACTACGAAGCCACGGACGGAAGGATTAAGAGTTGATGTACACAGAGTGACTGACGCAGTAAAGCTGTTCTCTCCTATCCTGTCTGTCTTCTATTTCGCACAGAACTGGCGTTATACTAATTGGGGATATAACAGTGAGTGTGCCCTAGACTTTGATGAATTCTTCTCATTGGCCGGGACTGACCGCCTGCGTGGTCATCCCTTCCAGCTGCAGAGGAAGCTGGCCCATTCGGACGTCCGACGGAACGCCTTCTCTCACAGGGTCATTGGGGCATGGAACGGACTCCCTGATGTAGTGGTTCTTTCCGAAAGTATCGATTCCTTCAAACGTAGATAAGATGCTCATTTGTTGAGAAACTGCTGTACATACAATGAGGATTGTTCTAGCGGCGGCAGTTTGCGCCTGGCTCACACTTACCGCTAATTTTTTTAACTTTCCGCATTTGCTGATGTAATTGATGACTTTATTTCTGTTTATCGATATGAATAGGGAGCTCAAGGGCGAAAGCCTCATTCCCTTAATAAACTGACTTAAACTGACTTAAACCAAGAGTCTTTCATGTGGCACTTTATCAAAGACTTTACTAAGGTCAACAAAATAACGACAAAATATAGATGGTCATTACGAAGAGAAGTAAGTAAATTGAGAAACGACAGATGACATGTTTTACAAGAGCGAACTGATAAAAAAAACCATGCCGCGAAGAGTTAATAACTTGATTGGCTATGCAAAAGTCGGTAACTTTCAAGGCGATAATTTTCTCAAAGGTTTTAGCAAGGGAAGGTGTTTTATGGACACCTCGATAGTTCTGAACGTCAGAACGACAGCCAGACATAAATACTAGAATAATAATAGAAGTTTTCCAATGGTCAGGAAGGAAGCCATTTACGAGAAATACTGAAGAGTTTGCTAAACAGAGGAGAAAATCTCTTAGCTGTTTTATAATAGAGTTTGGGATACTGTCCGTACCTACTGAGTGAGAGTTAGGAAGACGGTTTATCAGTTTATGAATAGTTTCAGGAGAAAAATTAATGATGTTGAGAGAGACATCAGGCAAACTCGGAAGTAAAGTGATTGGCTCAGTTTCAATGGTGTAATGTTTGGCAGGAAATGAATTTAACATTTCTGCTTTGCCTGACTCCTCTCTAACGAAGGTATCTTTGGTACTAAGCAAAGGCGGAGTGACTTGGCTGGATTTAGCAGATGATTTTTGACGGAATGTCTGGGCAACTGATTTAGAAGCATTCACGTCATTAATGGCTAAAGACTCTCTACGCCTATCTCGTGAGAGCCTCATTTCGGAAGCTAATTCAAATATTTCAACGATTCTTGGATTAACTGATAATGAGCTCACGGAAGGATCGTTAAGCTGCTTCCGCACCTTTTAAAGTCTGTTTTTAAGAAAGTGTGGGCCAGCGCTGTTGCTGGAAACGGTCGAATATATGGCGTAAATGCAAGCATTTTCCTCTGTCGAAGAGCTTGCGACGAGTATGTCGTCAGTGTAGTCATAAGCGAGTGGGAGACTCAACAACAACTCATCGGTGAAGCGTTGAAGGATTGGGTAACGTTGCGCAAACAAAAAGGCATACGAGGAAATTCGAACAGACCAAAAGGCGTTGTGACAGCAGTCTTGAGGGATGTCGTCTTTTACGACGGGGATCTGGTGGTATGTTCTTATGAGGTCATTATTGTGGAAAGTAGTTTTCCAGCTAGCATGTGAGAGAGATCGTGAATATGGGGAATTGGATATCGGTCGGGAACAGTGACTCTGTTGAGAGCGCGATAGTCGCCGCATGGTCTCCAATCATCAGTCGATTTATTGGGCACCACATGGAGTGGAGAGGCCGTGGGCTGCAGGAAGGCTTGAGATGGTGGCGCCTAGGAGGCGGGGTGACACTGATCTCGGCACCAGTATCGACAAGAAAACGGAGGCCGCTCGACTTGTCATTGATATTAGAGAGGCCAGCGTATCGTGACCGGCCAGTGAGAGCTGTCGACGTTACTGGCTGATGCAGTCGTTTCCCTGTGACAATGCCTGCAGGGATGTGCAGGGATGACCGCTCCACACAAGAAATATCGCGTTTTAGCGGAGGAGGGCATTCTGGATCAGAAATGGTAACTCTATCAAATTTGTGTGGATCCGAGGTCCGTTGTATATTGGCCCATGTCGCGCCGACTGGGTAGCATTCGCTGATCCTGTCGACATGGTTGACTACCTTATCTAGAGAGGTGCTGGTATCCAGCATGGCCAAAACCTGCTGTATAGGAAGCGGCAAATTGCTTAATCATATTTGTGTAAAAATTGCGTTGTGCATAAGACGAACAGCACGCAATGAGGCATCTGTCGCATAAGCTGCAATGGTGTTTGATCACCGGGTTCTACCTGCGTGAATAATTCTCGTAACACCCGACTGGCCGATTTGGCCACTCTCTGGATGACGGCATACTTTCACTGAGTGAGTGGGTCATTAGCAGAAATCGAGTCAATGAGGTCGTCGACCTCGACGACGACGTTGAAAGGAAGACTCGGCACCATATAAGGTTATCGGGTGCGTTTGCTAGTAGTGCGGCTCGTTGAGAAAACCGCCTTAATCTGACGAAATCAAACCCGGGAGTTGCTCGCTGTAAAAGAGTGTAGTTTAAAGCAGAGGGTATTGGCATCGAGACAGTCTGCTTAAGGTTCGATATCGGTCATAGTAAAAAGGAGGTTGTGTAGATGTAGAACAACGAGGTCATCACATTTGTAATGTAAACGGCAATAAAAACTACAAGAATAATAAATACTTATCTCTAAGTGGGAGGTACTGCGTTTCATACAAGAAGAATAACGACAGCAAAAACGGTGTAGGAAAAACGGCAAAAGATAAATAATGGTGCAGACTCACGAAAAATAAAGTCCTCTCCAGAAGCAGTTGTCCTATACTGACTGTTCTGGGTAAAATCTTGAGAAGAAATTAGCTACTGAAGCTTGTTGCTCTGGTGAGTTTACATCCAGTTAGATATGACCAAAAAATATAGGTGTTTCGTGTCGATTGAGTAAAAGCGATCAAGGCGTATGAGTGCAATCAACAAAACAATCACACCAAACCGCAGACGGACACGAAAAACACACTTTTCTGCAGCTTATACCAGGTGTGCATTCTAGCGAATTTAAACAGCATTACAGAACACTTCAGGTGTACAAGAAAGTTTAAAACTAAAAATCGAAAATGTACGTAAACCTATAACGGTTAAAATTGCAGTCAACTATAAGAAGGGCAGAGTCGGTAATAAGAGAATGGGTTAGAGATTCTGTTACACATACATAATCAGGCGTCACTTGCAGAGCAATGGCTCTGATTTGGGCTACTTTATTTATAACAAACCTAGCATTCAATAATATAATTTCTATTGTCGACGGCATTTAAAGAAAAAGATTTCTAGACGAATATCTAAGCTGTGCATTAATGATGCCTGAGTAATAAGTAACAGTTAGTCTGGAGTTACTGATGAAGGGAGTGTCAGCAAGAGAATGCTGGACAGGAGACAAAAAGGATGTGGGGAGATAGTTTTCAAGCATTGGAATGCTAAGGAAGTTGGAGCAGGGATAGGCTTGTTGGTAGTTAAATTGTGAGGAAGGAGGAAGCCTAGAGGAAAGGCAGAGGCTGGTGGGGAGGGTACGCAGCCATAGGAACAAAAGGGTGGGAAACCAGGTCTAGGTTGGAAGTCAAAGAAGTTAGGTTGACTTACGTGAGATCAATTGGCCTTAAGTGGTGGGAAGCCTGAAATAGGTTGAAGGATCAAGGGCATAGGGCAATTCAGATATGAATTATTTACTGATTATATAGGAGGGCTTTGGTAAGTAACCGGTACGCAGGACAGATAATTATTTGGAGGTATAATTAGAGCTGCGGTCTCTGTAGACAAGCTAGGCTGTAAAGGCTTGGTAGATGTAAGAGAAGGCGGCATACCCTAAATGGAATTGTACTACCTTCTTTTGGGTCGGATCTGATTCAATTATGGAGTCTCACCGTTCTGACGCCATGCCGCAGGTGACTTAACCGTGGAACTCGCAGGACCCTGTTGAAATGGGGAAGTCATCGGTCTATCTGATGTAGACCGATTAGCAGGAGGATAAGGGATGACAAGTGGGACTAACGATGCTGCCAATTTAAAGGCAGACGAATGCGTCAAGTGGCCAGAGTGAGAGGGTGATGCAGAAGTAAGGAAAAAAACGGCTCGTACGCGAGCATCGGCTGAATACATCGAACACCTTGAAAATATCGCTCTTAATGCTGAAAGTAAAGGTGCACTTGTTATTCGCTACACATATTCCGAATCTGAGCGTATCACGGTGAGCCAAGCATCGTGGTTTGGAAGACTGCCGGCTGACGCCTCACTTAAGTGCACGAATTCATTCCGGTTATGCCTGTTTGGGTGGAGCGGTTGACTGGTGGGCTGAGAGACAGTCTGTCACAGATCCTTCTTCAGGTGATCTCTGGAATTCTCAGACATACTTGGATTGTGTGCATTCTATGGGTAGCGCGTCTCAGCCGACGACTGAGTGGTTACCCAGCATCCGAAGGCTATCGACCCGCGTTTGGATTGTATGAGTCCTCACACCTAAGGGGTTTAAGCTCGGAAGAATATATGAGAAAACCAACCGGATTTAATCAATTCCACGTTCGAAACATAATGGAAATCCGAAATACATACTAAACAGGACCCTAGAGGTGCCCGACGTAGAATATAAATTTAAAATCTAACTCTGGGAGTGTTTAAACGTGTTTGTATAGAGGGCTCGCCTTTCATTTTGCACTCACACATCTCCTGTTGCTGCGCGGGTTCAGTTCCATGAGTGCCAAACGCCGTGTTGCTGTCATTGGTTCGGGTAACTGGGGCTCCACAATCGGAAAAATAGTTGGAAATAACGTTTTGAATCTGGAAAACTTCGAGGATGAGGCACCATTTGATTTGAACTTTTATTAATTCTTGTAGGTCAAAATGTGGGTGTTTGATGAAATTGTGAACGGAAAAAAACTGACGGAGATCATAAACACATCACATGAAAATATAAAATACCTTCCTGGCATCAGACTTCCTCCAAATGTCATTGCGGATCCAGACCTTGCTAACTGCGCGAAGGATGCCGACGTCCTATTGTTCGTCGTACCACATCAATTTTTGGCGAAGGCCTGTGACACCATCAAGCCAGTCTTAAAGCCAGGGGCTTACGGGTGTTCGCTCATTAAGGTACAGTCCTTCTTATTTTCCGGCACTCTAGTTGTTACAAACAATTATTTTTCATCACGTTAAGATAAAAAAACTGAAAACTTTAAAAATCTTGCATTTTCCCATTTTTTAAAGTCGTTTAGATTTTCGAGGAATAATTTATCCCCTTCACCTTGTACAGTGACTGCATGCATTGGTCTCACGGCCATTGAGCACTAGAACTGTTTGTCCTGCCATTCACTCCACAGCGATAGATTTTTATCTATACTTTTGAGGGTGCTGTGCGTGGTTTTGACTGTGTCGATCTTGCATATGCATATTGTCCGACCTACCCTGGTTACACGTGCGGTACTGATCGGTTACAATCAGACCACTATAATATACGACACGTACTCTTGCCTGAATGAAGTAGCCAACTCTATGGGTTCGATTTGTAACTGTAATCACTTACTTGAAGGAGGCGATCTTCATGAAAAGAACCGCCAGTTTGGAAGAATGGACACTGTCAAGCGTCTGAACTAGTGTTGTTGCATAACCCAAGTATGTACGACGTAGTCGTTTGAAGTAGTCTTGCTCCCAAGATTTTTACCAATTTTCGCGTTATCTGTTTGAGCACAAAGACTCGCGTTTTCCGGGCATAATCGGGACTGTTCTCTGCGGCCGTGCATATACAAGGCGAATAAAGTAACATTTTCCTGACCGCCATTTTTTAAGATTGGTCCCCAATAACGTACTCGGCGCTGAGTGTGTCAGCGTCTAGATAATATTCAAGGACATCGGAGGAAGACGGTTGGAGTGGCATTCGCACAATTCGTGGCCGTCATCTTGCATCTGCCCCTCTAGAGGCAGCAAACACGCCAGTCGAAGGCATACTTTGATGCAATCCTAGATACTGAGTTGGTTGTTGGGACCCCAATGTATCGGCCTCACCACCGAAGAAATTAAGTCTAACCTACTTTCTATAGGAATGGTTGCAGAGTAAGACATGTGTGCCTTATGATTTGTGGCGTAGTCGGGGCTTAGAAAAGTGTCAGCCCCCCTAGTTGACGCTCTTGCTCAATCGTCTGCAAGTATACAGTAGTGAATATCTTGCGATTATGGTGGCCCCGTGAAGTCATTGACACTTGTCTTTGACAGATAGGCGTGCTTAAGGTTATGAAAGTTTTCGAACTATACTTAAAACTACAAGAAACAGTTGGGGGGAAGTCTATGAAGTAATTTGTAATCATCATTTAATAATCTTAGTTAAAATCCGCGCTTCAGCAATGTCTCAAAATGTGGTGATTTCTACTTGTTTATCAAAGGGTTGGCGCGCCTTAGTTTTCATATTAAATTGTAAACATAGTCACTAAATAGACCGTTTGGTCTTAGTATGTCTATTTATTGAAAAGATCTGATTTGGAAAGTACGTCGGCAAAAAACATCAGTATACGGTCCGTCGTGTGGAACATTCTTGGGGTTATGCGTCGAGCATATCTGCCACAACCCAACAAGTTTGCATTTTGGGTCCTGGCAATTTTTTAGATCGGACCGAATTCCGGTTAGCTAACAGCACTGACGTGGATATAAGCCCTTCCAGCTAAGACAGTAAAGGTTAGAGCGGATGATAACGTTTCTCGGTATGACCTAATGACAGGACTGAATACTGCTGCTTAGTGCTAGTTGGGCGATTATCCTGCGCCTGAGATCTTGACCTAGCACATTGTCATTTATTGTCTGGAGCTTGTTCTCGTCAATACCTCTTCCCTCTAAACAAAGTATGAATTCTGAGTCACATAATTTTCAGTTGTTGTTTCTGGCAAATTTTATTCCTATTGTTGGAGAAGCTGTGTGTCGTTCGCAAATTCTCCTTCTCTGGTAGGCTTTTTACATCCTTTCCTGTATGACAGTGCTTTTTTAGCTCTATCGCTTTACATCCGGTTGTTGTCTCAGGCCCATAAGTATTAGTAATCAGAAGCTGCACTTGCCCGTAGATGGAAATATAGGGTACGTTTTTTAATTTTTAGGCAACATTGCAACTTGAGATGATCACCCCTTTAATTCTTTGGCCCCCCTTAAAAACAACACCCCTCCCATATCTCGGTCGGACCTAAGTGTGCTTCTAACGCGTTGTCACGACCTAGTTTTGGGAGGTTATGAACTCATAACATTATCTTGCCGACTTTTGAAATACCTTAGGGATTAGACGAAAAGCCGGGTGTCGGAGTGAGACTCCTTACCGACCTCATCCGTGAACGACTTCAGATTCCCTGCGCAGTTCTTATGGGTGCCAACCTGGCAAACGAAGTCTCTCAGGAGATGTTCTGTGAAGCAACTGTGGCCTCACTTGACCCGGCACGGGGCAAGGAATTGAAATCTCTGTTTCAGGTGACTTCGTATGTTCTCTTTGCCCACCTGGATTGGCGTTTTAACCACACTCTCGGTTCACTTATCTTATATGAGTCTATTTTAAACTGGGGATATTTATCCCCATGCCCTGTTGCGCCGGAAAATGGCCCATTTGGCTCATTTTCCAGCACTTGCCGACTGAAAGTGAATATGCAGCTCGCTACATTTCGTTGTAGACTGGTTATTTTCGAAGCCCAGATAGATTAAACTCGCCGTTGACATTCTGTTGACGCTGCTGCGCTAACTGACTTTGATATTCATATTCGCTCGAGTTTAAGTTAAAAAAAACACCGGTTTAATATATTTGGTTCCTCGATAAACTCCCTCGACCAGCCCTTGTGTTGGTTTACTGGAACGAAGTGTTCAAAAGAACGCAAATAAGTCATTGGACTGACTGAACAACCAATCCTCGATCGATAGATATCCGATTTTCAGCCTTATTTCGACATTTAGATTATCTCAAAACCGTAATTATAATTCGAGCAGTTGACGACGTGCATATGCATGTAAGAAGCGGCTTATTTTGGGGTATGGGTGATCACACAGTCATGCAAAGTAGCTATCGTTATCAGAGCCCACCTTTAGTAAAGGTAATAAGAAGATGACGACCAACAAATGTCCTGGATCCTGCTCTTGGCTTACAATATCAAGTTTACGCTTCTAGCCCTGGATTCACTCAGAAATCTCAAAGATTGAGCAAATGCAACGACGGCTACGCTTATCGATCCGCATCTACCTCATCAAGGGCTTAAACCGTTATATGACGTTGAGCCGCCCCAGGACCAATCGCTATCGTAGTCCAGAAGATTTTAGGGAAACTTGGCAATGTTACATTATTTGCCATATGGACAGCACAGGTGCTAGCTAAAAGTCATGTCACATGGTTCGTCGATCTTTTGTCGCTTCCTGACACAGCTGCGAATGCTTCGGCTCATCAGTGAGTCCACCAGCGTTTCCCGGCTGCTTTTTTGTAGATACTCCAGTTTGAAGTTCCTGCCTTTTAAACTCCTCAGAAATCCATGCTCTAATTTGGAGCAAGTCATCTGCTGTGGACCTTTATAATTCCAGTCCAAAAGTTGATATGAATATTTGAGCGGAAATCCATCAGCTTCAACGGGGCAACAGCGCAATACTTGTAAGCTGGACAGTTTGTTTCCTGGCAAGGCCGACTTTATCAGCTTGTTGAGACTCGATGAAGAGTTCAGGTGCTCAGCCTTTTGAATAATTTATTACCTTTTTGTGTCGTGCTATGTAAGTCTGCGATCCAAAAAGAACTTTTGAGAAGGACGGCGGCCGTGTCAAGGCCCTCATATTCAAGCTGAAAATCAGTTTTCTAAAGTGGGCCTCAAACTGGACTTGAAAAAAAGATCAGACATGATATGTATCAAGAGAGAACATTAGGCAGAACGAAAAACTTATTTCGAGTCGTGTCAGGCGTACGCCGACCGCTAGCGTAAGTTGGAGGCTAGAGACAGCTTAGCAACAGGTGCAAGTTAGCAGACAATCCGCTCAGAGGCCTAGCTTAGACCTAAAAGTTTGACAAGTAACTAGCTTGGAAGGATCATTTCCCCATCTTCATATATGACTTAACTGACTTACTCTCACACCTCCACTGATATTCTTTTACCAAAATAAAGCTTTATAGAAGAAATAAACATGTTTGATGTTGGGTTTTCATGTGGCCGACCTGTTACTTTCGGACGACTCGCTCGCTTATGTAACTAATAATACGCAATAAGGACTCTTAAAACTGCGGTGCCAACTTAAGTTTGTGAACAGGCCCAATCACGAGAATTCAGTGGTACTTCGCTCTTGTACATAAGGCTAAAGTAATGGAAGATCGCGAGCAGGTTTCGATACCGAGGGTGCTAACCGTTTTTTATACTACCGAATCCCCACAGCATACCGGATCCAAGAAGCACCTGAATTTAGGGATTTAGGTCGTATTTTTTTGATCTGGGGTTAAACTTGGTTGAAAAGCTAACCGAAAGTGAAAATATTAAGGGTTGAATTCACAAGCAGTGGGTAACTTTTGTAAGGCCTAATTTCGCAACGATTTTTTTTCTGAAAATTGGTAAAGTTGCCGTCTCTACCTTCGTATCTGTCTCTCAGCTGAAGCTCTGATAGAACACAGATTTGATTTCCCACAGTAAGTTTGCCTTACACGTTTGGGGGAATGAAAGTGACAAAAACGTCTGTCTCCGCCAGGAGGGTCCAAAGTCAAAAAATGCCGGCCACGGCTCGGGAGCGCAATGCCGTTCGTAAGTACTTGTCAGGTCTCTCCGACCTTGACCCCCTGACCGCTGCAGTAGCCAAACTGTTTAGTACATAGGTCTCCGCGTCAACCGACGTTTCTCGCTGAACCGTGCGCCTGCATGCGATTAAAGTGCACCATGCCACTTGGAGTCTGGTGACCACTATGAGGTTTGACGCCCGATGAGGTTGCCTATCGTATTTGCCTGGCCCACTGATACCCCAAAGAGCTGTGTGACTTTGACAATGTAGAATCTGTACCGAGACACCTGCTGACCGATTTTGACTACACTGAAGAGATCGCCCTGCTACCCTCGAGCTGCATTGTCCCACACAGTGTGGGTCAGCCGAGAACCGGACTGCTCTCAATCCTTCGAGTTACGAATGGTTTCTTGTACCTTCAGCCTTCGCCGTTGGAGAAGAAGGTTTGCGAGTTCGCCGTGCGTAGATTGGCACACTCCACACATTGGGGTTGCCAAGTACAAGTACTTACGTTTTCTTCCTTAGAAGGAGGCATTTCAACATTCCTTCCCCTCAAGCAGTGCCAGCACATCCACAGGCCAGTAATTCTTACCAAGCATTTTTAGGGTCATGGAGTAGATACTATATCCTATCTTCGGATTAATCGACACATGTCAGTTGAAATATTTTCCGTAACAAACCTTTAGTGTCTGTCATTTCTACTAATCATAGACAGTTAATCGCAAACCTCCCAAACGCATGTGCTGTTCGCACTCCACTTTGGAATATGGCCTGCCTGCATGGGAGAGGGAAGAGAGAGTGACGTCGACGCTGGGTAATCTGTCCACACTCCACATCAGCGCATTCCTCACAATAATAAGTTTAACGCGCATTGTAATTATCACGATGTGCTAAAAGTGCTAGCTTTGAAGGCTGGCAGCTGACTGGATAACTCGGCCCACGTGGTCAGTACTGTGTGTATGTGGCGCGACTGGCTCGATGACTGGGAGTCAGGCTCGACGGCTCCTTAATTTGGCCTTCATGCCAATTTCACGAACTTGAGATACAGGCCTCCTTTTTATGAAAAATCCGTACATTTAGCGGGGGCCAGGTCGTGTGTGACACGCGCAGACGGGCTGCTTAGCAGTATCAGCCACTGCGCCAAAAGCCCATCTCCAGTTGTCTTGACATTATCTTATCGCTGGAGCCTGGTGGGTGAGATAGGTGAGACTGCGGCAGACGCTACGCAAATTTGTTTCACTAGAAAGTAAATTAAGCGTTAGTCATCGATGCTGCGTCTACTCCGTGGGGCACACGGAGGAAATCGTCGGGCGCAACGCTTGGTCTGTTGCAAATATTATCAAAAGATGAGGGACACGGAGGTGTCCGTTTCTGTCTTATTTGTCGTGGCCACTAACTCACCCCAAACCGGAAACATCCGAATCTAAACCCCAGGCTCCTTGTCCTGTCGGCTACTGTCAGAAATAGCCAAGGCCACATGGGAGCAACGTCGACCGATCCGTCTTGATTGCGGGACGGAATACGGGTAGTTCGTCTTGCTCTGGTGCTCCGCTCTAGAGCCTTTGTGGACGGTCATATGACTTTGAATCGGAGTTCTTAGGGAAAGCGAAGCGTCTGCATGGTGTCCTGTAGTCGGAGCACATCGGCAAATGTCACTTTGTTGGACCACGCGAATACACCCAAGCTTCTGACTGCTTAAAATGAGCGCTCTCACACAGTTTATCAATTCTAACAGAAGTGCTGCTTCTCCATAATTTGGGCCCACCGTTTACACTAACGAAAGAGTGCTTAATGACCGTTTTAGGTCTATGTGGAGCTTTGGCAAAAGCAGCACTGCAAGATTAGTTGATCCGTCGACTTCAGGAATCCCATCAGCGGATTCTTGAACGAACCATCATCCAGAGACCTTGCATCCTCAAAAAGTCGTTTTTAAAGGAGATAGTGTTCGCCTTTCCTTATGTTAGTCATTCAGGTAAGTTGTTGCGGGACAAAAATTTATCCGACGTTAAATGTACTTCACGTTATCCGGTGACTGTAGGACTTTGTAATAGTCGTCACAATAAAGTCTTTTCGGCAAGCCAACTAACTCTCGCTTCCAGGTTTTTGCGGCGACCTCGTCAATCGTTGGTGGAGTCTTTTGATGAACTAGGACTACCTTTTTAAAATTTGTGACAACCTGTGTACCGCGATACGAGTCCAGAGTTTACTAACTTTTATAGAATGCCTTCAGTGAAGACAGGGGTCGAGCATTAGTGAATACGCCAGCGTTGAGCGTTTGACTCGTGCGTGAGTACCAAATACTGGCTTACTGGCTAGTACGCTCGTGGCCTCAGCCTTCTGCGCCGTCGATTGTCCGAAGACTACAGGGACGCTTGACGTTAACTGCTGATTTCTGAATTATAATGAGTGTGCTGAGGGTTGAGAAAGTGCAAAAAACCGAGCTTTCAGGTGGTAGGCAAGAAGGGAAACCGGCTAGATCGCAGTTGGTAGCCAGGCCCCGTATTACAAGTGGCTGGGGGTTTGTTTACTGGAGCTATTTTGTGGGGTTCCATAATCGCATCCGACCCATTGGGCTTCCGTTCTACGTTTGCGGTTAGGATAAGGGTACCGTTAATGGTTTCCGATTTTCGGGTTAGGGTTATGCCTTGGGCTTAGGTTTTCGGGTTGCGGTTAGGGTTTAAGCGTAAGGAGACAACCTCCGGAAGAACGGATTTATCTGAATACTTTAGCTGGTCACCTCTCTGCCATCTTCCATAAGCGAACTCCGTCTACTAAGGTGATCGAAACACAAAAGGACATACCCTCCTTTACCCCGCTGTCCTACAGTCTCCAGACGTAAGCACTTCTTCGGCCGGGTCACGTATTAAACCTAAATGTTTAGCTGTGGAAGTTTGCGCGCTAAGCCAGTGCGATCGCAGTTTTACCATCCAATGTAAGCATTGCATAAATCAAGGTGTGACTAGTGTCAGTCAGACCAAAAGTCGCGATCAGTTTGACCACGAGAGCAGTAAAAGGACTTAATCAGACGCAGAGTGGACGGTCGTAACAAGTTAGGGTTAGCGCCTTTCCACGCAGAAATAACAAAAAATGGCACTGCGCTGGAGCCAGTGGCTCCCCCACCGGTTTTATACGCGGTCGTTGAGCTGCAAAATCAACACACGCAAACCATTGCGCAAAATGACATTAGGCTCGTTTTTATTATTAATGGCGCCTTACCTCAATTGCTGTTAGCACCCGGTGTTGGAATGTACTCACAACCTCTAGCTTAACTCCACTTGTCCTTCACCCACAGACCCCTTATTTCCGTGTTTCGGTGATCAAAGACGAAGTTGGCGCCGAATTATGCGGAGCCCTTAAAAATATTGTCGCTGTCGGTGCTGGCCTCGCTAACGGCCTCGGTTACGGCGACAATACAAAGGCTGCAATCATTCGTCTTGGCTTCATGGAGATGAAAAAATTCATCTTCGAATTCTTCGGTGACCGGTGTGAGTTTTATTTCCTCGGGCTTACACTTGTTTCTTAAAAAATCGGTCCCATTTTTCCTGCGTTCAAATACCGTACGTGTTGGTCTTGGAGTTTTGAACTCTGCCCCGCCATCTCTTTTGCTGAATGGTCCAGAAGTCCTTGGATAACAGGACATGTTGCCGAATTCGAAACAGGTAAGATAAGTCCCCTTTCGTCCCAGGGTTAGCAAAAAAGCGTAAACGAAAGGTAAATGTGGGCATCCTGTTCCTTTATTTTTGTGAAAATCGTATTTGCTGTTCGATTAGTTTTTGACCTTTTTTCTGAGAAATATGTTAGCGGTTTCAAATTCAATGCAAGTATCCTATAGCGACATTTTCTGCGTTCTCTTCAGTGAATTTGGGCCTCACTTTGAATTTGTATTAATGTCGCTCAGTTCATTTGTCTGAGACTCATGCCTGAATCCTTTAAACTGAACTGTAGTTTTGCCTTAAAAATATTCCCCTGCCGTTTTTAGGCTCCACTTAAACTATGATTCTTCTTAGCAAATTAGCAATTAAATTGACAGCCATTCAAGCCATTAAGATTGGACTTCGACTGTTGCCTCGGCATGTTCTAGGTTTATAATAAACTGGAATACAGTCATTTTTTTCGCTATTAATACTCCGACGCGTCCCAGACAGTTTTCATCTTGCCACCCTTGTTTACTACGACTGGCTGCCTAACTGCCTCTAGCTCTCACGATGAGGTTGGAAGGAAGCTGTAGCTCTTATCGGAGGATCTAAACAACGAAAACGTAGTTGCCTATGCCGACCTCCCACTATAGCTTTTATCTGAGAATCTAAACAACAAACATATAGTTGCTTATGTCGACCTCCCACTTCAGTACCTGCATACGTCTTTCAACTGATCAAGAGGCGACCTTTCGTGAAGCCCGAACCCTAACTTCCCTAACTTTGTATATCTTCTTAAAGAAAATTTGGCTGCTAGGGACATTGGCTCAGCTCTTTCGTCCGCAACTTCTTTTCATCCTAAAACTATTTCACCTTTGGCCGCAAATCAAGTCGCTAAACACGAACCCACCCTGGCCGTAGTCAGAGCACTTACAACAACGCCACTTACAAGGCTCGACCAGCCGTCTCCATTCGACATTGGTTAGTCAGCATGCCCATTTTTCCCGCAACGATGATCACCCTCCACCGGATGCGCACGCACAGCCCTTAGTTTTAAAGTCAGTAGATTGAACACAGTCGAGATTTGATGGGACATCGCCGAAAGTAGACCACCTTGTACAACGCACTTATCGTTTTAGTGCAGTTCAAGTTTCTGGCCGAGGCGCTACGAACTTCCGAGAGTTAAGCGAAGCTGGTCCAAATTCTCACTCCTCCCGACGTATCCGCCTTTCCAGTTGCGCATGGGTTCCATAGTGTCATTAAATGGAATTTCCCTATGTGAGACACGCGTTAGACGGCAACTTCACGCCGCGTCGATCACTGCATCCAATCTCATTCGCAGTCGATTTGACTGGGAGAGGCCAGCAATATATGGAAGAGGCAAAAGATGGAATCGACCAAACATGGGAATTCACTATAAACAACAAAACATGCCTTCAAACGATCGTGACGCGCCAACCGTTTTGGCTTTGACGATTGTAAACTGATAGTAGAATGTTGTCCTACTCGACACTGAGGGTCAGGCTGCAATGGTTTCCTTATTTGGTCCTTCCGATACCCTCACTGGACCATTTTCGCTGCAGTTGATCCGAGCCAACGCGGACACATGGCTTGAGTTCTCCATTACAAAAATTCACGCATAAGTCTTCACTGCTACTTACCCAGAATAGTGATGGTGTTCCTCGCTTGCGATGGGCGGACTACTAAGTAAAATTGGATGAGTAAGGCTTTCACACAGAGGATGACTCCCACGTCCCCAGTCACCAACTTCTCTGGGAGGTAGGTATTAATTTTGTATCGAAATTTCTACATCCCACTGGTAATTGGGCACAGTCTATCCTAGATGTGTGCGTTGACCTACCTTACTAGTAGCTATCCTCATTGATCGTCATCTGAGTGATTTAACGCGCGGGTCGTACGTTTCATTGCCGTTTGGAATTTTTATCAATAGCAGCCCGGTCCCTCGAAGACCTTTCCAGGCCACTAGGTGAGTTTGGTGTAATTTGTTTAGCAGTGGGTAAACATTACTCGCCGTCTGCTTTGCAAAAAACCAGTGTAATTACGAGCCAAGATAGTTGCTGGAATTTTTACACCCAGCGGCTGCTTCAATCAGATAGCGCGCATAGGCATTTTGCCGTCATGGCCATATAGGAACAAAACAGCGAACCTGGGAGCAAGGTAATTGGTTGTTCACGCACGCACTTTTCTGGCCGCCCAACTGGGGACAAAGGCTGCTATCGTCACTGCCCCTAAGTTGACAGAAATGCCATAAAATAGCCGAATGCGGGAAGCGGTACAACACTTCCATGTTTTCTGTGATTATCTTGGTATGAGAGCAAAGTTATCTTATCCTCTGACCGCCCTTCTCCTTTCATGATATCATAACCACGCCTTTGCGTCGTCTTTTGAGGCAAGGCTTTGGAGTAACACAACGAATCCATCTTCCAAAATATTGTGATGGTACTTCATTGTCGGACGCCCCGCTGTCACTATGTCTTGAGACAATTATGGTCAAGGACTCGTGCGCGCGAACTCGCCCTCCGTGAGCTATGTAAAATAGGATGTTTTTTTTTAATTGGGAGATGTCCTCAGTAGTGATCACCAGATGTCGGGAACAGTACGCGTCTTAACTAAGCTGCTATTTAAAAAGCGTTTGAGACTTGCTGGTGGTGTAAATTTTACGTGCAACCCGAGTTGCTAAAGGAGGGGTTTCTTTCAAAACACAACTGTGTTGAGACATATCGCCATGGCGGACTTCTCATGAAGACGCACTTTGTCGGGCACCTTGTCGTAGTAAGTAGTCCTTAAGCCTAACTCACCATCCTTTGTAAAACCTCGTGAGTGACTGATCATTGTATTGATCTGCGCATTCACTATTCGAGTAAAGGAAACTAGTTTGCTCCTATTGCCAATAGAAGCGAACAGGAGAGTTCCAGGAAGCAGTTCAGAAGAAGAAGATGCGATCGCTAGAACAAGAAGTTTATTGGCCTGACGTTTCGGATTCCCACTCGAACCTATAATCATATAGTTACAGATAAAGGTCGTGGAGGCACAAAGACAGCAGTATTTATAGCACGTAGTTGCCGTGGCGCCACATGGGTACTATAATTAACAGCTCTCGCGACCGCCGCTGAGGGTCGTAATTGAAGAGATGATGGCTCGTCAGTCCGGGTCCAAGTCGTCAATTGCCGCAATTCCATCATGCGTGTTGGATGTTGGCTTAATCATGGCTCGACGATTTGGTTTGCTGTCACCAGGATTGTTGCTCGCCCGCACCGTCCCCACGTGAATGATTCCCCTGCCCAAGGAATATCTCAGCACCGAATATGGTACCGGGAGGTCCTTGCGCTTGTTGATGGACTGCCGGCCTGAGAATCATGATTCGAACAGTTCGCAACTCGCGGTTGTCAGCTCTTGCAAGAATTTCGACCTCTTGAAACTTGAAAATATGGCCGGGCTCCATAGAATGAGCTGCCACCTGAAAGCTAGCGTCTTTCCTCCTCACCGCTGCTGCGTGCTCAGTCATCCGCATACGGAGTAATCTTCCGGTTTCTTCGACATAGTCGTTCATTCCGCAATTGCACCAGATCCGGTAAACGACTCCAAACGTTTCCTTCATGGCAGCGGATCTTTCGGCCTCATGACTTGGTGCCTCATGGTTGCCTCCGGCCTGTGTGCAACCCCAACTCCAAGTGGAGTGAGGGGGCGGCTGACGATTTCGGAGACGTTCCTCACGTACGGAAGAGGTCGCCAAAATTTAGAACCGATTGGACTTGGTCTCTGGTCTCTGCTGTCTTTGTGCCTCCACCACCTATATCTGCAACTGTCTCTGATGATCGGTTCGAGTGAGAATCCGAAACGTCAGACAAATAAACTTCCTGTTCCAGCGATTGCATCTTCTTTGCTCTTATTCCCTGGACAGATCACAGATGTGGAGACTGGAAAATCCCAACTCAAGAGCACGGACAGTTTGCTATTTCAAGAAGAGCAGCTTAACAATATAGGCTTGGCAATACTTACAGCATGTTGCCTAGTACTATTTAGACGTTCCGCCTTATTACTTACCTATCTAAAGTCGGGATGTTTGAGTCAACAAAGGCATGATATCCCGCTAGAAAAGAGGCACGTATGACCTCTTCTCATTCACATACTAGTAGGAGCCGGCAGGTTGTCCAAGAAGGGTTTAATATTACCTTCGTGGTTTAGAAGGAATGCCTAAAACAACATCTTCTGGAAGTCTCGGCAGATGTCGGCCAAATGTTTTGTCATCCTCTTGATAGGCATAACTCGGAGTTGTCTGCCTCATTTATGCTTTTTACGTGGACAAAACGTAGTGTCAGTATCGGAAAAACGCCAACTGGTGCGTGTGTGGCAAAACCCATAGCCTTGCAAAGAGTGCAAGTACTTTTACGCATGCACTCATGGCAAGGAGAACAAGCTGGTTGTTCTCACTTAAAGTAAAGGACATTCTTTTTCAGTGCACCTTCTGGCTAAAACATTCAGGCAGTCAGGACGCATTGTTACTAAGACGGTTCAGTGAGCGTAAACAAATCAGTTTTCCCAGACAGCGGCTCTCCTGTGACGAAGGACTAATCTAGGTCTGTTTTAGGTAGGACACGGAAATATGAACCCCCATATTACGGGTGGCCTTACGCCTAAATCCGGGGGGTAAGGCACTAGAGTAACGACCCCCCCCCCCTCCCCCGTAATACAGGTGAACTTGCGCTAAACGCCCATTCCCGTTCTTCAATCCTAACACTAACCCAAACCCTACACTGAACCCTAACCCCAATCTCCCTGAAATTCGTTGCAAGTGCACTTGTATTCAGGAAGGTTTCTGTTCCATCATTAGGGCTGGGGTTAAGGTTAGGACACCGTAATAGGTAATCTACCGGGATTTATCCCGAGGCTACTTATGGTACGGGAGGAGGGTCCGTATCCCCCAGCCCGACCCTGCTTTAATTTACAAAGTAATTTTCGCTGGGAAGCATTGTAGATACATGACTTGTAGTTCCAGGCATCTTGCAGGAAAAGAGTTTGTCTGAAAGACGTGCTTGCCACAATGACTTCCACATAATATTACCTTTCATAATGGCAGTTTGTTTCCAGGATACCCGCTACACTGGTCACTCAAGGGAAGTTGTAAATCACACATTCTGCTTACTCCATTGAAAAGGGACAGAGAGCTCTTTGTTTAGCAGATAATTCCGCCATTATCACCTCTTTTAACGCGTGCCATTATTACCTCCAGGTCTCAGCTGCATTATTCCAGGCCCATACAGTTAGTAACCTAAGTCATGAAATGTGTCGAAATTTACGAATGGTTGCCAATCACTCGCGAACCGACACCATTTCATGCGTCCAACATCTATGTTAATTAAGTAAAAGTCTAAAAGAATTAAAAACATAAAAGAAATACCAAAGGCAGTTTTGCGTTGTTTAGAAATGTCGGTGTATTTTGAGAAGCACAATATCCTGGAGACGTCAGAAATGGCTCTAATTTAGTAAACTCCGTTTTAGGTGTAAAGAATGTATTCCCATACTAAAACGTAGTAAATATCAAAGTAGAAATAAAATAACGTCAAATAATAGTTCTTTAGTGAAGTTTACATCTAAATATAGTTTAATAATTAGTGTGATTTCATATATAACGGTTTGCCAACTACCTACATTTTGAGTGTAGATTCCAAAACAGTTTTCCAGGGTTTCGTGTTATCCTTGAGTCTTTTGAGTTAAATGAGATGGGGTTCAACAAGAGAAACTTAAATTTGCTTGACTTCACCGATGGGGACTTCGTAGGAAGAAAAGTTTTCATAAGGTGACATACCATAAATAGAACTGACAGGCGTGATCACAACCATACCATTCTGTGTTTATAGAGAGAACTTTTCTTCCGTTAAATTAAGTTACACTTTTCGTTCGTTTTGGGTTACGTTGAATTTCAGATCAGTCTCGAAGTGTTGCCGAATACTTCAAGATTTGCAATGTTTTCACGCGATCGTCCATAAAGACTGATTCTGAATTACCTGTCTGTTGAGAACTTTAGAATTAGATTATTCTTGAAGGCATTTACCGATTTAGTGAGTGTTCGGGCGATCCTGTTCACGAAGATGGTCGTTTGAAACTTTTGGCCGTTTCTTTCGCGTTTCTGAACAATACTAATATTTTTCTACCGTAAACGTAAGAACATGCCTTCCTCTATACATTAGGGCCATTTCCACTGTTTTTGCTCGCTTTTGAACTCCGTTCTTCGATTATGAATGCACTACAGAGCGCCCATATAAGTACTGATATTGTGCTGAAACTGTTAATGTTTTGCTCGTTCTATTTCTGAATAAGACATGCGCAGAAGCTAAGCTACTCGACACACAGTGTTTCATATGTTCAAAACTGGAAATGACCATTCGGTGGTCATTTATGTGACATCGGGTAGGATTTTCCAAACGGCAAAACAATTTCAGCCCATTTAAACGAAGGAATCCCTATCTACGTTATTACTGGACTTTATTCACCAAATCGCACAGATCTGCTAATTTGACACTTAGGAACAGAAAAAACCTCTGGTTTTCTTAAAATAATCGTTGCGTTTGCAAGTTCATTACCACGGTTAACATCGGACATAAAATAAATTTTCCAGTTCGGCTAACTCTGTTCATTAAAACTCTCGCGCGTAAATTACTATCCTTTCTATAAACAAGTCGCTCAGATGCGTAACCGGAGTCTAGGACATGTATTAGCATAAGAAATTGCACAAATATATTCCAACGTCCATTTTCACTAAAATATACTGATATTTTACTTGATATTACTACGTAAACACAATTTATGTACAAGAAAAGGACATCATATTGAAGAAAGTGGATTAGCGAACAAAATGCGCAACGTTAAAGACGTCCAGAACTTCTCTCACCAGTTTCCATTAGCAGATTTCATGCGATAAGTCACGTACTATATGTGTTTTTAAAGTGTACAATGATAGTCCCGTGTCGGCGTCCGAGGGTTGCTACTTAATTGTTTGGACTCGGATTCAAGCCTCGGGTGTGCCGTCGGAGGGGGGAGGCTGGGGAATTAAGGGCTGGTGATGGCAACTAGGCCAGAAATAACCATTTAAGTGTCTTTCTTCGCGGACTAAACGTCTCAATCACTTATTGCTAGTCGCCCTGAGACGGCATGTGTGGAATGTAGACCTACAGTTCCAAGGCAAAGCGGAAATGCAAATTTTCATCTTGCAATTAGGATAGCTAGATGCACGCCACGCTCACGTGATCGTTTAGACGCGTTTGCTAAGGTCATTAGCCGGCAGTTGAGCTTCTCGAGCACAATTTGACCGCCTCAATAACCCCGATAGTTTCCTTTTCTCGCCTTCACATCGGCCCAGCATCCAACACCCCACTCTCTCTTCTGCAACTTCAATTTTGCATAATTCGCTGAGGATAAGCTTGGTATATATCACGCCTCCACGGGCGTGATTCACACGTGAGCTGGTTATCTTCACAGCTCCGTTTTTGGACTTATATCTCTAATACCTCGATTAGCCCCAAGCTTCCTATAATGTCGTTGGGTTCTTTGTTGTTTTTCTTCAGGATTTCCACATAACTAGCTAACTGCAAGTTACTAATCTAACAAATGATGTCGTTATGGCATAAGCATGTTGTCCTAGTATGTTAAAACTGTGCTTGTCGCAACCATTGGGCGCGAGGTCATCCAACACGCCCGCCCTAAAGACAACCTTAGGGTCTTTTGAGTTCGAGTCGATTTCGACTGGGGACGATTTGAATGCTACTAAACGAGGACTTCCTAACCGAATGTGAAGAGATTAACTTGGCTACATGGCACTGCTGTGTCGAGGACCTAAAGACGTCCACCTACGTCGAGTGCATATCTTTACAGGTGTAATGCCTAAGCACGACCAATGAAAATCTTATACCTCGTTTAACGTTAGGTTAATTTAGCCACCCTCTAAGATGCTCTGACTTCTGCTTAACCTCCGGCCCCTGCAAACCACATTTCGAAAAACAATGTGCTTGGTGCACGGCCGCCAACTGTAAATGCGGCACTGAATTCAGTCGCACATATATTTACTTCTACTGATAGTTGACAAGATATTGGGAGTTGGTGGAGCGAGTGGGTTTTAACCAACACGACCATCAGACCACCTGCCATGGTTGACATGAGAAGACGAAATAGGCCAGAATGAGGAGTCCATTCTGTACTGAACCCTGCACTGCTGTCTTGGGCGGCGGTGGCTGCTGCCGAGGCGAGGGCGTGGGCTGACTGTCAAGTCGTGCCCGATAGGGTGCGAGAAGTCGGTTGCGGCCATTTTGTGTTTTTCAAACAGGTTCAGGGATATAAGAACTTATTTCACGCGTCCCGCACGTTGAAGAATGGGTGAAGCGACTGTCCGGACGTGTGGGAATCTGTATTACGATTAACACCATATAGGCCTCGGTGGCGCCCTCACTCAGGCGGAATCCAAGCCACTTCTGTTGTTTCTGTGTAAACCCGATCAATCGTGCTCCGAACAGGTCTTGTGTGGCACGCGTACACAGGCGGTTTAGCCTTGTTAACCACTGCCCCCGATCCCTTCCTGGTCTTCCCTCGGGGCCCAGGAGGATGAGAGAGGGAATGCCGCAGATGCTGCGCAATTCTACTATCTCTGTTAGTTAATCCACGTGAAAGTCACAGTCCCTGCGCTTACAACACTCTGGGCACACAGTGGACATCGTCTTTCGCTACGATCGAACTGACATTGCGGTCACCTAAGGCAAACGGTCGAATTGCAACTTCAGCACGTCAATGGACATTTACACTGAAGGTGAGTGACCGTAAAGCAATAGAACATTAAACAGGGGTGCCTTGAGCCATTTTTGTACTCAGCTAAAAGTCCAAGTCGATTTTGCCTGTTTGATCTTAACGTTTGCTCTTTTTACTAACCTAACATGTCAAAAGCTGTTTCGGGCCGGAACACCACAAAGTTCAGAGCCTGTTTACAGTGGCACCTTATGATAAAATATTGCTTCCGTCGCTTATACGTGAGCTTATGGGGAATGGGCGATCTGGTGTTCTATGCAGGTTCTCTGGAAGACTAGTTTGGTAAAATGACACTGCCATATGGCGTCCTTGGCATCAAAAATTCACCATCCACGACTCCTTTTTCGAATACCACTAGACCCACCTGGCAAGCCCTGAAGAACAATAACCTGCTCCGTCTGTCCTCTTGTTTTTTTGTGCATATTTGTGACAGCGGGGGGGGGGAAATTGCTGGGCACAAGTCACTCCATATTTTAGGATTTCCACCCTGGAATCCTATTCTTGGTTGAACGAGGGTCTCGACATTGCCCTCCAGAGACGTGGGGCGACGTGAGATTGACGTCTCTCTAAAACATCTACTAACGCCGGCTCAGTAGACATAAAGCACCACCATTATTTTTCTCTTTTGATACCAGGTTTCTTTTATGTTCGGGCTCGTTGGTTCACATCAAATGCTCGGATTCCACTTACTGCGTAGATCACCACAATTAGAATTTGCTGAACAAACACACTGAACTTGGAAACTAGGCTTAATATGAGTCTCTCATAAAGATCTGGCGGATTTTTGCATATAACTGTCATCAAGTCGTAAGTGGTTTACCATACTGACAACAAGCGTACTCCAACTTTGCGTATTAATTTCCTCAGAAGTTGAACAAGATAACTGTTGTTTGGTCTTGACGATATGTTAGTCTGATGATAAGGTGTGTAAAGACATGCTCAGATGAAAGTTCGTCTTTAACAGCTTAGTAGGCCGTCTTCAAGCCACTAAACAACGACAGTTCGGCTTCTTGTTCCAGATTTGAAAAATGACTTCTCAGCCGTTCGCATTTAAAGAGTGAAACCGCTGGAAGATGGAGATTCCGGCACACGAAAATTTCCTTACTTGTCATCTGTATGGAGGAGTGGACGCAGTAAGGAAACAAGAGGGGTCAAAGCAAAAATTGGATGTTAAGGTTCATTTAAACCTGTGCCAAATCGACCATTGCCATCAAATGTAATTATGATGATATTGTGTCGTCGTTAATCTATAGTCTTCTTTGTGCTGGTGGAGACACGAACGACAAAGCCTTTAATTGTATTAAAATTGAGCAGCAAACATCAGCTATTGACGGACATATCTGCGCAAACTTGACATCAACGCCTATTTCACTGGCATCGAGAAAATAAGTGTGTATTTTTTGGAGGAATTATCATCCCTCACGTTGAGGCTTTCAATTTGACGTAAGCGTTAGTGCCGAAAGAGTGTTTATCAGGTCTTGTATATTCGGTAGACTTTTCCCCTACAATAACACTGAGCCGTCTTTTGACAACGTCTAGAGCGCGTCTCTTGGATTGCTGGGAGATTTTATTTGAGTTCCTTATATTACGTAAGATAGAGGAGTTGTGTCAAATTCTCCGTCTCGTTTTGACGGCCTCCGAGAGACGCATGCCCAATATCCAATTAGATTGCGTCGTGCATATCTGCTTTAGTTGGCAATCGTTATTGCCAAACATTTCCGTTTAGCTCGTTTGTAAATCCGTCATTCTCTCGTAATCGACTAACAAACATTGCGGTTAGAATGGATGATTAAGTGTTTTGCTCAATTAATAGGATCCCCCAAATGAACCACACCACACAAAAACGGGGAGCATGTTGACACGTGGTATGCGCTTATCGGACTTCGGCGAGTCTACGTGAGCATATGCGTGCGGCATATGCCGTCGTGGTGATACGCCTAGGTTCGGGTCCGGCCGGGGCCATCCACCTGCGCTTTCCCCCTCTCTCGGTCTTCTTGACTATGTTTTGACACCGGCTCCAGACGGGAGGAGGGGCGGGTGCGGTAGATGCTGTGCAAGTCTGATCACTGTAACCTAATTCACGTGCAAGTCATTGTGCCGCTTCGTCTTCCTGTCGAGCACAGGGTGGACATCGTTGGGCTCGACAGTCGAACTGTCGTGTAGACGACATATGCCGTGAGGGCCAGACACGGGTTGATGTCCACTGGCTACCGTGCCTGGTCGGAGAACTGGGACAGGCCACTGGCGCATGGGATAGAAAAGATATAGTGAAACTGACTATAGGAAGCGCTTCCTCGTGGCAGTTCAGCGTATACCTATATCATAAATCTGGCGCTCTGTAAACTGTCAGCGCGTGCTAAAAGTTTTGGCTTGAAGGACTGCCAACTGTCGGGATAACATGACCCTCCTTTGAGATGAGGGCCAAACTGCAGTGGCTCCTTTGTGTGTTTTTCGTGACACATACTCTTGTATAGCATCCAGGCCTCCCTTCGAGGCTTGGTGCATGTGGAGTTGGGGACCAGGCAGCGTGTGAGACGCGCAGGCGGGCTCTTTTTTGCCAGCCAGTGGGCCCAGGCTCACCTTTGATCGTCTTAACTTGGCCTTGAGATCACGGTGCGATAGGCGTGGGAGTAATAATGAAGTGAGGCAGACGAGACGCTGGATTGTTGCACTATTGGCAGTTCGACCTTCACGACCGTCGATATCCACCGTGTGCTTCACAGCAAGGTGAAACAGGCGCGGTGACATGCGCATGAGTTAGTTTACAGTGAGAGTAGATTTGCGCAGCATCTATCGCACTCTCTCTCTCTCTCTCTCTCTCCACCTGGGTCCGGTGTCGAGACAAAGTCAAGAAGGCCGGAGGTGAGGGAGGCGCAGGTGGATGGCGTGGCCGGACCCTCACTTAGTCGTACTACTCCACACCCCCTGGTCCACAACAAACACGTGCCCAGGATTTTAACCAGCAGCAAAACAAGCGGGTCAGAAAGAAGAGGATGACTGGGCAAACATGCACACGACCTGTATACCCAGCGGGAGCGCAAGCGCATCTACCGGCCGAGAACCAGGTGCCATGGAAGTGCCAGCACACACCAGGTCGCGAGGGCCATGGTTTGCAGACTCAAATCTTAAGCCGCACTTTTACAAAAAAATTCACGCGTAAGTATCCAGTGCCTTCTTTTCTGGGCAGAAGTGCAACTTTGTCACTCGCAAAGGTCGGGGCTCTATCTATTCTTAAGTATTTTCACCCTTCATCTGACTGAAGTACCCATTAACTCTTCTTGCTGACAGGCCCCGACTGGACGATTTTGCTGTCAGCACGTGTTTCTTTGTTTGAGAAGTCCAAATTGCATGGTGAAGATCTGTTTGCTCAATATGACCAAATGTTAAGGACCTAAACTGTTTTTGGCGTCGTAGCGCCATTCTATGTCGGTACTGAAAAGCAACGACGGTTTATCTTTCCGTATTCCTCAATGTTGTTTTACCATGGTGTCACGGCGTCTTGGCCACTTCGGCTGGTATACAGACGTTATAACACGATGTAGGAAACTGCTTGTTTAACCGAGACGGTCAAACTAGTTCGTTAGAGGACGTTAACTGAAATTTGCTGCTACAATTAAATCTAACGAGGCAGTTTTCAAAAAGACTTTCGTCATCCGTGCCATAATTTAAGTCAGCATTTGGGATATTTGTGGCTCAACGGGTTTTGGTAATTTATCTACTCAGCCGCCTGCATTGAAATTGCGAACAAATGCCAGTGCAGCAGTTCAGACTTTTTTCAGCGACTTGTCCCAAAATGTACCTCTTATGGTACAAGTTAGACAGAAAACAGCCGACTTTAGAAACTTCGAAGGCATTAAAAACTAGATTATTGAGCTTATTCTCGGCTGCTGGATCGAAGTCTGTCTCCAGCCAATATCCACATTACCGTCCCTTTCCGCTACACGCAATTCCAGCTCCTTTGAGTGCACACACGGGCAGCAGAGGATTACGTAGCCGCGAGCAATTTTCGCTTGCTATCGCGTATTTCGACAATCAAGTTTGGCCAAGGTCCTGTTTTCTCGCCGTCTCCTCTCGTTGGCTTTTCTGCTCACTCATGTCCCTCTAACACCAAGCTCTCCTTACCTTCGCTCGTTTCGTCTATCGCAGCGAATGATTTACGCTGTCTGCCACCAGGACAAACAAATCAGACCGTGTGCAGCGCTACCACCACCATCCCACTCCGGCTCTCACCCAACCTCGTGCAGCCTTACATGTCTTTTACGCATGCGTTCTGCCCTCTCTCTCTCTCTCTCTCTCTCTCTCCCTCTAGCCTTCTTTTTGGACATTGCCTTAGGCACCGTCCCTGCCTCTCTCTTCAGAGAGTCAGTAGCAATACTGGTGGGAAATAGTTGGGATACATTCTCCTCTGGCCGTTTCATTTTGCTATAGACAGACATAGCGAACAACCAGCCTCTTTTGTTGGTCTCACTCTGCTCCCTCCACCTCCTTGTGGGTAAACATGCGCTTGCGTACATGTCAGGACAGGGGGGGACAGGTATGTACAGTAGCCTCTTCGGCTGTCGCTGCTGTCGTTACCGCAGCTCGATGACTTCCGCTCAGGAGACGGAATGCGACGAGAGAGAGAGAGAGGGAGATGGATTTGTCGTCAGACTTTCTTATAGTCCGCCTCCCTCACCCTCAACCCGAGAATCTGTTCTTTCTGTGTGCAAGCGGACAGGGAGAAAAGTTTTGCCTGTCTCATGCGTCCGTCCGCCCTCCTGCTTGGCTTCATATGTGTGTGTGTGCGTGCCTGTTCGCGTGTCCATCAGTCGACTGACAGGCAGGCTCAGGCCGTCAGTGCAGGAGGCAGGGGAGAGCAGGGCCGTTACCAGAGCATCGTTCCCCGTGGAAAATAAGTGCATCCCCTACTACAGTGAATCCGACGCGATTGAACCTATGACGACGCGGTAAAAGTCGTGGCGTGGAAGGTCGCCACCTGACGGCACAAGTCGATCCTCGTTTTTAACGGGAATCAGACGACAGTGGCCCCTTACTGTCCTTTATAGCATGCGATAGACGGCGACTTCGCGTCACCGTTGGCCACTGCGCTCAATGACATTTCTACCTACATGACTCGATCAATTCACTGGTTTATATGGGGGGGGGGGGGAGGTGGGTAAAGCTGGATCAATTCAGCACTTAAGTTCTTGACTGTGGGCAACTGCTCGCTCTGAAACTGTTACGACGCACTAAGAGTCGTGACTTGGAAGTCTGCAAACTGACAGGAAGTCTGCAAACTCAGGACCGAAGGTCAGGCTGCAACTACTCCCTTACGGCACTCTCACTTGCATGAGACTAGGGCCTTCCTCCTCTGTCTTTGGAGCCTGGTACGTGTGGAGTTAGAGGCCTGATCGTGGGCTGCATTCGTAGATGGGCTGCCTAGTTTTGTCAGCAACTGAGCCCACGCCCACCCCTGGTCGTGTAAACTTTTCCCTTCCATAGGAAGACCGTGACTGTTGGGAGCGTACGTCAGATGCAACGCAGATCTGCTTCACCATAAACAATTTCTTTCGTAAATCACTAATGTACCGTCCTTAAAGTTGGCTTACTTCGTCTCCCGAAATGGTCTTGCTGTTGTGCGTTTTCGGTATGCTCTTAGCTGCCCGCCAACCACAGAAAGGTGCGAATAAATGTGAACCACCCCCTTCACAATCTTACCGGTTTTTCCGGAGTGACTTAATACCGTAAACCGAGACGACCTCGGGAAGGCAATGATGACATTTGGATGTTTTGTTCGGTTAACTCTGATGGTTGGCTAACTTAATGCCGACGCGTGGGGGACAATAAGTCAACGGTGGAGGGCATTGCATTTACAAACATACTTCAACTCTCACAGCGCTGGTGGGCGCCTACCGACACAACCAGCCAAGCATCGGCATTAAGAATCGGGCTTACGACCGTGTGCGGGCCGTCGCAAAAATCTCTCAGACCAAGATACTTGCCCTCATTTTGCCGATAAATGTGCATTGTAAACCATAATTGGATCGGTCATGCAGCGAAATTTGCATCTTTTTGTTCTCTGTTGTACTGTTTGTTGTACTGTTGAATACATTGAACCCACGAGAACTGGTACGGGTAATGGAGGTAGACCAATTCTCTTACCTGGGCAGCATAATCTCATTGTCCATAAAAACGACGAGTGGATTTCAGCCCAGACCTCCAAAACTAGCCTGGTCTTCAGTGGTGTTAAATTTTCAATCGAGAATCGTCAGGGCATCCTCCTCATTATGAAACACTGGATTTGAGTGACTGCCACCCTGGAAATATTCCTCTATGACAGGGAGGCTTAGATAATGTCTCAAAGCCTAAACGAGGAAGCTGAGCCAAATCTATCTAAACTGCCTTCGACGAATATTAATGGTTAGATTGCAGGGACTAATCCCGGACACCCAGATCATTTACTTGGCTGGTATGGCAAAAATCTCTGTCATCTTGAAGGACGTACAATTTAGATGGAGGACCGCGTCATTGTGATTATTGGAGGGGGAGGGGGGGTGTCTACCTAAACGACTTTTCCGCGGTGACCTAGCTATATGTGCGATTTGAGAAGACCACTTTAGTAGGGTTGAGATACCAGTTACTGTACAAAATAAAAGATATTTTAGCCACGCCAGGATGCCGGCCTATATACTTAATCGGTTACTGTGCTGTCTGACTCGCGCATATGCGTTAACTACTCCATCTTTCAAAAATCCTATACATACGACAGTGGTTAACTGCGTCAGAGCTTTTACTCATGGAAGACTGTCTGTCCTTGCTTATGATGAACTGTTTGTATGTGTCCTTCCGTTTACCACGATAACACGACTCCGCCTGTCATTCCTTCAACCACCGCCAATACCGCCGCCATCAACACTATAATAATCTTGACTTTGAAGTCTGATCATGGACCTTTGCGCAGCCTAAAAGTAAACCAAACTACCCTTCACCGTTGAATAGTGCTATCGGCGAATAACTGGAGGTGGACGAATATTTGAGTACATTAGAAAAAGGACGAACGTTCGAACGCTGCTGCCTTCATAGGGACGCAATGCTTTTTAGGTTGCCTAATTGATAACACGGAGGATCACGATTGCTTACACCCAAGATACGTCGGCCCACGCTTCCTCAGTTAACACAATGCCCTCGCTTACCTACTAACATATTCGTCACTGTATAGAGCGAGAAATACAACTGTGATGGGACATAATTAGGGACTGGTGGCGGGAACAGTCAATTATATCTGTCGCTGTTGTTGTCGGTACAACTGCTAGGGCAATCGCAGCCCTATGTGACTTAGTGGTGAAGGACAGGATTGGTTTATGACTCTTCGAGCGCTATGATTGACGTCCCGTTACTGATACTGTTCTGACTTTCGCGATATGGAAGGTAGCGCTTATTTTCCCCCAGCTAACATAGACAGAAAAGTGTGAAAATATACATGTCTGTGTATCTCCAAAAACTGTTTGAGAAAGAGGCATCCTAGTACTACCAGAGGGTTTTCTTGGGTTCACCTTCCGGAAAATTTGTCATGCACCTCTTCGAGATCATGTGATTGACTTGTTTTTCTGCATCTTATTGCCATTTCCGGTCACGTTTCATCATTGTCCCTCTTTATTCAGTCTTCGTGTGATCTCGCATTCCGTAAAATGTTTTCCTCAGGCAGCGGCAACGACAGTTCTACTAACCCCTTGTTTGTCCTCCTTTTTCGGTTATCTACGTATGTGACAAACCTTTTTCGCCAGGTCTTTGCGGCGCATGACTAGGCTAAGGTTCAGGAATAAGTTCGGACTATCTCCGTCTTTTTCCTCGCCTATCTCTATCAACCAGAGCGCATGCGCTGAAATATTGTACGTTCTTACCACCAGCGAATGAAATGGTTTACCTTCTTGAGCCATTCGTGAGTAGCTCGGGAACAATCAAAATATTTCCTTAGTTTTACTGGATGCCTGCCTTCAGCGGCAGAAGCAGCATTACCACTACCCGGTAAATAGGTTGTGCCAGTGTACTGTGCAATTTTTCATGAACCAGCAGCGCATGAGAACTCGTTAGGGACCGACATGCAGCCTTTAAACACAACTTTGCTCTCTACCTGGGACGCTGGTACTTTTGTCGACGACTAACACTAAATTGCACTAACTCCACTCATTTCTTCTTAAACTTAGTAACACTGAGTAAGTGTTTTAGTTCAAACTGAATAAAACCGATAGAAGTGTTTTTTTTGTGAGGACTCGCGGTAGACAGTCAAGCGCCACATCACATCACCGATGCATATTTAGTCATTCAAGAGTTCCTAAGGCCATTTTAGTAAAACCCATTGTGAATACGGCAGCCGCCCTATCACCGCCAAGGTCTGTTTTGCATGAAATAATCGAAAATTTCATTCCGGTCACTAAAGCTGTTGAGAAAGCGTTGGTTTTTATTTCTCCCCCACTTTTTCTCCGCCCGACCCGCCGATAAGATCCCGGCCAGAGCACCGGAAGTCTGCGGCTTTCGATTTTTCTTCTCCCGCGTTTGGTTTGTCTATATGCTTATGGTTTTTGCACGACGCCTTGCGACTGCATGTACATGCGTATCAATAGAACAGATCTATTTCTATGCCACTGATTGGACCTTACGATAATAACTGAGTATGCAAATGAGTTTGGTTTGAAGGCGGCGCGGGTGCGGTCATTCACATTAGTTATTTCGGAACTTTCCTAGAACCTTGTACTTGTTTTTATGATCTTGTAGGCTGTGCCCATCGGTTTTGCCCGCCTGTTTCCACCTACTTGTCCCTTTGAATGAGTCAAACCTCGCGACCATACGGAAAAAGGTTCTCTGTCGAACGACTTCTATGTCACCTAACATTTAAATTCAATCAGGAGTGGGCGGACACCGATCCACTAGCTTTCCGAAGCAAGAAAGTTCCGCATGGAAGGCAAAGGTCATGACTATCTGCGCCGTTTGCAAACGCATGTGATGGTGGGCGTGATCATGATTGACTGAGTGAAGGCAGAACAAGCCCGAGATAGTTCTGTACCAGTCCACTCACATGCTCCATTGTCCCCCCCTCTAAATTGAAATTGATGAGTTCCTTGATGCCCTTGTCTAACTTTTTAGGCGTGACATACTTTGTATTACGCCCTCGAATTTACTTCAGACGCTAAAAAAGGCCTATAGAATGTGTCGTTTCTTGCCTTAGGAGTTTGTTGTTGTAATTACACAGAAACTTCCGCCACGGTGTGCTGTTTTTTGTATATATCTGAAAACTTCCCATTCCACGGGAAAATGGCATTGATATTAGTGTTTTGTATACCCAAAGGTTTTGGATCCAAAAAACTCTCTGGATAAAATAATTTTATAGAACAGGAGCCATTAACCACTAAGTTGAATGCACACGAAGGTGATTGGGCGAAAACTACAGAATACACCTCACTGCTGATGGCACATTGACACCAATTCGTTTTAGCACTACTCGGAAAACATGATTTTTTGAACTTCAATTTATTAAATTGAAACTGGCTCCCCCTAATTGCGGTCAAGCACTTATCTACATTCTATTCGGAAACTGGGAGAGATTGTGTTTCGTGTGTTGGCTGACGTGCAGAAGTATTATGCAGAGCGTTTTAAGGGCATATCTTTCTTCCCGTCCACCTAGCTCCCCTCGAGTCCACATTTCTGGAGAGCTGCGGTGTTGCTGACCTTATCACAACTTGCTATGGAGGACGGAACCGTAAGATCGGCATCGCGCTTGCGGAGACAGACAAGCCCGTCTCCGTGCTGGAGGGCGAACTGCTCGGCGGACAGAGTGCTCAGGGTGTGCTCACAGCGGCGGAGGTGTATTCGATGCTCTCATCCAAAAGATTGGAGCATCAGTTCCCCATCTTCATCACCATTCATTCAATTTGCCAGCGTAAAGCCCCAGCTAGCAGTTTTATAGCGTGCCTTCGTAATCATCCGGAGCACATTTAGGCGACAATAAAGGAACACAGTCAACGACGCGGAGAGAAAGGACGATGTCTATGTGTATCTTTCCTCTGTCAGTTGCCTGCAGTGAAAGATTAGTTTATAAACTCCTTATACTATGCATGCATACACACGTTTTACCATCACTAGCACGATGTTGAGATGGTCTTTACCCTCCTTCCAATTCCTTCTTCCGTTTTATATTTGACCAAGAGTTTATTAGCAATCGGACAGGTCTTTGTTAGCAGGCTAGTACCTCGTCGTCCAGTCCTTCTATCGTTGTGCAACAGGCTCACGGCAATTTTCTCCCTTTATGTCCTCCCCCTTGCAGTTTCGTCTTCGGAAATAGCACACCAGTTATGGTCCCACAACGTTGCCTTTTAACGCTCCAGTTGCTTTTCACTCCTGACGCCTGCACGTAATCCCAAAAACCCTCTGTCACATCAGATCTCTGACCGTACCGCACATCATTTTTCCTTACCTCTGGACCTCGAACATAAGCATCCGCGCCGATCTGCATTTGAGTTCGTGTTAGATGCCAGTTCTGCGTACAGTAAGTTACCACGGTTACGAAACATTGGTTAGAATTTCAAGATAGGGTTTTGGTTAGAGAGGATTATCTAAGCTGTGAAAGTGTCCATAGAAGAATTTGGAAGACTGTTTGGTGATTACACGTTTGCATCGACAAATTTCTCTCCAGGTAACGAGTGGGGAATATGGGAGGAGAGCTGGTGACAGTCAGTATTAACCTAGACGGAGAATGCTGGTCCGTGTAGGCGGGGATCTAGAAGTAAGGCGCGGAAAATTGTATAACGTAAGCAGGTTGGCTGAATTTCGGCCAGGGTAAGTGCGGGGCCTGAACGAAGTCCTTTACGCATAAGACCGACTTGTGTAGCCTGACTGCGGCTGCTTCGACTGTTGCAAGTGGACACTTCCAGTGGTTCCAGCTAATTCGGTAGGACCCCGGAAATCGCTCAGAATGTTTTCTTGGGGTCCATGTAGTGCTCGACAATCATGCGCGAGGATCGGACTGCCTTGTCACCTATTCGTCGTTTCTCAGCCATGTTGGAATGGGTTCATGTATCCTCTTAGGTAGGCACCGACTGATGCGGCCAACATAAATTTATATAGTGCGCTTCTGAACTGGCAACCGACCCCTACCTTCGTGTAGATTGAGGTTGGTAGAGAATAATGTCCGCTTTCTTGCCTCTTAGAAGTTGAAGCAGTTTGACGGAGACTTCTCAGTGTTTCGCTTGGCGCCTTGAAAAGGAATTATAGCTTGGACTTTACCGCTGTCACCAGAGTGGATTTTAATTGCTAATAGGTGTTTTTGACAGATTTAACTAATTCAGTCGATCCAATCATGAAGTTGGCGGTCTCGGTGGGGTTCGGATCCACGCCAGCTAGGACAAGACTTGAGTACAGCCAACGTCCCAACCACCTGAACTACGATGTCCGACCGGAAGCCGTGGGTTTAACCACACTTGGGAGGAGGTAACTTAGCCCAAATGTGAATGAACTCACGACTCCCGGTCGGACCCCGTAGTTCTGATGATTGGGATGTAGGCTGTACACAAGTCTTGTCCTTCCTGTCGTGGGCTCGAATCTAACCAAAATCACCGAGTTTTTAATCAATGGGTTAAATCGGTTTTGATAGTCGAGATGAGAGTGCAGTGCCGAGTAGTCTGCAACATGACCCAAGGCTTTCAATATATGGTAGAATTTTAATTCTTGTGTGAATGTCTAGCCACTCGTGAAAGTCGCACTTGCTAAAAAATGATTTTAAATAGTTTGGGTTTCTTTTCCCTGGTTTTCGCCACCTTCATTAACAGCGTGCGTTGCCAAAAGCATGTGCAAACATATCCCCACACTTCTTTTTGTAGAAAATAGCATCTTTAAGCTTTATACTTAAGAGGGGTACGTTTAGGTTTTAAGCCAATGTGTAATTAGAAGGAATCTTGAGACTGAACTGCCTATTCAAGTAGTGTCGTAAGTGCAGGCTTTCTTATGGTGCTGCTGGATTATATGAAGGGACCCCTATCTATTATAAAATTTCGTGAACTTGGATAACATCTTAATAGCATGAAAGTATGTATACTTGTACTGAAACGGAACGTATAGCGTATAGTTTGGAGGCCCGGAACGCAAGTGTAACTAAGTTTTTCCAAGTAAAACTTTTCTCTTCCCTGCGTGGAATACTTTAGGACGCAGTTTGCTGCAAAAGGAGGGAGTGTGAGGGGATATTTCTCTGCCAACTGTCTATGACATCGGTTTGAATACATAAAATACCAAGGAACAAACTGTAAACCGCGTAAAAAGTTATTCCTTAGGTAGTGTACATTTCACAAATGACTGAAAGGATACTTATCACACAGTCATCATCCTGGCGTTTATAAAATACCTCAGGACTACGTTGCAGGCTAATGAGCATTGCAAATACTTAGATAATTATGTCAGACCGGAATCATATTGTCGCATTTCAATCAATGTCTTATGGATTTGGCAACTTACAGCGTTTGAAACATTTTGTCCTTCGTACAAAACTTTAGCTTTTGTGTCGGAGGCGAAATGCTTCAAATCTTCAAAACAGCACTTCCCCTAAGAAATTGTTATGCCTCTGGAAAGGCTTTTGTAATTGCGGTGCCGAATGACGAAAGAAAATGCACGAATTGAATTTCTGTATAACTGTATAAAAAAGGAATATCCAGTTGGGTCTTACAAGATCCTGCGTCGCAGGAAATAACGTCCTACATTTAGAAACCTCGACCGTCCTGCGCAATCTAAAATGGAGGACTAAAATGAGCTGGTCGGCCGCAGCAGATCCCGCCTGCATCAGATGAAACATTTTCTTGACAAGAAATTTTTTTGACCTATGTTCATGATACATGCATGTATCATACAAAAGAAGACTACTGAATCAGTTCGCCTTAAGCTGTTGAAGTCAGTTAGCAAGAAACCAGCCGACAATATTTTTCCCATGAAAGTCTAACTTATAGTACATTTGACATTAAACTTGCTAAACTACAAACAAAAGTTCTATCGTTAGGGTTTGATTTCTCTGCCCTGAAAAAAAAAAGAATTAATCCTGTTTAAATTGAAGCGCAATTTGAGGACGTGAATTCTCAGCTACCTGAGTTAATACTCAGATCTTCTGACGACGTGGGCTGGCTGAAAGCAAAATTTGTTGATATTCCGCACCGGTACCGTAGAGCTCCAATAACAACGTACACATATAACCAAAGGACACATGGCCGCCCTATCTGCTTTAAAGCATCATAAACAGATAATAATTTCTAAACCTGATAAGGAACATGGGGTTGTCATTCTAAATCGCCGTGACTATGGAAAAAAAGTGGATGCTATTTTACGTGACCAGAGTAAATTTCGTTTAGAAACGTCAGGAAAGGAAGAAACCAAGGCATTGGAGGACTCCACCTGGAAAACAATTAACAATTTGCTGGACATTAATCTGATGGACTCCAAAACAGCACTGTGCATAAAACCTACGGGTTCATATATTCCTAGACTTTATGGATTACCAAAAACGCATAAAAAGGATATACCCCTAAGACCAATTTTGTCTATGTATGATTCATCTCTTCGCAAACTAGCACAGTGGTTAGTCAAGGAATTAGAGCCAATCCGACGTCAGTTTTCTACTTTCATGCCAAAAGACAGCCTTCATTTCATTGAAGAAATCAGACATGAAAACATTTTGCGCAAATACATGATATTCTTCGATGTAGAATCGCTATTCACTTACGTACCACTAGATGAAACAATAGACATAATATGTACCCATGCGTCTGAAACTCGTCTGCCACCTAACGTACTAGAGGACGCATTAAAATTGTGCACAAAGAACGTTCAATTTCTTTTTAACAGCCAATCAAATAGACAGATTGACGGGGTGGCAATCGGAAGTCCTCTCGGCCCTACCTTTGTTGATATTTTTATGAGTCATCTAGAAGAAAAAGTGTCCGCTCCATGATTTTCACATGCCCCTTTCTTTTCGCGTGCTAACGTTTTTCCCTCTATCACCATGTTCTCTTTAAGTTGCTAATTTTATTGATTAGCCGGTATTACCCAAAACCATGACTTCGTTGTTTCTTCTTGATTTTCTGCACGAATCGAAACTTGTATTCTTCCCACTCGTTATCTGTGTTATGAATCGACGGGACGCAGCTGACGAGTCGTTGCAAAAAGTTTTTTGGTACGAATAAATCCTGCCCTGCATACCTGCTTCAGCTGGTATACTAGGCAAAGACCGTTTCAATTAATTTGGGAGAATCTGAGCACCAGGACGTTCAACAATTTTCGCTGCGGTCGTTAGCTACGAAGGAGTCAAGAATGTGCTTGTCGTAGGCAACACATTTACAATATGGCCCTGAGAATGAAGAGGAACCAGAGCCCTCTATATTATAACGCACTACAATTTGGGACTTAACTTTTCATTACTCTGTGCGGTAGTTACTTACTTTGCAACTAGTTGAATATGCCTTTTAATGAATTGTGGGTACCTTATCGAGCATGGAATTTCTCAACGGGTTTTGTAAAGCGCTTCTTTTTGGCATAAAAGTCCGCTCCCATGAAGTATCTAGGATTTGTGGAAAGTTGGCAGAGAATTAAAACTCCCTGTTTGAGGGTTTGGGGGAGTACGTACACTGAATCTTTCTACGACAACCGCCCACTGCAATTAGGCTAAATCCGTGGACGCCGTTGCCGTGTGTCTAAATGTTCCTAATCGCATTTGACAAGACGTGAGCCCTTGGCTTAAGTGTTGGAGAGTTTGAATTAAGAGCCTAAGGATCAGATAAGCCACTTCAAAGTTCACGCCTCCCTAGTAGGGGACTAGAGTGTAGCAGGACAACACGCCTCAACTGTTTGCGATTAAAACTTGAGGTGCTAGTCTTATATGGCTGATTGCAAATACAAAGAAATATTGGCCACGTAGACCCTACTCGAGTAAATTAACTGTAAGCTAAGTCTGCATAGTCTTAGGTGAA